TGTGATAGCACTGTTTTCGTGCTGTGAACCCTGATGGATTTCGAAAATGCGGTGACGGTAATATGTCCTCTGCTCGAACTGCCCGAGGAGCTGCAGAGTGAAGTGCTTCGCAAGGTGGGTGAGCCCTTTGAAGCTTTAAAAATCCAAGTGACACCTCTTTTCCGGTTGACCGCGCGAGATGCCAATAGGACCCGTTGCACTTCTTCCCATGTATGCGATGATGGAAGGAAAATCGATGTTAATGGCAAGAAGAAAAGTCAGATCTTTGTATAAGATTTTCTTTATGCCGAAACCAGGTTGATTGGTGGAACTTTATTGACTCAACGTTTCGAACAATTCGTCTTCGTCGGGAGTCTGAAAAGGATCGTAGCATTCGCATTCGTATGTCACTACACCGCCAAACGCCTCGTCAACGCTGCACGTCTAGACCTCCCCTAGTGCAATGTACTGGAAAGCTAAACCAGAGTGTTCACCTTCAGTCCACCATAAGACCAGTAGCCCGCACAACTGTGACGGACGCAACTGAGTTTATACTCAGTGTGTCAAACTATATATTGTGTGCGGATGTGAGCTTGCATAATGATAGCAGAGGCAAGAGGTCATTCGTAATGGCAAGGCATTCATTTTTATTATTCATAGCAGGACTCTTAAAAGATATCCATGCTGCTTCTAGTGTTTTTCGTGCGCAAATCTCATTCTCAATAGCCAGTGTTATACATTTCACGTCAAATGAGGTGCCATCGTGCGCTTCAAATCTATGTTTGCCCAAAGGTGATGCTTGAGTTCCTCGTTTCATACTAGCCAAGTGTTCTTCAACTCTAATGCTCAAAGGTCTACCCGTTCCGCCTATGTACAATGCTCCGCAATTTAGACATTCTAATTGGTATACAACTCCCGATTTTGCACAATCTCCTGGCTTGCCGTAGGGACAAACAATGCAGTCCTTTGATACACATTGTATATCGTAGCATCTGTTTCTGACTAGCCGCTTTTTGATGTTGTCGCTGGGTATATCAACCAGTCTAACATCGTTTTGCAGCTGGGCTCGAAGGATGCACTGTTTAATCGCTCTGCTGACTTTATCGCAAATGAAAGGTATGCATAGCGGAAGTTTAGTATCATTGCGCTGTCCATTGCCACTTAGACCTTTATTAGATTTTCGTATTCGTAAGCGCGTGGCTATGTTGTATCCATTACTGAGCGCAATCTTCGTGGCCAATTCTCAGGATTCCAGTCGCTCGCTCTCGCCCGTGCATACTCCTACAGCAGTTTTGTACATGTTACGAATTATGGCATGTTTGAGTGCTGTTGGATGAGCTGAGGAGGCATGCTAATATATTCTTGGAGCTTTCCTTTCGATACCATTTAACATGAATGGTATTGTCAGATAAGTGTATCTGGGTGTTTAAATAGGAAAGCCAACCACCGCGAGGGGCTTCTCGTGTGAGCTTAATGTACCGCGATTGCTGGTTCAGGATGTTAAAACACTCGTCCATTTCGGACTGTGTTGAGGTTATGACGCAGCAATCATCGATGAAAGTCAGATCTGTCTCTATCGCTCCGGTAAGCAATATACAACAGATAAAAATTTGCTTGTCTCCTTCATAATACCTTACATTCTAGAACTGTAGCGAGCTGGTTCCCAGACGCGAGAACATTCCGGCAGCAGAAAGTCTGAATTACGACGAGTTTGATCTTGGACGTCTGTTCCGTGTCTGTGATATCGATATGCTGCACATTTTTAATGTAAGTGCATTATTCAAAAAAAATTGCTACACTAGCGGTTCTGGCATAGATACAACGTTTATTTGTTGGCAAGAGGTTTCCTTCTTAAATCACGGTAGAGAACACGGTCTCTGCATTAAACTGCGCGTCCCGTGGCCTTTTTACGCCAGAGCTTACAGAATCATAGAAAAAGGATAGTTTAGCAAGCAAGCTAATACTTTGGTAGTGATTACTGTACTATTTACGGAATGTCACTGTAAAGTGTGTTTTCAATTCCCGATCGATTGAACTGCATTGAAAGGTGCAATGACAGTGCGCTTGTGAACATTTCTGTTTTATTCAGTCACGACGCTTTTGAATCTGTTTGGTAAACGTTTGTAGCAGAATCTGATAGATCACTAGGCAACTGTGAACATCTAAATGTTACTATGCAGGACTCTATATAAGGTCATAATGGAAGTCTTTGAACTCTAATTCTGATAAGTTTTGAACTCTGATTGTTAAAATTGATTATTAAGGCAGCAATTGATGTTATTCTACATAAAACTAATTTCAAGGCTTATACTTTGTGACAGGAGATTTGTTTGATATTATTAGTGCAGCATAATTCAGACGAGGTAACGATACTTGCTTCATCGTGTGTGCCACAAATGTGCTTCACCATGTGTAGCACTGACTTGTTTCACGTAGTTTACGGTGTGAATCACTTAGTGCTTCACGGTGTGTGTATCACCACCGTCATTCGCCACGTGTAGCACGTGAGACGCTGAAACATGATTCGCCCAAACAGGGGTTTTTATGCTTTGAAAATATAAATTGAGCCAAAGTGTTTCTAACAAACAATTCTCTTGTCACGAAGTATTAGCCTTGAAATTAGTTTTATGTAGAATAATCATCAATTGCTGCATTAATAATCAACTTTCAATGATCAGTGAATTTTTTCAATCAATAATAATCATTGCAGTTCGACTTTACCTCAAGCATTCATTGAGTCGTTTTTAGCGTGCTTGTGCGGAATCAGATCCGCGTGGCACAGTTTAGTTTTGGAATTTGTCGCTTCTCCTGCTATCCAAGTTCTGTCAGCTTCTGTCAGCTGCGAAGTTGACAGAACTTTGCATTATGACCAGCAGGCAGCGCATCTCAGTCGCACTTCTCTGCTCAAGTGCTATGGTCACAAGAAGCGAAACAGGTGAGCAGTTTCCAGTCCAAAACTTTACCTTCATCTAAGTTTAGCAATTCAGCTGAACCGCCTGGCAATTGGCTTCCCTTCGCGATGTCAACGTGATGATATCTACGGACAGAAGCGAATTCAAGCTCAACGCAAAGTCCAACAAAAGTTTTGTTTTACAATTTGCAGTAGATTGTTTGCAGTCAATTTGAAATAAATGTCTTGTCTCTTCATTCTTCTATCTTCTATCTACAAACGCTGGGGATGAGAGGGAGGGGGTAGAGAACGGGGTGGAGCGTCGTGCTGAATTCCTATCCCGGGGGAGGGGGCGCATCCGGCGGTCGTATGCTACACCGTTTGCTCGACCCTGGTCTAGAGCTAATTTGGGTGGGTTTAGAAGCATAATTGGGGTCTGGAGCTTGATTAGGGCCAGTTACAGTATGCCGCGGGGGACATCCGCTGCACGAAATGGGAGGTTTCCGGAGCACAAAGTGGGAGGGTTCCAGAGCACGAGTGGCAAACCCCCGCTGGGCAGACCCCGCGGCCCTGCCATTTCTGCTCGAAGGTATCCCTTCGACTGTCTGAGAGAGACTTCGTACTATCCTTCGCACCTACCTTACACCTACTTCGCACCTCTCGTCCCATGTAGTGAGTCAGATTCTCCACTACGGCTGGGAGAGAGGGGGAGGAGGTTACTTTTTATACGAAGGCTCTCTGATCATCTTGACCTTTAGCGGTATGCCAGGATGATAATATTAACACCATTCACCGAATACAACGACAAAAATCTTTTTTAATCAAAAATGTACTAGATAAATATTAGGTTGGCACATAAGTTTTGCAACTTGATTCGTAGCTTTTCTCTACTCGTCTGTGGTGCATTCATTTCTGGGCATGATGTAGACTAGTAGTAGGCTACAAAAGTAGCAAACAGTTTGATTTCTGGTAGTGAAGTGGAGAAAATTTACGCTAATTTCGAAAGCTGGTCAAAGTCGAAATTTCGAGGGTCGCAAAACTCTAAAGTCGTTTTCAGTTTGAAACAAACTCATCAAGCCGAAACTATACCCAGATTGTTGATAGAGGAACCTCTAATGATCTATACAGTTTCGGCTTGATATGTTTGGTTCAGAATGAGAACGGCTTTATTTTTGCCTTGTTTTCTAAATTTTTTTCTTAACTTCGCGATATTGTGAAAGCTGCTCTAGGTGATTCGTATTTATGGTATGGAGCCAGCAGCATATCTGATATAGTCTTATTGGATTGCTGCCAAAAGGTCAGGATATATGGGAGCAATCGTATGAAAAGTCCCTCCCCCCCTTCCCACAGTATATAGGACGCGGACGTGCGAGACTTAACACCTGGCCGTAGGTGTTCACACCTCGCACCTCAGAATTGGTTATCGTATGAAAAGTCACTCACCCCGAGCTCAGTGAGATAGATCAGAATGAAGAGACGCAGACTGCAAAGCGGCGCGAAGCGTTGCGAAGTGGACTTCCGCCAGTCCAATTTCCGCCTGAGCTGAGTTGAAACTTACTACATATACTTATTTCTCTATGTATGTCACGAACGCGAAGAATGATTTACAATAGAGAGCATATATAATTTTCAGAGGGATGGGGACGAGGTTCATTTCTCGGGACTTGTTCGCGGTCAGGCAAATGGATAATGACCAACTGGTAGTACCGTGGGGCGGCACTAGACCGTAAGCGCATAGAATTTTCCTTTGCGAGTCTCCCTCCATGATACACAAGATTTTCTGAGCCAGCTTTGGAGCCTATTGCACAAAATAAAAATATAACATCTATCATTCATTTGTAAACATGCATATAAGAAAAACAATTTGAAAAAAATGATTACTCGGCTTGAAAAGACCACCAGTTTCTTGAGATTACAGAATAGGTAAGTGTTGGAGGAATTCAAAATCATTCATCAACAATTCCTGAGACAAATTTCGTTCTAGTATATCCCTGATGTAAGCCAAAAGATAATCTTCTTCTTCGAGATAATGATAGTCAAATTACTCCAATCACATACTATGCATTAATCAAATTACAAGAAAGGTACAAATACAATACTGCTATTATTTCATGTCAAAATCATAAATGATCTAAGTCTTGGGTTTTGTACCCCTTCGAGCTCTTAGTCTGTCGAGATCCGAATGTACCCGAGATAAAAATGAAACATTAACGACAGGCCGCTCTCGTTTTCTCGGTGCTACCGCTTCTTCACGGGGCTCATATCTTAATCGCTTGCGAGAAACCTCTTCTTTTTTAGATTCTTCTTTGACTATCTTCTGCTCCGATGACTCTTTCTGAAAAAATTAAGATAAGTAGTACAACCGGATACTCGCCACGAAACGTTAAGTGTAATTAAGGCAGTTCAAAGAGTCAACAGACATCCAACCAAAACGTAGAAAATGCTGAAACCTTATTTTGCGGAACTGAGACAGCCTACTGTTTTTCTGAATGATCTACTGCGCTAACTAAAGGTTTGGAACGCTCAAGTTTACAAGAATGCAAAAATTAAAACAGCCCCAGCCCTTCATGAGACATACAGACTAGCGATTTCGGCTAAATTACAGCACCTCTACAGCGTTTTCTTCCTTCTTCTTTTGCGGACTAGTGTGGTTGCTAGGTTCCGTCTTCTCGACGTCTCGCCGATTTCGCCTATTTCTACTAGTGCTCCGCCTTGTGCGAGGTTTTCTTGGAAGCTGTAAACGAGACATAAAAATAGTGGAATTGACATAAGAACAGTGAAAGTGATTTAATTATATTGTCTGAAAAGACTTTGCACACTGCATGACAGTGAATAACTCTCTTAATTTTTTTTTCACAGAACTTCAGGTACCCAGTCTGACGAGTGGCTACAGCTTGAGTTTACTCTTTCTTATCTTATATATAAAGCTGAATGTCTGTCTGTATGTATGTCTGTACGTATGTGCGGAATAGAAATTTTTATTTCTGAACCGATCGGGACCAAACTTGGCACACATATACTTCGGGGCAGGGAGCGTGTCATAGGCTACTTTTCGTTATCGATCGATATCGATTTTATCGATTTTTTGCAAAATTTGAGCTACGGGGCTGGGAGTTGGCACAGGGGGGTAATCGAACATGCTGATCACCCCCGTGGGGGTATGTGTGCAAAGTTTGGTCCCGGGCGGAGCCGGGTTTGCCATCTAGTGCCTAATGTTACGAAGCTTATGGTCTTATGGCAAGCCAACTATCTTCTCCAGAGTTTCCAAATAGATGAAAGGTAATTTTTTCAAGCGCGCTGACAAGGCTAGATACAACTGACATTGAAGACAGTTTAGAGCTGGTCCCACTTCTATACAAAATTTTCGCTGCATCTGTTTGAATTCTATATGCGGGTTCCCTGTTCCTCTGTGTTCTCTTCTACCGCCTGTCAGCTCTCAGCGCGTAGTTCAAAGTCTGTCAGTGGCGTACTCAAAATTTCTGGTCGGGGAGGGGGGAGGGGCACAAAACTTTTCCAAAAAAATTGGTACGCTTAAAATTTTCGTGGGCCCATAACCCCGAAATTTCAAAAAAAGGGGGTGACGTCAGTCACGCGCCCCGAAAAATTTTTTTGCAAAGCTTAATCGAATTTTTTAAAAATTTTAAAAATTGTTCTAATAATTCACACGTGTAAAAAAGTCGCACATTTCTATAACTCATGTAAGTAACTTTCAAAAATTTCGCGACCCAGTCGACGGGGAGGGGGGAGGGGGGAAGGAGGCTACGGCACTGAGTCTGCAAAACACGATAGAGTCAGTGACATCTATTGATATTTTTACAAGCTTTGTTATATTCGTGATCGTATACTCACTTACTCACCTGTGCCAACTTCCAGCCTCTGCCTTATTTTCAAGGAATACATAGAATCCCCAATCGATCATGTAAATTAGCCGTACATGGTTGTGAAAATGTTCAAGTGACTTGTTTATCCTTGTAAATTTTTTTGAAATTTTTTTAAAAATTTGAATTAGCCATCTGAAAGAACTTTTAGTGGGCAAAAATTTTGAGAAGCGCTCAAAGACTTTTTTGGATTGCCGCTTTCCCCCTTCCCCCCTCCACCCTCCCCGGACGGTTCTGCGACCACCACTAGTACATAAAAATAAACAGACATTCAGCTATGAATACAAGATGTGTAATTTTGCGATAATCGGGAGGATACCTGTGTATATCAGTCCAGGTGTCATTGTGCTAATCGAGTTATAGTGTGGACCCCGGCCAGGTTCCCATAGGTACTTCCGCAGCGCGCACGCAGCGCGCGCCCTTCTCATCTTGTCTCACTCATGAGCAGTAGAGCATATTTATGCTCACAAAGGAGAAAAATGTAATGTGGAAACCTTTAGGTTCCCCACGAAAGAGAAGTATGCAAGAATGAAACGTAGGCAAGTTCCATGAATACCTCAAATTCAATCAATGGATGCATGTTCCGAACTTGCACTGATGAATAAGTTGTAATAGCTATACGTAGAAGAATTAAAGAACAACAGCATTCTTAAAACATTCCTCTTCGTAGACGTAGAAACTAGAGTGGTCAAAGATTCCAAAAAAGTGGATATTTCAGTAAACAAATGCCTACTGGCTTCTCGGAAGGCTCAATTTTGACTTAAAATACTGTCTACACCTTACACATCAAACGGAAGGGGACTCTTATTGTATATAGGAAGCTTCTAAAAAAATATTATCTCAGTATCCAATCAAATCTCAATTTTTCAGAGAAAAAAGGGAAAACACAAGACTACTACACAAGACTGAAGCTCTTAGAACTGTTAGAGCACGTATAATCTCGTCACCGGTCATCGCGAATTGTTTATACCTAAAATAGAGAGAAGTACACAAAAACAAAAAAAAGGGAAAGAAAGGAGGATTTCCATCAGAGGCCAGGACAGGAGACGCACTGAAGGCGTGCGTTGCGGGTGCGTCGCGCAGGTACCCATGGGAAGCTGGCCGGGGTCCACACTATACCAATTTTACTAGCGAATTTGGCCAGTTTTCGGATTGTTTGGCGCGAAATTGTTGCCAGTGGCACAAACCCTTTGGAATGCTGTAGTCTTAAAGGCACCGTCCAGGCAAATCCGGGCCTATGAAGATCTTACTTGGAGGGTAATCTGGGAGCCTCTAAACAAAACACTACCCAAGCGGCAGCTCAAATGGTGAGCTCACAGTTGAGATATTCGCCTCTAAACTGGACCCCGAGATCGTATTCGCATGGATTCATGGCACTACACATCAGTTTCGCGCGCGGCCCACGCGTGTCGCGCCATGAATCCATGCGAATACGATCCCGGGGTCCAGTTTGGAGGCGAATATCTCAGCCATTGGGGCACTACCTGAGCTGCCGCTTGGGCAGAGGCTTAGTTAGGGCTCCAAGATTACTATCCACGTGATGCCTGGACGCTGTCTTTAAGGCGGCGAAGAGTAAGTATATGAATTAAAGCGCTGTATCGAGGTATCACGTTCGCGAGAGAGAATGTGACAGAAAAGCTCTGAAAAATGAAGCCCACATTTTTGGGCTGTAGCTCGTTTGCATTATCATTTGTTGTCTGTATGATAAATTGTTATACAAACTCCCTATTGCACATGAGGTAAACATTTGATATTTTGGAGTACATTTATCAACACAACCTTCAGCACTGCCCTTCGCGGTCGCTTCCTCGAGTTCGATGTTTTCTTCTCCTTTGAACTGTCATCGCGGATAGCCTAAATGGAGAAGTCATCTAGGGTGTGGTTCATGATTATCAAACACTCCATATTTGAGAGTTTTTGAACTTTAAAGAGACTTTGAAAAAAAAAACCATTGGTCCTGCGTGCAAGAGCATATTCGAAAATCAATGGTGGGAGACAATTTTGCACCGATCATGAATTTCGAGCGAGTCATAATTATACGGATACATCGAGCAAACTTTTTTCACTCAAAGCTGCAATCTTTCGCTTCAGAACACTTTGTAAAATTACAGTAACAAAGTTTGAGACATCTGCCACACATTGAACCCAGTGCACTGAAATGAGGGCGTTACTCTCGCTAGATGGCTCAAAATGCTTTGAAATCAATGCGCTCCAAAAATGTCTGCTTTTTCTGTGGTTAGGGATCTTTAATCAGCTTGTAACAAGATTTTGTGACAGAGTGAGCTATCTCGATAGATGTGTTGTTTGAGCCCGAGTGCTTGTCGCATTTTTTATGCGAGTCATCAACTTAAATTTAAGTTCAATCTTGAACCTCACTTAGCACTAGAGAACATTTTGAGCCTTCTTGGCTTTTGCTGTCCGGAAAGTCCTACGATAAATGAGCATATAATATAAGCGAGTTCGTGAGATACTGCTTAGCAAGAAAATTCTGCAACACTGAGCATTTGTTTCGGCCACGTAAGCGTCATCACTCGGAACGACTATACTAACGCAACCATAGCTTTTCGTTGTCCTTTTAAGCTCGAAACTCAAGATTGGCTCTGCAAAAACATAAAAACCAGCATGTAGCGAATCTCTCAGGCTCTGTCACCGTAACTTTAAGGAAAATTTTGAAGCTAAAGGTTATGTCTTTCAGCGAAGAAAGCTTTGCTGAGGGTGGGCGTTTGATTATAAACCGCTCAAAATTCGTATTCAACAAAAATCACTCCTAGTGCTTAACATCAAATTTCGTTACTGTGCTGCGTATACGTTTCTGACTGTGCTCTTTCACAGAGGACCAACAGTTTTTTAAATCTCCACCAAGAAAGTAACTCTCGCAATAAGGGGTGTTCGTATAATTATAAAACGCACTGTATTTGATGACAGAATTCCAAGAAATTGATGCGTATATATACAGGGTGTCCCAAAAGTATGTATGCACTGTTTGATCGTTAATATCTCTCTTCACAAGAAGTTATTTGCCTTGCTTCAGGTACCGTCTTGTAGAGCTGGCTTCAACTTAGAGTTACAGTATGGAGAGAATCACGACCGTTTCTTATTACTGCAGGATTACGGTAGGAACTTGGAACATATGGTGTCAATGTGGAAAAAGCTGGCATTTCAAAATTTTTCAAAAAAAAAACGTGAAAACTTGTACAATAGGGTTTTTTTGGACCATAAGTTCAATACTCAACTATTCATGAGATTGCGAAGCTTTCTAAACGGTGTAACCGCACTTTTTAGGAACATTGAAAAAATGGCTGCTACCTCTTACCTGGCATAACTCTTCAATGAAGCATCATAATAAGTTGGGAACTTTACAGTTAAAATCAGCAGCTCTTAGCCTAGTGTAAAAGTTTTCAGGCTGTTTTGTTTCTTTTCTGAGGCAAAATATGGCCTTTCATGGCTCAAAACCCTCTTAGAAGTTTCTACCGTAATCCTACAGTAACGAAAAGAGGGGTAATTCTTTCTATATTGAAAATCTAAGCTGAAGCCAGCTTTACAAAATAGTACCTAAAGCAAGGCGAAAGACTCCTTGGGAAGAGAGATATTAACGATCAAACAGTGCATACATACTTTTGGGACATCCTGTATATAGAATAACAAAACACCACTGACTTTTACAGAATCTATGCTTGTGGTCTCAGACAATTCTCCATCTTCTAATGGCTCAGTTTTGACAACGCTTTCGGATAATTCTCCATCTTCTAATGGCTCAGTTTTGACAACGCTTTCGGATAATTCTCCATCTTCTAGCGGCTCAGTCTTGACGATGCTTTTCGATAATTCACCATCCTCCAACGGCTCGGTCTTGATGGTGCTTTCAGCTTGCGTCCATGAAGTGTCAGATTTTTCTTTCGCGCCCTCACAAACACTCGCTGTGTTTGTGCCGATGCTGGGTGATTCACAAATAACGCTTTCACTTTTCACGGCCTAAAAAGTTCAGGCTTTCAGTAAGCATGTCTGCATCACACTCAGAACATTTTCTACTCGAAAGAGACACTTGGGTGGTGGAGGGTTAGTTACGAAACCATGCAGATAAAGGAAGGTTATCCAGAATTTGGGCAGTATCATGGCGGCTAAAGTCGATTGCACGAAATCGCCCGGGTCGCTGTAGGCTGAACGCACCCCAGCCGCAACTCGGCTGCAGTGTACAGGCGCCATGATGACTCATGCGCGCGAATACCAATGTTAGCCCGCAAGAGATACGCGCGCAGGCGTTCAGTCCGGGCGATTCCGTGCAGTCAACTATAGTATGCCAGAAACACTAGAAAGGGAGGGTGACAATGTCGAGGTGGTCGGTCATTACAAGCTGCAAGTCATGAGTGAGAGCTTGGAGCGCTGATTCCAACTTCAAGAAAAAAGTTACGAGCATTTTTTTGAAAAAGCGAAAAATGAACTAATCGAAGGGATGAAATCAATTGCTACAGCTTCGACCTCAAAAGGAGCAGCTGCAAGTGTCAGGTTGTTTCATACAATGGACTCCTTCTATATCAGTACTTCCTACTTCTCCATTTGACGTTTACAAAGGCAACGAATGATACTACCCCGGCCATTGATTTTTTCGCTATAAAAAATGCTCATAGCTCATTTCTCAAAGGCTCTGCAGAAATGGAAAACAGATTTGGAATCAACCTTTCAAGCCCTCTTTAATGGTGTGCAGTTTGTTGATCGATCACTACGACTTCGTGATGTTCCCCAATAAACTCTTTTACGGCTTATTTAGAACAATAATTGAATCCATAGTTTCCCAGACTTTTACCCCCTTCCCCTTCTCACCCTATCCACTCCTTCCCCTCTCTCAGAAGGATGGATTTTTCGAGATAAATTTGTCATTCATTGAAATCGTACGAGTTAGCTAACTGTGAATATGAAATACATGTTCGACTAGGTAACAAAAGAAAAAGCAGACCCTATCAAAAGATCTTTAAACCAAAAGCAATGCTATTTCCATGTTGCTAGAGAAAATTTATTAGAAAATCCCCTCACGTTAAAGGCAGTGGGTCGGCAGAATGAGACCCGTGGTAAAACAAGGTCACAGGGTAGGAACCCCCATAATGGAACCTATGGGCCAAGTTCGACCTTTCTCTGCCACTTCTAACCCCCGAAATTTCAAAGCGAAAGCAGCGCTCATCTCCTCTCCTCTCCGACCCCGCCCACCCACGGACGAGTGAACGCGAAGCCCGTCATATCGAAGACGCAGAGTCGTTGCGGGACCTCATGCTTATAGCATTGCGGCTGCGCGCTCTGACCGTGGAAGTCACTCGTCCAGGGAGTGGGCGGGTTTGGAGAGGACAGGAGATGAGCGCTGCTTTCGCTTTGAAATTTCGCGGGTTAGAAGTGGCAGAGAAAGATCGAACTTTGGCCCATAGGTTCCATTATGGGGGCTCCTACCCTGTGACCTCATTTTGCCACGGATCTCATTCTGCCGATGCACTGCCTTTAAATGCTCCTCCAATTGCATGACAATTAAAACCGATGCGTCTTGCAGTCAGAACTTTTCATGTGTGTTCAAGAACCCCACTAATGTCATCATTCCTATGTTTACACTACTGCTGGCTTATGAATCGGCCCTAGTGCTGTCTCCTCAATTTTCTCTTCAGAAAGTGGGTTTGAGCATGCATAAGGATTTTTCCATAGTGCTAGTAAATAAATGGATTGGTTATTGTGGTAATTGCCACACCAATACGCTGACAGTAACGAAATACGGTAAATGTATGCTTCCCTTGCAATATTCTTCTTCATCATCTTCCATAGGCTCCTCCTTGATAACTTTTCCATCCACAGCTTTGTTAGATCTTCCAAAAAGCGGTGTATTGCTTCGTGCAAAGAGAGGCCCTGGTCTCCGTTCGGCTTTGAGCTATAAACGAGTTTTTATGAAAGAATAAATTCTCTCTTGAATCATTGAGAATTCTACCCGTGTAGATCTTCTTCCCTGTTCGCCTGTGCAGCGTTTCTCATGTTTCTGCAAGTAAATCGATCGCCGAAATGCTGGAAATATTATACTCTTCGTAATTGGCTTCGTCAGGTACATGGATTTTTAAGAAGAGCGCTTACAGCTGTTGCACTTCTTACAAACATATTCGCTCTGAGTTGAATGTGTCGTCTCGTGAACTTTAAGATCATTCTTTCGCACAAAGGTTCTCTCACAATACAAACATTTAAATGGTCGATCCTTAGTATGGACAGAGCGAATGTGTGCGGTCAAAGCCTGAAGTGTGAAGCAGATAGAAAAGCAAACGACATATTGTGGTCACTCGCCTTAGTACACTTATAGCCAGGATGTTCACACCCTTCATACGGGCAAGCGTGAATTATTTGTTGGTGAACCATCATATCATGGCGGCGGAGTCCACCTGCACGTCCGAAGACCATGTCACAGTGTTCACATTTGAATGGTCGGAGATTTCTGTACGATAATCACAAAATTCACAAAATTGTTTTGCTAGGCTTACAAGGGAAAGATGTTTGGTCGCAATGACCTCTCAAAGGCAGTGTCCCGGCAGATTCGGGTCCTGGGGAATATACGTGTGATGGGGTTCCTGGTCACCCCATCGACCTTCAGGCGCACTCCGGCTGGGTGATATTCCCCCTGGGCCGAAAAATGGCCCTTGAACCGACGCGCCCAGCCCCAACTGGCGCGCGCTTGGACGGCCTTCCCCGCCTGTTCGGCGCGGGACCCCACTAGCGCTCTCCCCCATGATGCATGCTATCCAAAGCAAGAATTACAGGCGGCAGGATCTTCGTCTGAGGACCTCCCCCAACTTTCCATTAAAAATCTCGTCCAAGCTGTTTTTCTGCAATTAGGAAAACGCCGCAAAATCGGCCTTTTCAGCCCGTTCAAAGCTCAAATTCGGATTCTATGTGGCGAAAAGGCCTAAAACATGCAAAAAGGTGGAGGTGCAAAATCTGCCGGGACACAGCCTTCAAGATGAGATGTACACCATCTTGGAGGGCATAAAATGCTGATTCCAAATCTGCCTTTCTTGTCTGCCGAGCATTTCTGAGCGCGAAGTTACGAGTGTTCGGAGCAAAAGATTAAGTGTGCAACACGGGAAAAATTAGTCGTTAGAATTTTCCTAATCCAAATGGGACGGCGATGAGTGGATTTATGTTAAAATATAGAACATTTATTAGATAAAGTGCCGCGATTATTATCATAACTTCATTTTCGCGTTAGAAAAAGATATTGCTGAATTCATCGTAATTGAGCATTAAATTTTTGCTCTGGAATACTCCCATAACTTCGCGCTCAGAAATGCTCCGCAGATAAGGAGGGCAGATTTGAAATTAGCATTTTATGTCCAGGATGATGTACATCTCATCTTGAGAAACCACTTTGATCAAACACCTTAAGGAAGAAAAGATGACCTTGCTTGGAAATGGTCTAGTATAAATAACAGGTTTGTCTTCGCATACTGGCAGGAATGCTCGAATAATATCGCTACAGTAGGGAAGGGTGAAGGAGAGTTCTACTAGATACGATACCAGGAAATTTTTTTTTCCTAGGAACTTACTCGACAACTTGGTGAAGCAATCAAAGGCACCGTCCACCCAAATTTTACATGGTAAAACTTCGAAGCTATATTATAGCGGAACTTCTAACCAAGTAGTCCCCCAAATCTCGCTGCAAAAATATTAATTCTTAAGGAGAACATCGTTTCAGAATATACAACCGGATAGGGCTGCTCGGACCATTGACGTGGGTGGTGTGAAGATAACAAGGTCAAAATCGGGCTCTAATGTATCGAGAACTGTCACAAATTTGCCCTCTGTTGTGATTCAAGATTTCCGACATTCTGTATGTCCCGAAGCCCATTTCATAAATGGGCGGAGCCACCTTGGCCGCTCCTACCTTCTCGAGCAATTTTTTCGCTACTGAATTAAACTTTCGCATTAGGATTTGATACTTGATCAGGGCCCCGCTACTGCAGAGCATCAAAATTTCACCACCCTCAGTTCCGATGGACAGTACCGTAACATCAAGGGAAACGAAGGTGCAATGGACGTACTCATGAACAACATCCACATGTTCTTTTAGTTGGCTGTGAGCATTGTACACCTGTAATGACCATATAAAGCCATGTTATGTGCACATGATCAACTACCTTACTACAGTGCGGACAAACAAACACACTTGGTGAGATTGTCTCTCCATGCTGACGTGCTTCGTGCCTTTGTGCTTTTTCTAGAGTTTTGAAAATCTGTAGACATGCAAAGTAAGAACAAGCAGAAACGACGTTATGACATACACATGTAGATTAAAAAAAACAAAGTCAGTTATGTCACAGCATGCAAAGAGAAAATATGCTAACAGATAAAAAGTACAAATATTATTAGGTTGATGCATAATTTCTGCACCAAAATAGGTACAGACAACAATAAGACATATTTATTTTATATCATATCCTGATATATCATTCGATAGAGCAAGGCTAACTCTGCATAGTGCCTATAGTTTTGCAGCAGCTTTGGTCCAAGTGAAGATTGGACCCAAAAACGAAAAAGATTCTATCGCTCCAAAAAACAAAATAAAATCAAAAGTCCGTTTGAAAATCCTTCAAAAATTCTAACTTGCTCATGCATTGGCTTTCGTATATGACATCTCTATGCAGTTGCTGTGTTTTTCTCTCAGCTAGAAATTGAAAAAAAGGTTTTCCATGTTTTTTCCAAAACAATGCTGAAATATTCTAGCATTACAGTTGTATACTACACAACTTTAGAAGCATGAGTGTGAATTTTCAGCTTTTTACAGAGGTGGTTTACGAGAAATATCGAATTTTTGGCAACTAGGTAAGAGAAATTCGGATAAGGAGAGCTAGATACAATATTTCTCCTGAACTAGCTCTTCTAGAAGGCTGAAGATGCGCAGTTTTAATGTTTATCTTTCACTGTCAAAGGCATATAGTATAGTATACAAGTATTAGTGCTAGAACATCTCAGCACTAATTTGGTAAAAACAAGATAACTTTGTTTTTTCATCGTTTTTTCATCGTCTAGCTGAGAAAAAAAAATACAGCAACTGCATGGATAAATATCTTACGTGGAACGTCTGGTGAGCAAGAAAGCACTTTTGTAAAAACTTTTTATGGAGTTACAATTTTGTTTTGATTTGTCTTGGTTCTCGAAACCTGTTTTTTTTTCAGTTTTCGGCTTAAAACTTCGTGTGGATCAAAAGTTGTAATTAGAGCACTATCTTATAGAGCTAGGTTTGCTCTATCTAACATTATATCAAATCCTATCTAGGATATAGGAGATTTCCGGATTATTGCGTTCACCTATTTTGATGCAAAAATATGCATCAACTTAATACATGCAAAAAGGTTGTGAAGCCATGCAAAAGACAATGATTTTTTGTGCTAAAAGCTATGAGTTGTTACACTAATATGCGTTATATCTTTGCATTCAAGATTTTTTCCAGTTTCGAACTCACGACGTTGACTATCTAGCTTAAAGACTAACCATCATCTCCTAAAAATTCATAGACATAGAAAATTTGGTAAATAGATCTACAAGTAGTACAAATGAATGGATAAATTGATATTAGTAAGATTTTCCAATTTTCTTCCACAAAAACATCTCATATGAGACTTGATCCCCCTACAGCCGCTGAGGCAAAACGACTGATTGTGCGAGGCAGCCAGCTGCCCACTCACATGCTTTCAGCGATGCCATAAATCTTAGCGAAAACAGAAAGAAGTCACGAACATTCGTAGTACTCTCAAAGATATTTTCAGAAATAATTTGAAAAAGTAGACAAAGTTAAGCCTTCCGATTCGGAGAACGCTACTTCACCAAAAAGTACCTAACGATCAGAACTCGACAATAACAAAGACCATACCTTATTACATTTTGTACATTGAAATCTTTTGGAGATTGTCCTCACTGGCTTCTTTTTCACGCCATTTGGATATGGATTGTGGTACTGAAAAGTGCAGATTAATGCGATTAATGATGATAAATATGGCCCTTTCATTAGCAATCGCGCAGAGATTTGGGAGTGTATGTCAAGAGGCGCGATTTTTATTGCCAGATGGACACTAATTAGCGCATTTTTGGTATTTTATGATGTTCTAGAAAAATTTCAAATTTCTGACCAAATATATGATCGCTAGTTGCTGGGTTGCATGGGTTGCTAGATGTTGCCGTATCAAAATAAATTAGAAACCTATGAGTTGAAGGTCAAAAACCTGTAAAATGGGCGTTTCTGTGGATATTTTAATCAAGTTTTGACCAAAAGCCGTCAAACTTTGCAAGTGATAGCTTCAGATAGTTGGTAAGGTAAAGCACTTTGTCTGGTGTTATCAAAAATTCGCAAAGCTCGAAATTGGACTGTTGAATTGGTGACCTGGAAAAATCGCGTCTCTTAACCGTCTCCCACATTTGGGAGTCGCGGTAGCTAGCGCCTTGCTCATGCTTCATAATTTGATCCACTGGTTCAAATGATTCCAGAGTATGGACACAACCCAATATATCCCTAATACAATCGGAATAGGTTCATTTCCCACCGCCTTCGACAGAGAAAAGAGAGGACGAGGGTGCGCTGGTACAAGCATGAGATGAGTTTGACTGTACACAATAAGACCTTTGGCATGGTATGCGATCTATATGGAGAAGATTGATTAGATTAAGATTACAGTATTGCGCGCAAATAACTGGCAATGCAAATGCACCATACTACGTTATCTATAACAACACCTTACAAAATTACGAAATCACATTTGAAGCTTTGTAAGCAGTTACCTGGAAGAAATGCTGCTGAACATTCTGTTTCATGGTGAATAATCGATCACATTCATCGCAAACAAACTTCTTCTGACGGAAGCGTTGAAACCTATTTTGATGACTCTCAGTTTTTATCGAGTAATAAAGTTATTATACTTTTGCCGAGGCTCAAGTGGTTTCGGAGGATCCGAATCATCTTGTAGTGCACCTGGCTTGAGAAGATGACGATCGTTTACGAATATTTCCTGAACAATCTTTTCTTTTGGAAGACTCGCACAATCGCATCTAACTTTGATGTTTTGTCCATTCGGCTGCTTTGAATCCCTTGCGAACACTTCATCCCAAGACGCACTACGCAAACCCGCGGGAGGAGGCTCGAGGGCGGTGAAAGTGTGATCGAAGTAGGAGCTTGCCCAGCTGGCTGCAGACCTCATTGACACCTATAAATGGTGATAACAACTAGACATACACTTGATATAAACCAAAAATTCAAGCACTACAGTTCTATAGGTTTCGAAAAGTGTGGAGCGAGTAGAAGGTCGCAAACAAGAAAGCTGTTTTCGACTTCAAAGATGCTGATAGGCCCGCATGTTAATGCATACGGGCTATACTCTTCCCTGACAGCCTGTAGTTGTATATAGCGCAACCAAGATTCATAAACGCTGCTGAGAAAAATTTCAGTTGTAAAAAAACTCTACACGATTATCAATTGAATTTTAGTCTTCACGAAAGAAGATAGTTTTACATCGCAGAATATCCAGTGAAAAAAGTTTGTGTAACTAAGACCTCATACTTTTCGCTGCGTCTTATTCTTGCAAAGACTGTATAGCAGAAGAGCTTCGGTAGAACACGGTTGAAAAAACATTCTCCGACTAGTGGTAAGCGACAGACCGCGTAGCCATACGAAGAAGTCTTTGTGAGTAGATGGAAGAGGAACAGTAGACAAACATCAGTTTTCAAAGGAAAGAAAAAATGATCAATAAAATAAATAACTCAACACAAGATGACCAAACAAAAAGATTTTCACCTGAGATGACTGATTTGATGGCACATTACTATTTATTCTGTAACTGCTTTCCTGGAAGGGAGTTCGGCGGCATATGCAGCGTTCTAAACACGACTATGTTAGATTAGCCATTTCAAATCTAATAGTTCACTATTTTGTCAGGATATGAAGTATATGTTCTGCCACACGTTTTAGCAACATGAGCAATTTAGACAACACATGAGCAGTTTGGACGTTCAGCGCTCTAACAGCAAACATGTTTACAGTTCAAAAGGTCCTACTATCTTCTCCCGAGTTTGTCGCCAAGCACAAAGGAGCGAACCGCTCGCGCACTTTGGTGTAGCCGAACGGCGCCACTCTGTTGTCGCCAAGTTGAACAGATATGAGGTTGTAATAAATGAAGCAAGCTCAGCAGGAGAAGCAGATAAGGTGGATTGACAGTTGCAGTGAGATTCATGCTCATCTCTGACATAAGTAAATTTTCACATCGAGACTGAATCAGTACCCAAACAAATTTGACACCTGAGCTCCTTATTTGGAAGCATCGACTATGCCACTGCCCAAGCAGTAGATTATATGAGTCACTCGTGGTCAATTAATTCGACAGTAAACTTTGTCCCAAACCGTATTATACCGTACTTGGAGAGCGTTCCCGCTTGGAACGAGTACGGTCTGGGCTAGAGTTAAAGTTGATCTCGGCTACGCCTCAATCATATAGCTGTCACTTATTAATCTCAGACACCCCACCAGGAGAAGAAAAATTTATTTCACGAGATTTTGTTTACTTCGCAGGAGTCGCAGATGGAAACTTCCGCAGGATTTTGACGCCAGATTAAATGGAACGGAAACTTCCGCTGCACTTCCACAAGAGCTGCGGGAGACCCGTTGTCTAACTGCCCAACGGAACTTGTCCATTGTCTGAGATGGTTCAGCCAATGTCTTCCAATGATATTGCTGTCAGGTTACTGCATTTGTTGCAAAAGAAAAATTAAGCGTTTGCTCCATCGAGCTAATCATGTTTGCGACTCGCTTGATGACCCCCATTTGTCTGCTCTTCACGGATTGTGAGCAACGCGCACATCGTAGTTTATTGATGCAACCATCTGGCACAATCTACACACATTCGTAATTCTGACGCTTCACAGCTTAGTTCTGCCGCGAAGGAGATGAACGAATACATGATCAAGCTACTCGTATCTAATGTAATTGACTCAGGGGTACTACTGACTGAGATAATCTACAATGTTCGTGCTGAACAAATACGTGGTTATAACATTCGATAAAAAGCAGTTGGGATTTTTTGTGCTGCTTTCCAGAATTTCCACGGAAACTAGTTCTGAGGTTTTATACATTCTGCAAAAAACTTCTGGTTGCGTGCAGACATTTGTTGAGATTTCTAGCTCACCGCAAATTATTTACAGCTGACGGAAAATTCTGATGACTATATTTCAACCGACTTTTTCCTTGAAAAGGCCTAAAAACATCAGAATTATTCGTTACAGAAAAGTGACGCATGTCTCATGTTCGTCTCGGGAATTCGTCTCATATCTCATCTCGTTAATTCCAAAGCAAAAGGAAACGCGTCTTACTCAAAAAACGAACGATACTGGAGAAGACAAAATGGAAAAGTTCGATAAAACCTTATTTTTCTGGAGTTCTTCCTCGATCCGTAGCGAAAAACATAGGCTATGGCCGACTAGCTAGACCTAGCAACGTTTTGTAGATAAAGAACAGAGAATAAGTGAGAGATAAGAGCTTCTAAGCTGATGACCCTGCTCAACAGATAATTTCTGAGCCACAGCTCGGTAATCTTTCAAAAGCAAAAAGAAAGTTACCGGTTAAGCCTGTTCATCTGAACTTCTTACGTTAGGCCCCGGTCAGACTTCACGCGACTTAATCGTCGCGACTCAATCGCCGACATTTCCATTCATTTTCATTTCACATTCAAAAATTTCGGGCTGGAAAAGTATCACAACCGAAATGCAAGTCGATCGGCATGGAATGATGTTGTAACAGTTGTCTCGTCGCGATTCAGCCGCGACGATCAAATCGCGTGAAGTCTGTCCGGGGCCTTAAGCGGAAACTCTTGACGAAGCTGTTGCCCGAAAGGTAGCTTGTAAGGTTTAGTCGTGAAGACGAACTACGGTCTTGGCTTGTCTTTAGACTTTATGGGTCAGTCACTATACAAGCTGCCTCTTGGGCAGCGGCTTCGTCAAGACCTTCCTATAATGAAAAGTCCAGGCTCATTCAGAGTCCTCGAGCATGGAGAGCACATCGACAGAACTCTGAAGTAAATCTTCTTCAATAGTTGATTGAATATAAGAGTTGCCATTTAGGAATGGCTTAGTCAGACCCCGCAACCTCGTAAATAACTCAGAGAACCCTGATTCGCTGGATACTGCCTTTTAGGTCTTTACAACAACTTCATCCTATTCGAGAGCATTACAGATGAGCAATTACATTTTTCATACAGCTGCTATTAGTTACGATTTCAAAGCATGTGAGGCATAATTCAGGGAGTTGAAGAAATTTCTTTTCCCGCAAGAGACATCCCACTCTTAGATGAAGAAAACTAACCGGTACACTTATATGGTTCTGTGAGAAAGATGTCTTCGCCGATAATAGGACTGGTCCATAGATTCTCCAAGCATAGATCATCATAGTCTGACAATATATTATCAGCCAGGTTAGCTCCTGACATTCTTCGCTCCAATACTTCCATAAAGACTTGGCTGAACAAATCTTGCTGGAACACACTCATTTGATAGATCTAATTTGGTCTACAGAACACAAAATTATCTACCTGACCGAACAACACGCGAAATATGCAACGCTGGTTGATCCCTAGCAACTCGTGCCTCAAAATAAACCTTACTTGTTTTTTACAACCTGATTTCATTGAATCAAAAGCTTATCGCTACCTGATAAGGCAATCTGCACCTGTTCAAACCGGCAACACGCCCGCTGCGTCAAGCTCCGCCCAACGGCGCAAATTCAGTGCTGGCGCATCCCGAGATTTGTCTTCGAGGATGTTATTGATTAATTTAGTTTACGAGCTTATTGCTAGCCTTCGAGCTTATGAATTCTAATGGGAACAATGTAAACACTGTGAATAGCTTCCTTGAAAATGTAACATCACAGTCTGGTTTTTGGTTATCGGTCTCATCGCCAAGTGTAATGTTTTGGTTTCCGCGCTAATCGTCTTAGATTTATCTGAAATGCATATTACTTCTTCTTTTCTCTTCACATTGCTTTCGTTCTGTGCCGATTTGAACCAAGTTGTAACTTGTTATCCTTTGCTGCATACCTAACATTTTCCTGATGTTCCGATTACGCCAAGTCCCATCACGCAGTTACTTTTATTAATTCGTTTCTGCTTTTATTCCACAAACGAAACTGTTCTTGTTCTTTTGAAATCTTCTTATGCATTACAGCGTACCTTCGTTTCTAATCTCCTTCTGACTGCATTTTAAAAATCTCATCGGCAAAAATCATATCAGTTTATGCATACTGACTCGATGACAGCATTTGAGAAAAATTACTCAAACGGAAAAAACACTTTTTCTTTGGAAAAGTGAAAAAGCGACATCTGCCTGTACTTTCTATCTGATGTTGACTTTATCGCTAACACCTTGTAATTCCGTGACGCTAATCCCGTTTCCTTTCACTTTTCCACTTCCTATGCTTTTTCTACTATGGGTACCTGCGGCTGAAGCTGCAAAGCTTGTTTATGCGGGCGAACATCTGAGCAGAAAAGCAAACAATTCAAAACTTGGCGAAGCAATTCCTCTCCTAAGACTGCTTGAAGCAATAAATAGTCTACTTCTGATAATTTTTGAAACTATGAATTCTTTCCTACATTTAGCTTCGATTTGAGTTAATTTATGATTTTACGAAATTTACAGTTGCGATGATCAGTTAGCTTTCATTTACTAATTCTCTACGAACTGAGGCGTGCAAAAATTGTTAGACGTTATTAACTAGCATCCTTCTCTGAAAGTAAGGCAGCACTGTAACAAACCACTTTTAGCTAAGGTCCACTTTTATGTGAAAGCTTAAGAGATCATTCAGTATCCGTGAAAGTTTGTGCAGGTCACAACTCTAAATCTTCACTGATTTGTCAAACATTATCTCTTGATGGCGAAAAGAAAAGTAATGCATCGTATTGACTCCTTTAGTGCAGTTTTTGCTTACCGCTATGAGATCTGGAACTATCAATCTGGGCGGTTCTCCCTTCCCAAAGCTTCTCGAATTCCTCTGCTGCAGACCGGTATCGCTTGTCTAGCATTCATTCTTGCATCTTCTGAGTCATCCGCTCGCCGTATTCATCAATGAACCTCAAAGTTAACGTCGACCTTAACTAGGATCATCACCCTTACGCCCGTATGCACAGAGTATCATAGATCAACTCACGAATACCTCAGATACCCCGTCTAAGGCAGAATGTGATCTTAGGGTTCGTTAACTTCGAGAAACACTATCTGCTCAAATTTTTCACAATAACTGAACATCTGCTATAACCTACCAGCCTTTTGTGTCTCCTTAATTACTATCACCAGTGAAATGTAAATAACCCCTTATTCCGGAAGTTACCCGAATGAGATCGCTGACTTTGGGAAGGGGGAGCTTTTTGCAGAAGGACGAAATGCGATTGAATCAGTTTTTGACTTTATGGCTTGATAGTACTAGTATTTACGACGTGGCCCCTTGTGAATCAAACTTTCAACAAAATTTTCTCAGATTTTTGGGTTAAACCTTGACAGCTTGATAATTTACGCAATTGATTCTTTTTGGCAAAGTTTTTTTTTGGTTCTCGCAAAGTAATAGACTTTTGATCAAATTTTTGGGCTAGAGTCTATGGCTTGTTGTCGTACAAATCCATGACTTTGCAAAATGTACAGATAGCGACCCGATGCGAGTTAAAGCCGGACGGACCCATTCAAAGCGCAGTTTTTGATATATCTGGGTACCAGTCCGAAGCGCCGCTTCGCGGCGCTCCGGACTGGCTGTGTGTGTGAAGTGGGATATGGCTCTCAAAGTTAGAGCGTGGAAACCTTTTCTCCTCCAAAAGTATGATTTCTTAGGAACTCGGAGATCATCAAAGTTAAATGTCAGGATCTCCTGCTTTAAATGGTTTCCCAAGTTACATCATTAACCAAAGTGATAGATTGATCGCTTCCTCTCAGCTTTCTTTGCAACTCGCGTTTTATTTTCATTCCTGAGTTCTGAGCCAAACTGGCCTCCCCCCCCCCTTTTCATCCAAATGTTTCCTTTATAAACTGCCCAAAACCGATCTTTTCTCGCATATTCAAATCCTCTTGATCTTACTCAATTGCTTTCGAATCTAGCTCCAAAGATGCTGTTGAGAAAATGCGCCACCTTACACCTTTAAAGTCTGCACCGAATCAGGCCAAAATTGATATGATGAGCTGCGAACGCAAAGATTCTGCATCATGTCTGCGGCGTTAGGACTTGTCCGTTCCCAGCTTTTCTTTGAACCCTCCTGCAATGCGAAATGCAGCGCAAGCCCTAAGCGTTGGTGTGCCGTTTTGAACCAAAATTTCAGCGTTATCACCATAAACTGTAGCTGCCAAAGTTGCTCATTCCCACATTTGCGAAAATCCTCGGATGCTCTCCAATTTTCACATCCGAAAGTTATCTGACCAAAGTGGCCGTCACAAACCCGGCAAGCTTTTCCCAGCTATGCACATTTTCATGGCTGTTTTCACCCGGACTCTGCTCTCCTCATCGACTGTCCCTACGAACTGCCTTAGAAGGCACATATGAAAGCTGGGGTGAAGTAAGCGACGTCCCTTGTCATAAAAGGGCCGCGGGCGATCACTGCTATGACTTTTCAACATTGGGGACTCCGCTTCTTTTTTTGCCACTGGGAGGATTTTCATGCATATCGGCCTCAAAGTAACTATTCTGAATTCTTTGCGAGATTTCAGCAAGAGGATTCAACTCAACGCATTTGAATGCATTTAGCCAAAATTCTAACTTACTATTATGAAATTTCCTAAATGGAAAAACCTCCCTTCCTCTTCACGATATATGCTTAAAAAATTCTAATGCCAGAGCTCGCGTTCGCGTCCTATATGGGCTTTCCAGATTGTTCCACAATTTGGAAAGCCTTCCATATAAGACGCCCTTATAGGACTATAACTTCCACCCGGAATGCTCTAAAGCGCACCCTTCCAACTCATCCTGGTAGGCTATTGACTCGAATTCCGTAAAGAGAGCTAGTATTGAAGCGTATATCCAATTTTAAGCTGTTCATTCAAACAAATCACCGCTGTATATACGATTTTGAGGTAGTGCATTGTTCTGACAAAATTGCACTAAAAAGCTACATGTTCCTGAGGTTAGCAAGGGTTGAGTTGATGGTTAGTGAAGCGTCCCTTTCTTCCCATCTCTTTTGTTCACACTTGGTATACTGATAACAGACAGAGAGCGTGTAGCTCTTTTCAAAACTTCTCTCACGATCACAGTAACTTTTACAGTTTTCTTGAAATTTTCAGTCTTTGGATTAATTGAAAATCCTGAGATGAAGTGTTCTCTTAAAACCTGCGTTGCTTGCAAAGTGAGCTTTTTGTATAACGTTTAGTGTTTCAAGGCAATTCGCATCACCATGTTTTTTTAATCACTTAGTGGATAACAATTTGGAAAGTTGGCACAGTATTGATGTTTGACTATTTTCTCAAAGAGTTTCGATTTTCACAGTGAGTTTAAGGAATTTTTCATGTGAAGATACGTTCAGCATGCTTCATTCGCTTCTTTTGCTTCATTCTTGTAGAAGGGTTTTTTCAGAGTAAAATTTGAAAATTTTTAATGAGATAAGTATGGTAATGAAGACAAAAATAGAATAGTGCACAATAGGAAAATGCACAATGAGTGATATGATTTTGCTTGATTTTTTAGGAAAGGTTCAATTTTAAGTTTTGTTTTTGCACGTAAAGATACGTTTAGTGGTAAAAAACAGTGATGATGTGGTGCACTGATTAAGAAAGAATTGAGGAGATGTAATGCGGATATCAATGTTAAGTATTATCACCGACCTGAAGATGCTATCCGACGTTTGCTTATTTTCACAAATGAATAAAGCAAAATGTAAAGCGGTTGAAATAAATCGACCGCTAACAGCGTTGTAGGCGACGGAATTGGGGTTGCATTTAGCTTGACGTCGAGATAAACATCACCGAAGCAGACGGAGCACCGAAGATGGTAGAAAACATCATACCATTGATGACGTCATAGGTTGCACTTAGGTTGAGTCGTAACGGTAAACAGTATGGAAGCAAGTGAAAGTGCAAGAATTAACTCAGAGATCTGGGCAAACATTCTTCGCCGGTTGTTGACGTCGGATGGTCCCCCCTGCGCTTTATTATAGGGTATGATTGGATCGCCTTGTCCTTGTGCGTGGGGAAACTATATGCTGGTAATTTGTGTTATGCAAAATCATAGCTCGAGACCGTGTCGTAACTCGCTTAGTGAATTTCGTGACGACATGTTTCCACACAGACACACAAAAAGACAGACGGCCTTATTATAGTACAATTCACTATGTTTTTATCTGTCTGGGGCGCTTACATCGCGCTAGATTCTATCTTTGCAAACTTACATTTTCCACTCGTTATCTCCCCAATTCTTTCATGACACTTTCTAGTAAAGTCACCATGTTTGCTGTTCCAAACTGTTTACAGAATACCTTTTGAATACGAATGACGATTCTGTAGTGTTCAGTTTTTTCGTTTGAAATGAAAGTACGACAGTGTCGTTTTGGTTCATTCATGGATGAATAGTGCGCCCTCGACGTTCCGGTTTCATGTGATCGTGTTTTGTGTGATATAGCCGCGATTTTGCTATTTTTTAAACGCTCACATTCCACAGCATCGCTATACAACCAGATGCTTTGCGATGAGCTGGCGCCATGATTTTCCGGAGCCCATTAGTTTCGCCTAATCGACAATAATGACGACTGGGAAGGAGGACGTGGAAGCTACGCTCGTTGACTATTTTGTCGTAGCTGGGTATGATCCCGACGTGGGACTTGTGGTTAGCCTTACCATAGCAGATGTTCAAAGCTTTTTTACTCTGTAGATTAGTGATGGTTTAGTTTATTTTCACTTTTTTCTTCAGTTTATCTTCAATGTAGTGAATCTTCTTTTTTTATTTGTTCTGATTTGTTCTTTCCCAAATAGTTGCTTATTCAATTCCCATCCATTTTTCTTTCTTTAGATTGATACGGCATGTGATGATTATGCTTGGGAAGAAGAAAACGGGTTAAAATCTCCCAAATCAAGAGAGCGAAGGCCACCTCTACAGCGTTCTTTCGTTGCCAAAATCTTGCATCATTTCCCTCAAAAACGACCAGGCGCACCCTTTTCTGATGAGGTGTTATCGGTATGTTGCATGCTTTTGGCTTGAGGCTGATAGCATATTCCGTTTGAGCAACTTAGCAAAACATTTTAGTTATGCATGCCCAAGGGACTTCGCTTCTTCACGGAAAAGGATGTTCCAATGAACATTAACCTACATACCTTTGCTAATATTCGAGAAGATGGAAGTCGAATTAATGGCACTGTCATGACCTTCTATGAGGTGATTTTCTTGCATTGTATCTTCTATTTATGGGTTTTCGTAGACATTTTATGACTGACAGCTGAATTCGTTATCGGCGATTGCATGCGGTTCGCAACATCGCGTTTTCAGAGAACAGGATTGGAATGTTGGGGAGATAAGATTGTCTGTTATGGGTGTACTTTGCATTGTCATATTGAACTGCGCTTTTTTGTTGTTGTAGTGATTTTTCGGGCGCAGAGGTCATAAAATCTGCATCGAGGTATACTTAACCTCACAACTGTCCTTTATGGTGCTATAAAAGATAAAGTTGAGGACCCGAGTAGGTGTAGTAGTCGTTGGAGACAAAAGTAAACGGAGGGGCAGGCACTTGAATTGTCTATAACATGCTTACTTTCGTTTTAAGGACATTTGATCAACAAACTATAGTAAGTCTGGAGTTTGCCTTTTTTGATCACGTAGCATAGCGAGGATAAGGTTTTGCTTAGGGAAATTGCGGCCAAGAGTTTGACGAATTGTTTAAGTGGAGTCAAAGTTGAGCTCAATGTGGAAATTTGCATTTTTCAGGAGGTCCGGGACCCTCGAATATGCGAAGCTATGGCTTTGCTGCACACTGAACATGTGCGCAAGCTGACCGCTGGTGAGCCACCCCTGGACCGCGAAAGGCACCACGTACCTCCAGGAACTGTATCGGGTAAGTGAGTGTGATGAACATTTTAGCACTCAAAAGTGTTTACAAGCATCTTGAAACTAAAAGTAGGGGTTTTTATTTCTATTTTTGCAAATATTGTCGTATCTCTTACATCCTTTCCCATTTTATGAGGTGAATTAAGCAAAATCCAGATTATGTAATAAATTGTTTGTTTTCTCCAAAGCTTTCTTGATCAATGATTTCCCGCAGGTGGTACTCATACTCTTCCTCGTGGTCGAAGAAGTAAAACGAAACGAATATCGTACTATGATGGTGGAGGTCACAATACCCTTTACATGTATGTTTATTGTGTTTGCTGTTTCTTGTTTATTTTACGTTAAAATGCCTTGCACTCTTATTCTGCAGTTGCATATATTAATAAGCAAATGCTGCAAAATGAACCTCTATGTTACAGGAGCAAGACGATTTGCCTTATCACTAGACTACCTCTTGTCTGCTCAACAACTTCTATATTACGAGCTTTTCACGAGCTGCTTACTAATGGATCACAACCAGAACTACCATTGGAGAGCTATATCTATTGGATTCTCAATGAAATTCCGCTTCCGTCACCTGGCACAACATTGAAGGTATCCTGATCATTCATGAAATGTGCTGGACAGACTGATTAGTGTAATAATTTTAGGTGTCTATGTTGGATGCTACAATACTAGTACAACGCCCTGGAACAACGGAACTGCCTATATTTGATGATTCCATGGGAACGATGTTCCAGGTAAATAATAATTTCATCATTACAATGCACAGTTTCTTATTTGTTTTTAGTATATTTCTGTCGAAAAGTTTCTCAAATTGTTCACCTGCTTTCTACTAGAGCATCAAATTTTGCTGTGTTCAAAAGGTAATTTGGAGTACTGCGCACATCGATCTACGTACATATTTTCTTACCCTCTAGATTATTCTCGTTTGATGTGTGTTTGTGAGGCTCTTTGTGCTCTTGCGTTTCCTTTTCGATGGCAGATGGTATATGTGCCAATCTTACCATATTCACAATTGAAATTTGTCGAGGCTCCGGTATGCGTGTTTTTTTTAACCTACTTACTTACACAATAATGCTGATTTTCGGGATTTAGGTACCATATATTATGGGATGGTGTTATGAAGAAAGTGTGCCTGATTTCTTATTCCAATCAAATGTTTGTGTTCTCGATATAGATACAGGTAGAACAGAATTTCCCGAGGATCTGCCCCCTTTTCCTGGAGCTAAGCAACTATCACAAGAGATCAAAACGGCTCTAGAGAGGTGAGCATCATTCAGTGGCATCGTTTTGTTCTTATTTCCGAATGGTTCAGATATTCTTCATGGGAAGATATGTCAAAATCGATAATCAGTGGAACTACTCCGTCGTTAACGAACTCGCCAGCCCCCACTGTTGCGAATCGAAGCAATAGCGCTCGTCGTACAGATGAGTGGTCTGCAAAGCGAATGAGTCGTTCTTTTGATCACGATGATGCCTTAGAGGATGCGATCAGTGAGTCATTACCGTCGTTTCCATGATTCTTCTTTTTTCTCTGACGGATTTTGCGATTTGCAAAACTCATTTTTCTTCATTTCATTCAAACAATCACCGAAAATAAGTGTATTTTTTAAACTATCAATTTCTTGCTTTTTCGTGTCTTGATTATGACTCAGTTGACGAATGCTTGGACAACTTATCTTCTTTTCTCAAAAACGCTAAATCTGGAAGCTTAAGCTGCTGTAAAACCATGCCGCTTTCCGGTGCGCATCAGTTTATCTCTAATGGACTGGTTTTCTTGACTTTTTTGCTTTCGATTTGCTCCATAGACCTTCCAAATCATCTTGAATTTCTGAGATCTTAGTCAGTAATTTAATGGTTACAATTGTACTTCCCAAAAATCTATTCAAGGCGTGTCCTAACTAGAAGGTGTAGGGAGCTTGAGAATGCTCGGTTTGCTTGATAACAGCGCCAAAATTGTGTTGCGCTGCAAACCTTTGCATAACATGCGTTTTAAAAATCTGGTAAGAAACATGCAAAGAGAGTTTTTCTTGGAGCATGACATTCAGGCGAATCTGTCTTAGTTTCGCCGCGACCTTCCCGTGCAGATCTTGCTCCTCTCCCTCTTGAAAATGTATTGAAGAACAATTCTACTCTTGCCAGGTGAGATAGCTTTCTTGCTTTTCACGAAGACTATGTTTTGAATTGCATTGCAGAGTAGCAGAAATTGCTCGAAGGGCTGGTGTAGTCGTGGATGTACAGGGCTTGGAAGAAGAACTTTCATGCAAAGATCAGTATGCAAATTCTCCTGTATGCAAGCAGTACTTCCAGGTCAGTATAATATCAACAGCCGTTTACGTTACGTTTACACTCGGAATGGTTGTGATGTTTATTTTAGAATGCTCGATTGAACAATGCTATACGAGAATGCGTTCTGAACAGAATAGTGTGTATGTTGTATTCGTACGAGCATTTTGTCGTCGGCGGACAAGGCTGTTCTGATCGAGAATCGTTTGATGATAGCAGGTGAGTTTCATTTCGTATTTATGCTTCTGTAATCTTGCAGGCGAAGTTTAGAGATAGCATGGTTTGCTTCGACAAGGCTTCATTTTTATCGGATCAGCCCGATAGCCACTTGGCCTTCCTAGCTGCCTTTCTAGAGACACAGGTACGTATCATATATATCGTATCGCTCCTTATGTGCCTTTGATTGAATTTCACCTAGCACGTATCGTATTTGGGAGGTTTTTTTTTCAAACTTAGTTTGGTAGTTTCTTAACGATTTCAGTAAAGCCTGAATGAAATATGTGAGAGCAGTTGTTTATTTTCTCTATGCGGAGCTATCTAGTCGCATTAAGTCGAATTAGGATTGCGGAGTTGCATGCACTTACATGGTAGTTACCATGAAGCACTCTTGCCACGGGAACCACTCCTGTTTTTCATGAACGTTAATACGTTCAAGATAGCTGTTGATTTTGAAATTGAGGCATGTGGTACTGGCAAAATGTTTCAATTTGACTCTTCTCAGAACCTTGATATGAAAAATAGACTGTTAAACAAAGAAGCAATAAAATTTGTCTACTTTTAGATGTTCACTTCGTTGATAGATGCCAAGATTTTATCACAGTGGGAGGCACCAGATGAAAATCTTGTATTGTTTGACTCTCGTATTGCTGCCATGCGGGAAAAGCTTGGACTGTCGATGGTGCGCACACCCACTTACGAGTCCACCCCGCCATTCGCCCATACAGGTATAGCTACATTTCTATTGTATGTTGGGACAATGATCATGTTTTATAGAAGAACTAATATCCAAACGCGAGGAAACGTTAGACTACGTTGTACCTGGGCCTCACGAGATTGCTGGAGCTGTACCAATGCGTTATGACGGTGTTTGGCCAGAGTTGAATACAGCGTTGTTAGAAGGTGCCATAGGGCTGAGCCCAGCGCCAAGTCCTTGGAAGCAACGTTATCCGAGACTGCGGCCAAAACAACAAGAGGTGTGCTGGATTTCTCTACCTTTATTATTTACTTTTTCTTACTCTGTAAAGCATATTCATTACGGTACCGCATATTCAGGCAACAGGAGCCACTGCCCGACCTACGAGTACGTATGGTGGTGCAGGCTTAGTCGGCGACTCGCCAGCTATGGTCGCTCAGCAGCAGTTGAAATTCGTTGATCAGTTACTGCGCGAGACAAAAGGTCTTTGAACAGATGGTTTAGCGTTCTTCAGTTTTTTTTATTGCGTATAGGTTTCTTGTATGCACATCTGTCTTTTCAATCATTACAGGGAAGACAAAGCGTATGCTTGTTGACAAAATGGGGAAAGAAGCAGTGCAGCTGGGCCATCTGGACGCAGGAATCACTGGTGTTGAAGAAAATACGCTTGTCGCATCATTCTGTGATCTTCTAGAGAGAATATGGGCACACGGGCTTGTGAAAAAACAGGTGAAATTCTTTAGGATAAAATTGTTCCAATCATTTTCTATGCTTTGACATTCGAGATTAAATTCTAAAGCGAAGTGACTGTCTCATCTTAAGCATACAAAAAGCGGTAATCTTGTAGGGCAAATCTTCTTTGTGGAGTTTCGTCTTACAACATCAGGATCTAGAAAAAACAGGCTTGTCAACGCGAACAATGTCATCCTCCATGCTAACTCCAGGTACATTGCTGATATTTTTTTACGATTTTTTCTTCAATATATATCACTTTGTCATGATTGTCGCCTTAAGTTTTTCCACTTAAATGTTGTATTTTCTGTTTTCATTACGCGCAGGGTCAAATGCTGTGCGGATAGAGCTTTAGGTCTACTCATAGAGTTTGTTTTTCGTGAGTTATCTATTTTCGAAGCATTTTTTATCGGGATTTTTGTGGCAATGCTAGTTCTATATATGCATCGTTCAAAGCAGCTCTTTTTTGTTTAACATGAGATGTTTTGATTGTACAAACTGCGCAAATGATTCAGTTCGTGCATGTGCGGAAATCGAGTTCCGGAACTGCTACTTTTAGACCGCTGTTTATAAGAAACGATCTTTTTGCCTTCTTTTTCATTCGACATTAGTTTCTGTTTGAAAATTCGTTGGCTGATTAAATGTTGGCGTTTTTAACTTCATCTTCTGTTGCATATTGACTTTTACGTTAAGCTTAGCGCAAAATCAAATTTATGTCTTCTGAAATGAAAATGGGAAGACCTAGCTTCTTATCCGTGTGCTTGACCCTGTCGACTTCATCGTGTTCACCCGTTATACAGAATGTTTTTTACTCCAGCTCTAGCGTGGTTGGTGTTCAGGAAGCGTCTCGAACGTAAGATTTTGCAACGTAGTGCATAGGCTACTTGTAGTGATTGGCAGTTTGCTCGTTGAATGACGCTGCTATTCATGTCCTTTGATCGTTTGCAACGAATGCATCGCTTTTTGTGAAGTTATGTGTTGGCAAGTATTTGTGGCAAAAATTCTTTTAGAATGAAAGTGTACCCATTGAGCATTTAATTTTCCGAAATAGAGGAAGAAACTGAGTTGAGAGAGATTACTTTTTGATAGCGACGTCTGTTCAGCATAAGCAATCCACACTTTTGAATTTATTACTAAGATTAGATCTTTCACAAGTTTCCACTCTTAAAATAATGTCTTTATTATATACCAAATATTCATAAATTTTTGTGCTGTTTATCGTACTGTGATCGTGGTTGTGTTTGTGACAGGCGGCCAAATGAGACGTGCTCCTTCGCTGCCGCACTGTGAGGTCCCAGATCCTGTGATCATCCAACCTACCAACGAAAATGATTTCGCTGGTGCCATATCCGATCTAGTGGAGTCGATCCAACGAGAACTAGGAAAAGGCGACGACGAAGATACTCCCGCGTGGTCACGGTCGATTCTACGAGCAGCCAACTTCTTAGCTGACAAACTGACCAATGCACCTAAAGAGGAAAATACAGGAAATTTGTCGACAGCTTTTACGCAACACAGATCGGCGGTGCCAAAATCGACTATGAAGAAGTCGGTTTCAGTTGGTGGTGGGTGAGATGTTGCATGTGAAGCATTGCAGACTCTGTGGCAAAGGCTTATTAATATTTCTGCATGCCTTCGCATGATTTTTCCGTCGTGCACGCTTCATTGGTGTCCTTACATTACCTGCTTGGGTTCTTGTAACAATGGGCAGCTTCGATTGTTTTTGGTCAGGACAGTAACATAGGGTTGGTAGTATCAAGTTAGACTTATTCACATTATTCCCCACCGAGAATGTAGAATCTCGAGTTACTCACATGGCTACCATTACTAACGTTTTAGTAACTTATCCAATAAGTTTTGCTCATATCTGACTGCTTGTGGTGTTTGGAGATGGCTTTGTTTTGTGTTTTACCTCTACTCTAATCAATATCAACAATTCCTGTTCAGATTTCACTAGTCCGAGCTGGAATAGTGAAGTCAGTGGAGCGTCAGAGGTGACAAGCTCACCGAGAAGAAGATCGCAGAGTCGCCCAAGAAGCCCAGAAACGGGTCCCAGAGTACTGTTAGCTCCACTTCCTACACATGTTGCGTACGATCTGAAGTCAGTTTTCTTTCTAATTCTTTTGTCAGTTATATTTATTGTCTTCTTAAATATATCTTCCATGTTAGCTCTTCGAGTTTCTAGTTTGGGAATTATTTGAATTTTTTAGAAATGTTCTTCGAATGACTGAAATAAAAACAGACATCGGATACGCCAGAGCGTTCGTAAGATTAGCTTTGGAGCGAAAGCTACTGCATCGACATCTTGCGACATTGTTAGGAAACACACGGCTGCTTACGTAAGTGCCTTAGAGTTTCGCAATTTGCGATACAAAGAGCGCTTCAGTGAGCTGTACAAACCGTATGCGTTCGTCCGATCGGAAGATGAAAGAGAGCAGTTTTTATATCATATCCTGTCGCTGAATGCTGCTCAGTTCCGTTGTTTCACCAACACCTTCACGAAAACAAGTACGTTATTGGCTTTTTGTTTTTTTGTTTGTTTTTGGTTGCATTTGCTTTATTTGATTGGACTTCTTCTTTTTCATAATGTATACCGTCTGTTATTTTTTCTAGAAATGGACTACCAAGTTGTCATAGTGACAGGTGGCTGGAGAGGATCCCTTCCGGCTGTTTGGGTTACGGTGCGTTTTACTTAACGTTTTTCTCTGTCGTGCATAGTTGATGAAATTTAGGTTGGTGGAAGCCTCTGCAGTAGCCCACAGATAAATCTCCCCGCTAATACACCGCTCTTCAAATTCGACGTCAGTTTTTCCTTACATCTCATCACTACCTTTACTTTGGTTCAGAATTGTCAAAAACTGCAATTACTTATTTGCAGCATAAGAATCTTGGTGTGTTGTCGACGTTACGAATTGGTCATGTACCTGGAGCGGAGAAACCGCCGAAATGGTACCTCGATTATGTAAGTTCAGATAAGCATTGTTTGTTCTGCGGCTAATCGCGGTCTTTTACGTGCGTAAAACCGTTATCAGGGTGTAGACGCAGCTTTTCAAATTCCATAGCACACCTCTGCCATCTTCTTAGCGACGTTGTGAATTTATTCGAGTTTAGTGTTATTTCTCGGCCAGACCGCTCAAAAGCGCTCAAAAGCGATAAAGCACCCGAAAGCGGCCAAATTTTTCTGATGTCTCTTCACTTTTTCGTGTGAGAGAAAGGAGAGAATCAGAGAAATTTGGGCGCTTTTGGGCGCTTTGGCTTCTGGGAGCTGTTGAGCGAATTTTGGCCGGAGTCTTATCTCCGGTTGAGCAAGATCATGGCTGCATATAGATTAAGAATTTATCGCGGTCACTCTTCGCCTCCAATCACTACATTACAGTTGCTCACTTTAAATTCTTTGCTCTAGTGCTTTCTTCTCCTTTGTTATCGGAAAGGATGCACGTCATAGACTGTACGCCGTTGCAGCGGTGCGCCTATATCTCCATGCGATAAGATGCGAAATGCTATAGCTAGTAGAGTCTTTTTGAGATATCACCCTCAGTTGGTTCGCCGACCTTAGCTGCTTTTCCATTTGAAAGTTCTCACTTCCATTCTTATACGATTGAGCTAACAGTGGCATATTGAGTGGGACGGGAGTGGGGAGGCAAACAAATTGGGGGTGATTTTGAGATTAGCCTTACCATTACAAAATTGCGCTAGTGAGTTGTTTTCCCTTGTAAATAATTAGAATAATCTTCAGATTTTCTACAAAATTCACATGAGCTTTGTAAAAGAATGGGCTTCGAGGCGTGGCTAGTTCGGGGTTATGACGGACAAAAATTTCGGAAGCATACTAGAAACTTTTGGAGAGTGTGGCAAACGACATGCCTATTCTCTCCCCTTCAAAAAATTCCTTCGGATTGCTGTAGGAAGCAAAGTTTATTCAGCGTTTACATTAGATGTCGTTCATGTAAGCTTAGTTTCACGATTGCATTCATTTTATCTCGATGTTCATTACAAGTTCTGAAGTTTGTCTGAGCCTCATATGTCTTGTCTGAGCTTCATATGTCGGAGAGAATCGATATCTATGTAACCAAAATCGTAAAGTCTTGGTAGTGAAAATGTCAGATGCGACATTTAGATCTTTTGTCGATGCTAGTGTAAAAGAGTAAACTATGCGCTAAAGGTGTGCCGCCATCGTTTTTCGTGTATTCAGGTCATCGTTCGGAATGAGATCACTGGTCAGATGTACAGATTTCCATGTGGGCGTTGGTTTGGGCAAGGTGTCGAAGATAGTCGATGGTTTGGAAATGGATGCGATGTCAGCTTGGAGAGGTTTGCTCAGCTTTATAGAGCTTCTTGCTGTATGATGCATGATGTGAGTCACTCAGGTTACTGGTAGCAGAACCTGTATGCGACGATGAAAACGGCGACTCGGGATTTGGCACGGTGCCCAATTCACCAGCGCGTGCAGCTAGGAGGGGAAGGGTGTCATCTAGAAGTCAGACTCCTCAAAGAGAACGCAGTCCATCACAAACCCGAGCCTACGATTCTACACCAAGTAAGATGGCGTTTTTTTTTTCATTCGCACACATTTGTTGCTAAAACTGCTAATTTTAGAAACGCGTATTACTGAAATCCAACAAATACTCGGCGAATCTGTGAATGCGTTGGTAAAGTACTTCTATAGTGAGAAACATAGTAAGAGCGAGTTAGCCCACCTGTTGTGTGGTGAACGAGGCCTTGTCAACGCTATAGAGATGGTGAGAAACTTTTTCAGAGCCTGCTATTTTTTGTCTATCTTATGTCAGCTTGTTCTTTAGCTATGCAGCTTCACTTCACAACATTCACATTGTACTTTGGTCATTTATTATCCAAACTTGCATATCTCATGTAAAATTTATCTTGATTTTTTTTTGATAGTCATTGCCAGTAAGAGAACTCTGCTTGTTCACCCAGTGGTGTCTCTTGAGCTACCTTTGGCTTTTTTTGGGTAGTTGGGTTTTTATTCTTTGAAAGTGCTAGGACTTTATAGTGTAAAAAGGTCTTTTGGTTGTAAACAAGGATAACAACTTATCACTTTGCTATCTTATTTTCCATGCTTTGCAGTGTAAAATCAGTCGTAGGAAGCACTGGCGTCTCTCCTATTCAGCTGTTAGGCCTTTGTTCGTTTCACCATTTTTTCACACTTTTTGCACTAGTCATCTAATCAGCTGGTTGCCAAGAAGGCATTTTTTTCAGTCTCTTCTTTCACCTTTTCATCACTCTAGTTTTCTTCGCCAGACTTTCGTCAGGCTTGCGTTTTAGGTCTACATCTTTTTTTGCAGCCTACTGGCATGTAGCCATTATTTCCTTTTGCTCATTCTCTTGTTCTAATTTGCATATCATCGGAATGTATTGTAGGCCTTCCAATTCGGCCGCCATGGCTCTGTTTGGCTTTTTCGGCAGCCTTCTCCTTGGGACTATGTTGGTAAGTATTTTAGAATTTTCGACCTTTTTCTTATCGTATTTTGCCATTCGTAATCGCGCCGTTCTGGCAAACTTAGGGTTATGATATCACAAGCTCAGAATTAATGGTCAACTGTCTACAAATAATGAGAGAAGTCATCGAACACTAACTTTTTTATAAATTAATTAATTCTTTGTCCTTTTCTGAGGGAAGACTCATGACTAAGTGCGATGACTCGTTGCCTAGGCATCTGTTCTTTCCACTTTCAGAAAAAGTTTGCGTGTTTCTGATGGATCTACTACGGCGGCGTGATGCGACATGGTCACGTGAACAGCGTGAACTAATTGCACATGCCTTAAGACTTGTACGCCGTATCTCTGAACGCGGTGCGCTTGGAAAGGATGCAAAATTCCACGTTTTTGTCTTGTTGACAATGAGGTAAGTCTATCGCAGTTGTTTTTTGTCTCAAACATGTTCGTGTGCTCGTTTTATTTTATTTTCATGTTATATCTTCCTCTTTTGCCTTCGCGTGTCTTTCCATTAGATCTCATAATTAACGAGATTGTAATCTCGGTTCTCCCACCTCAATCTTCGTCGCGTAAGATCGCGAGATAATTGTTTTTGGGTCATAATTAGCGGAAATTCCCTTTGGGTGTGTTACTTTATTTAATTTGTTTATTTGGAAGCACGGCTTCAGTTCCCATTTTTGAACCGATTATCTCGTAATGTCAAAATTCAGTCTTGCAATAACATAAGACTGAAACGTCTATGGATATGGCATCCGCGAGACTTTGAGGACTTTGGGGTATGCGACTAGACAAGTTGGATGGGAACATATAGTAGCTACGATTTGGAAACAATCAGTTATTTTTCATTTTATAAACCTAAAGGCTGCTGCATGACGAAGGCGCAGAAGCAGTATAAATTGAGCGGGCGCGACCTGCGCCTCATGCGCTCTGCGGCTAATAAAGCCTCGTTCGCACCCGGAGGCATTGCCCTTCTCATGCAGCAGCCTATACGTAAACAGTCCAGGTAGCTCCAAAGGCACAGTTTACTCCAATCTGAAGGTAGTGAGATCCAAAGGAAAGCAATTCGAGGTCTCCAGCTATGTAACCTCCCATTTCCGGCTGCTGAAGGCGTATTGCGAAGCAAAAAAATGCTTCAGAGGGTGGATGCTGCTGGGGTCGCCACGCCCGCGATGGCTCGCTTAAATGTAGTGAGCACGAAAATTACACAGAAATGTCAAAGATGCGCCTTTCATTGTGGAAGACCAATTTTCGACATTTTTTAATACTCTGAGTTCAGTTTCCAGCTCATTGCCTTAGGTCACCGACGTTGATGGGCGTGGCGACCCCAGAAGCAAATTTCGTAGGGGCGATTTTATCACTTCGGAAATGGCTTTTGCAGCGTGACTTGGGCAGTTACTTAGCTAAAGGCCACGCTTGTGTACCACATTAAAATTTGCCAATCTCGGGTCTGGGTGATTCAATGAATCTCTTGTAGAATAGAAGGTGATTCTTCACCAAAATAATAGCAAACCCATGTGCGCTTATTTGCGTCGCTTTTTTCGTTGAGGTTGGTACATGAAAAGCTTTGCATTTATGTCTGCTGCGCGACTTGCTCGTAAACATCGTTTCATGTTATTATTAGCGCTATAATTCCTATGATTGCGAGTCCTGAAATGCTCTATTTATTTCCGAAAAGTAGTTAACCTGAATAAGGTAGTTTCTTGGAAGATATTGCGTGTACTTACGATTCGCTGTATCATAAATGTCGTGCTCCAAAATTGAACCATTACTCTCGTATCTCATGTCGTGAATCTAAATGCAACGCAAGTATTCAAAGCTGATTTTATTCTTGACTTTATCTGAAGTTTTCTTTGTTTGAGATGAGGGCTGCATATGCGAGGTCGCTACACAATTGTCTAGATTTTTTGTGTTTTATGTTCCTTCATTCTTCTGTTTCATCTCTTTAGATCTTTCATAGACTTCTGGAAGCTCACTCTATTACCTAAACAGTCTGAAATTAGAGCCCTCCATCAACGCAAGCTGGAATTTGCCGAAAATACTTCAGAAAAATCTCAAAAAAATTCAAGAATTGAATTTTTTATGTATGACATATGTACATCGAAAATCCCAGTCCTTTATATAACTCGAATATGAGGAGTGTTTAGGAAGTTATGACGATTTTTTCGTTCACTTGCAACAAAATTCATCTAACGACTTAATATCTTTGGTATTTGCTCTTTTGCTTACGCAATTAGCATTTTTTGCATTCTCTGAAAGCTTTTGTTGACACGCGAATACCAAAACGTAATCCTAGTGCCTTGTTTTGTATGGTGAAAAATGTTTATACATTCTTTCTACGCTATGTTGTGACCACGTGCCGCATAAATTCCTTTGTCACATATAATATAGCAAAATATTGAATGGAAATATGTTCTCTATTTCTTGTAGCACAGACATTTGCGGCTAGAAGATATAGTCTAATATATATAGTTTTGCTAATAGTGGTAAGCACATATTCTTGAAAAACCAAGTTTCCACAAATTTGCTGTTTGGCCAAGGCACTTTCTAGGTTGTGCCATAATTTTAGAGTAATCAAAATCTGTAGTTTTCTCCTGAATAGCTACCGAGGAAGGAAGGTTCTACAAGATGGCTGTCAAACATCCACGCAAAGTTTGATTCGCATGAAGTTTGCAGGCGAAATCTAAATTTCTGCTCAACCGAATAATTGACTTTTCGTCCAAAAGATCCTTGTGAACTCCAAATTTACACGTATTCCACGTTAGACATTTGGACTAGGAACCGAGGAACAAAAGAAGCTAGAAATACGAAAACGTTGCCTTTGTGGTCCTTTAATTTTTTGCTAAATTTTCGAAAATTATCGCTTGGAAGGTTTGGATAGAATAAGCAAAAATACATATGAATATCTGATGTAGACAGCATGTGCTTGAGTAAGTTGGAGTTCCAAAGGACTTGTTTGCAGACCCGGTTTCTCACGTGACGAGGACTTTTAGCTTAGGCTCTAGAGTTTACGTGATTAAAAATTCTGTGAGAATGCTGAAAGTCATCGTTGAGCTTACTTCGCTGCATTAGTTAGTGCCCCAATTTCTACTCGAAAAATAAAATTGATTGGCTTTTGTAAAATCGCAAGAACATTCAAAACAGCTTATATATGCCAGCTGCTGAAAAAAGGTTCACATTCTGAAATGCCTCTGTTCTGTTCTTTATCTGTGTAGTGGATGATGTGGAAGTGTTGGAATTTTTCGCTTCAAAACTACAGATCAATAACCATTATGATTTGATATTAAATGTTTTTTCTCATAATCTGGATTACAGAGATCACATGCTGTCCGGTTTTCTACAATTAATGGCATGGACACCGGTGACCTCGCAGTTATACGATGAGCCGTCTTTTTTGCGGACACCCGCGCACCTGACATATCTGTCGAGACTACTGGATTCTCTTAATGAGTTCAATTTTACTCTTGATCCTTCGCTCACCTATGGTGTAGTCTAACATATAAATCTGTAAATATAGATCTTTAGAAATCATAATATAAAATCAGGTACATATTGGCTTTCTTGTACCTCATGGAAGTGTAAAGATTAGCGAGTTCTATGTTTGTTTCAAAGGTACCGTCTACCCAAATCAGATCGGGGACGTTTTGATGCAGCATAGTATATGCTAGGCCCCAGCTATGTAACTGCTCAAGTTTCTCCGCAGAAGGTACATTTCGAAGCGAGAAAATAAGCTCAGAAGATGGATGCTGCTGGGATCGCCACGCCCATCAGCTCGGGTGGTCCAAAGGTAATGAGGTCGGAACTAGGCTTAGATTTTCGAAACGTTAAAATTTGCCTTACATCTTGAAAAAACACATTGTCGACATGTCTAGGTATTCTGGATCCCTTTCGGGCTCATACTTTTCGACTCCCATGTTGATGGGCGTGGCGAACTTAACAGCATTCAACTCTGGAGCGATTTCCTCGCCTCGGAATAAACCCTTTGCAGCGGGACTAGGGCAGTGAGTTAGAGGCCTTGCTGTAGCACTGCCTCCAAATCTCACCACATTTCGGTGGGCGGTATTTCAAAAAAGAGAAAAGAGAGGGCAGCCATGCTGCACTTGCCAAATCCTCTAGATCATGGTTGTTGTCCTCATCTGTCCATTCGCATAAACCTAACCTACATGGTAACGAATCGGATCACAGTAGCTACATAAATGAACTCGCTGATTTTTTTATTGCAACATATTCTCTTCTTTCTGTTTTTCTCCTTTACGCCTATTGTATATGTGCATACTTTATATCGTTGGAAGTTCGCTACCAAGTTTGAAAGTGGGCCATTGCCGCAAGCAATAACTTTTGTAATTTTTTTGGTCCATGTCAGTAGTTTAGCTTTTAGGGTCACAATTTTCCATGTCATTCTCCGTGACAATTATTTTTCTTTATCTATATGTTAGTAATCAGTCTCGAAAGGCTGATGTAGCGAATATACATTTGACTGGGGCGTTATTCTAACATCCGGTTATCATGCGCTTTGAACATAAGCGGCTGTAGGGCAGCAGTTTATCATTCTCCCACAGAACCAGTGTAGCATATGAGCTGATTGATAGTGCCTGCCCTAATAAAAGCCTATTAAAGCCTACCAAACTACTACAGTATGAGCTTTCTTCACTCTTGTCTTTTTGCGCAAGTGATCTGCTTGTGTCTGTCAAATGAAACAATCTTATTGGTCCGTAGAATTTTTTGAAAAGCATTCGCCGTTAAAGATTGGGCTTAGACAAGTTTGAGGTTGATGGCCATGACTTTATCTGGAATAGTATGGTGTTGGATGCTCCTCTAGAAAGGCTATCTATCACTCAAAGTATATTTTCGCCTCCAGTTTCAAATCAGAACTGTAATTTGAGAAAACCCATCGAGTTTTTCTTCATCACTACTGTGCATCTGCAATACACGAAATTGTCTTCTCGCATCTTTGTTTTCTATTGTAAAAATTCTTATTTTCAATCATTTTTCGATTTACCTGCATGTTCTTTTCATGATCAAATACTTAGCCATTCTAGCTCTCGTTGTCCATGAAGCCCTGCTTTCATCAAAGCATTTTATGTACAAAACGTGTGTCAGATCTGTCGAAAACAGATCTTTGCAAAAAAAAGTTTTCAATTCTCTGACGGTGAAATAATCATATTGAGCTGATCTGCTCAATTGTATATTTTTTTATATCTGCATATTGTCGGTTTCGTTTCTGAGATTGAGCGTTGTATAATTTCAGGATTTAGAATCTCTTCTTCCTCACTGTAATTTTGACATTGTAATGATGTGTGACAGAGTGTGCCTTGTGCACTATAAAGATTCTAAAACCTATTTATTGTTTGTTCGTGATTTTAAAGGTCGGCTGCCGTATTCTTGATCACACAAGCTTTTTTCAATGAATTGTAATACGAATTTTCGCATTTATAAAGACAGATGGAAGAGGTGGCTTTATGGAAACGGGTCGTATCAGCAGTATTTTATGGAGTCACATCTATAATTGTTGTTTTTGTCAACAAAATATTGTTGACGAATTTCAAGTGAGTCATATTATTCTTTTTTTTTGGTTAAAGTCCTCTGATACAAATGTTTCAGGTTCCCTTCATTTCTTTTTGTTGGATTCGGTCAGATGATTGCAACAGTCGTAGTGTTGTTTATGGCTCGAATACTTAGGATCGTTACGTTTCCAACATTGGATTCTTCCATCCCTCGGAAGATAATGCCACTTCCCCTTCTGTTTGTTCTCAACTTAGTCTCAGGTTTGGGTGGTACGAAGCTGATCAAGTGAGTTATACAATTGCCATATGAAATAGAAAGCCTCAAATTTGAATTTCCAGCTTGCCGATGTTCACTGTCCTTCGACGATTCTCCATACTTATGACGATGATCTTGGAATACTATATACTAGGGTGTGTATTTATTTTGCCTATAGACTTCAAAGACTGCGCAAGTAAAGTATATTGACGGGGTTTGCTTCCTTGAAAGGGCAGGCCTTCTCTGGGAAGTAATTCGAGTCTGAGATGTGAGGAATTTCCCTGGGGGCAGAGGAAGGGAGAAGGATCAAAGGCACCTTCCACTTGGGATCGATTAATATCTTGATGAGTGGCGCTGCCCTCACCTAAGATTGCCCAAGTCCTGCGGTTAAAGGTGTATTGCGAAGCAAGAAAATCGCTTCAGAAAGTGACCTGCTAGGGTCGCCCCGCCCACACAACTATGTGCGCTCATTACTATCTAGAAATGTCCAAAGTCCGCTTCTTGTAAAGAACGTAATCTTGACATTTTGGTGTTCTAGAATGCGGTTCCGTAGTCCTTACTTTTAAAGCACACATGGTAAGGGGCGTGTCGGCCCCAGCATCATTCACATTTCGAAGCGATTTCCTCGCTTCGGAATACATCGTTTGCTGCTGGACTTTTACAATAGTTAGGAGCCTCGCTATTGTACTGCATTGAAACCTCACTAAAGTCAGATTTGGGTGGACGGTGTCTTCAGTCATACAGATAGTCTCACTGTCTTTGGACGTTTTTTAATATAAAAAAATTGTTACAACTTTTTAAGCTTACTCATATCTCGATTCACCTTTACAGAGTGAATGCTTCGAGAGCTGTTCGCATTTCTGTGTGTTTGATGATCGCTGGATCTGTCATTGCTGCCCTATTTGATCTCACATTTGATCTGTATGGTTATATTCTCATCGGACTGAATGATATCTGCACTGCAGCTCTCGGAGTGTACACCAAGCAAAAATTGGAAGCAAAGGCAATTCACCACTAATTTCAGACATCGTTTATTATTTTTAGTAATTAGTGTATCTATTCAGGAACTGGGAAAGTATGGACTAATGTTTTACAATTCATTATTCATGCTAGTTCCAACTTTCATACTTATCACTTACACGGGTGATACGGATCAGGTTTGTTTTTTACCATCTCTACATTCCATAATGGTCAAAAGTTTAGGCAATATCTTTCATGTCATCTGCTCGCATGACTAAATCAGTGTGGATTTGCTTCTTCGTTTCATGCATTTGCGGATTCGCTTTGAATTATTCTCTTGTTTTATGCACACATTTCAACTCGGCTCTAACAACAACCTGCGTTGGCCCCATAAAGGTAAGTTTTTTGCGTGCGCTTTTCGCTGCTTCATTTCGGCTTTTCCAGAATCTGTTCGTTACGTATGTGGGCATGTTCTCCAGCGGTGACTACGTCTTCCAGCTGACGAATTTCATTGGTATAAACGTCAGGTAAGAAAGGAAAATTCTTGTTAACCTTTTTTGTAGTTTAAAAAGTAGGTAAAACACTTTTTCCAGTGTGCTGGGCAGCATACTATATACATACGTGACGTTCCGTACGAAATCGCTCAGCCAACGGTTAGTGACGGTTGCTCCGGCAAATAAAATTGAGAAGCAACCATTGATATAACCCCACTACAACTCAGAGTTCAAAGCTCTTTTGTGCTTTCCAAAGCAATGCGTTACGGGATACTTGATTTACACTTGTCACGAACTCGTCGTAGGATGCGAAATAGCTTTAAGTAATTCGCTAACGGTGAAGAGATCTGGATTTCTAAATTTTTCCTCTTAGGATTTGTCGTTGGTTTTCGTCCGCTGCTGTAATAACTGATTACGCAATGATTGTTGATTGTTTATATTGTATTTGATAGCAATACAAGCCTTTGATCTACGTGTGACTACTTTGCTATGTTGATTTTATCCTGATTTTGCATAATTTTTGCATAATTTGTCATCAATGAATTTTCATTGCCTTGATGCTTTTTTCTTAGCATACCTTCGATAGTCTAGAGACAGGGCGTCAAAAGTGAAGGTTGCTTTAACATCTGACGTCATAAATAGTGAAGGTTGTTTAAAGATGATCAGAGAAGAGAAAATGACATAAAACAGATATAAAAAGCAAAAGAAACTGCTGAAAACCGGATAAAAACGCTGCAATGAGGCTTGAAATCTTTCATTTGGCGGCTTTTCAAAGTGCAGGTTTTCGCTTCAGGACCAGCACTTCGCAACACGGGGTTTTGATTTTTGATGCGTCCTTTAAATTTTTACCCCCGCGTTGACGTTCCTGTTTCCTGGGACGTTGCCTGGATTGTTGCGCTTATTGTTCTGAGCAACAATCGCCCAAGCTGGAAAAAATAGATGCGAAAGCACTGAAACAGAACAATGTAAAGAAAAATGCACTTTTTATGATTTTTCGCAAAAAATTCCACAATAATCGAAGAGATAAAGGCTGGGTGGTTGTCTGATTATGAACAGAAGCAAGATCTATAGAATGCGCGAAAAAACCGCGTGAAAATAGTTAAACTAGGAGCAAAACAAGAGATTTTCGACAACAAGGTTTTTGCCGGATTTCTCGATTAGATCAAGAAATGTAGTTCTGGGAAGTTGTCAGCGTGAAAATAGAGATCAAGAGCTTCAAAATGATATATAGCTTGCTAAAATTAGGTTCGAAACAGCGAAGAAAAGGGTACCAGAGCCAAATGCCCCGCGCCCCGCGTTTGAGGTAGCGAGGTAGCGCGCAGCGCGCGAGACGCAGACGAGCAGCGGAGACAGACCAGAGCCGACGTGGCATTTGGCTCTGTCGTGGATCTCCGCGGGGTCTCAACGAAACCCTGCGACATTATATATCTTTCTGATCGTCATGGCACGACGAGGGGAACTGACAACGTCCCAAGCTTCAAATGTCACTCATTAACGAGATACCAGCATTTTCGTGCGCGACCCTCTGCGCAAGATTTAAGAGCAGTTTCTCGTTTTTATTTAACTCCAACAGCTTTCCTCAACTTCTGAAACTCGACTTTGGTCAAATGAGAGGTTAACTAAGAAATTTTGTTCCGAATTCTGGCGAAAATCCCACAAAAACCTTTTTTTGAAGGTAAAAAAGGCTATGAAAACGCAAAGTCTCGGTTTCGCTGAGATAAGCTAAAGATATTGCTTCCTATATTTGCTTCATTAACATCGTTCCGATATAGTCAGGATAATAACATCCAGGGCAAAGCCTCGGATGACTTCTGTTTTTTCCAGGTGAAGGTTGTGTCCCCTCATAGCCCTCAAGGTGAAGGTTACCAGAGTACGTGGCTCTATGTATCGAGGGTATGTTTCTTAGTGTAGGGCAGCCAAAAAAGAAGAACAAATATTAGGTTAACTAATAAATAAGTTGGTCGTTTTCAGAGGTTATAAATGTGTTAATTACCATATGAACGAACGTATGGTTCTGTTGTGAGCAAATCAAGGAGAAGCGGATGGTGTACTTTGTTTATTTAGAGAAAATTTTCTTCATGACGACGTGATGCAGAAAAAAAATTTTTTTATCAATCCAAAAAAAAGCATGCTCCGAGAGAAGCTGGGTGTGAATTGTATAATTAGTACCCACACAGCAGAACTTCAAATTCTCAGCCATTTGCACCGCCGTAGAAGGTCAAATTCAAACGATGTGGATTTCGCAAAAATTGACATCCATGCGCAAATGCGGCGAAAAATTTAACATTTTGTGCTGCAGAATTCACAAACAGCAGATCAAAACTCCACTGTGGCTCGTTGTGTAGTCAAAGGATGTATGTATTCAATCATCAATCTGCTCATCCGTGCACTTTACTGTAGGCTGAGGTCGAAAATTAGAAAGTCAAAAAGGTGGTTTTCTGGAAGGCGAGCCATATTAAGGCATAACTATCATTTGTTGATGACGAAAATGTTTGAAAACCTGATATGTGAGAGTGGATTTTTGTATTTATCTCCTCACGAAATATCTTCCTTAGGTATACCATGAATTTTTATGAAGCTCTGAATTTGCAGTCAAAACAAACTTGTTTATTACCTAACCTAAGGGAAGCATGGTTCGACACTTGATCCCAACAACAAGATACAGGATTCCATCGTAATTTTGTGACAATTTTGCATTGGAGACCGCAAATTAACTTCTTGAAAATGCTCATGCTTTCTAACGCACACTTGAGCTGCCTTGAGGCGCTTTTCCCGAAACTGGATATGTACAGCTGCCTCCGTGTGCGGAATAACTTCTGCCGTGCCATCGGCCATAGCTGGATAGTAAAGCTAGCAAGCTAAGCGACAGATTAGCAACAAATTGGCTTATGCTTAGGTGTCTGGAAAACAGAAAAGAAGACTTGAGAGACTTTTTTGTGTGCAACCTATCGTCGCCTCCATGATTGCTGGAGAGGCGGAAGATAAACATCAGCCCAACGGCTGATTTCGCGTTAGAGCGCGAATCACATTTGGAGCGGTTTTCCTTCTCAATCCTTCAAAAGCCAAATTGGTACGAATGGAATGCGCAATCGGTAAGTTATAGTCATACTAACACATCTGTTTTCGAAAGTGGAGCAAATTGTAACAACTGGGACATATGGCAAAAAGATACTTTTGGCTAGTAGCAGTCACCCGGCTGGTCTACAGAACAAACATTTATTAAATGAGGCACTGTTTTTCTTGCATGTTCTCTATAGTTGATGTATCTGGACGATGAGACCAAAGATGGTTTTGGCTTTTACTGCTCTCTGCGCCTCTCTGTGTGGGAAATTAACAGGTGATGCAAAAATCAGTCTGGATCGGAAGTCTGGAATTACCCCAAACCGCGTGAGCTTGGCCATGCTGAAGGTATCGGCTCTCAACTCTGGGCCAGGTTTGAACACCTTTATGTGTCCTTAGCAGCAATTGTTGTGCTCATGCACTCTAAAGTGAAGGTATTTAGTGAACCTCTGGGATGTGGATAAACTAAATTCACTCGCTTGTCTGTTTGTTGAACCTCCAACAGTACACAATTTGGATGCCTATAAAGAATTGAGAAGAAAATCTGCTCCAATCGTAATTCGCGCCTTATCGCGAAATCAGCCGTTAAGTTTCTGTATATTTTCCTTCTGTTTGATGGCTGCTACTCTTAGTGTACGTCTCTGACCTGCGGCACACATGGCTAACACGTTTGCACTATGCAACTACGTGTTGCCAACAGTGTGCTGGCCATCAGCTGTAAGGCTTACATGTTGGTATATGTTGGCAGCATGTTGCAGCATGCTAGAATGTGTCACGGGTGCCGCAGGTCAATGGCGCAGGCGCGAGTGCTGTTTCATTCGTACAATTGTTACAAGCTTCGCGCAAAGTTAGCGCTTTTATGGCTAGGGCAGGCGGAGTCTGCCCGTCGATCGGAGGTGCGCACGCAAGGCCCTACGTTGCGGCTGAAAGGTTTTTGTTCAAATGGGACTACGTCATTGACATAGAATGCATATGATGGTGGTCATTGAAAGAGTTATACAACAAGACTTTCATTGTTAATTTAATTTTAATCCTTGAGATGTTCGCGTTGAATTCTTGATAAAGCACGTGTGTCTCGGAACCGGCGGCTCGATTTTCTGAAGCATGTTTGTTAAACCATGGGTTAAATATTAGGTTGCTGCATAAGTTCTGTCCGAAATTTTTTGCCTTATGTTTGAAGCAGCTGCTCTAAGAGGATCTCATCTCTGATGCGATATTGTTAGTATCATTAAAAAGTGCTTTTCTTGCGCATTCTAATGCATACCAAATTTCAACAAATTTCTTAGTGTAAGGAGATTTCAGGCCTGAAATCTCCAAGTGGTCAAGGTACGTTCTCACCCTAGAAATATGTTCTTGCGAGGAAATCCCCATAATGCGCCCTATAGGTCAAGTTTTTTAATCGGTTCCGGAATAAGGGTGTAACAGGCTAGCATACGCATAAGTTCAGTTTCGTGAAGAAAACGCCTTGCTAGTAAAATTATTGTCAAACATCAATTTTCTGTATAGATGTTTTACAAGCTATAGCTTTCTGTGAATAGAAGTAATCGATTACTTCAAAGTTGGAGATGCTAGCGTAAAGCAAGGGCTAGCAGAGGTCATCTACCAATTTCTTTTCGGCGCTCACGTTAATTGTAAAATTTTCATAACTCGTAAATAGGCATGCACACATGCACTGAAGCGATGTCAAAAAGTGGCTTCTTTTTTGCTCGGTCAAAAAAATCTCTCGGCAACGCAGACCCTATGGGCTCTTTTATGGGGTGAGGGAACTTACATACACCATAGGGTTGCCGCCGCCTAATTAGCGGAGTTCATGAGAGGTCATGAACTGGCAGCAACGCTAATCTGCACTCATTCTGCACCGAAGATGAGCTGATCCTGCTCACGGTAACTCCGTCATCATCCTGCACCCTATGAAACCGGAATTTTTTTGAAATTTGAATTCAAAGTTCAGTAGTAAAATCTGTCCAATTAGATCAAAAACTTGTATTTAGGGGTATTCTAACACGCTGATTCTGAATATGTTAATCATTTTGCTTGAAACCTAGGATTTTTCTCTTTTTTGAATTAAAACTTGTTTTCACAAATAAAAATTTCAAAAATTCTATGTAAGGGTTTTCTGACATGCTGTTTCCTAAAAAAAACTAATGTTGTTTAGCTCAAAACTTTGAAAATTTTTTTTGCTATTTTATTTATTCTCCACAAATTCTTTGTAAATTCGGCAAATTTCACAATTAGGGTCTTTTGACATGCTCTTTTCAAAAAAGCTGATGGTTTGCATGAAACCTCGAAATTCTTCTATTTTGAATTCCAAATTTTTTCGGATTTGGTGATAACAGCCACAGGCATGCCCTGAGAATCTGGCGACAACAGAAGGCCGTGAGGACCATTTCTCTCAATCGATCGTTGTACGCGGAGACAAAATACGATTTATATATATATCTATATATCTATATATTATATACTCATTTCTTTTTGAAGTCCATCTATATAGTCTTCTCTGTAACAAACTGTGACATCTTCCTGCAATAGTTATTAATGACATCTATTTCTAAATCATCATCCAAACGAAGCATCTCTTTAAACTCATCCATTGCGTTGTTGATCTTGTCACGACGCTCTTGATCTTTTTTGCGAAGAGCTCTCGAAGCGCGTGCATTCTGATTTATAAATTATTAGTGATATAATAGTTTGAGAATCACAAATTCTAACCTCTTGGACATGTTTCAGCATTCCTAGTGCCAATGAGTTGATAGAGTGCAAGCATTCCAACAGCTCTTCAAACGGGGGATTAATTCGCTTTGAAAGCATTCCACGCAATTTGCTGAAATCAGGGGTTTGATGTCAACATAAATTGGGATGACTATTTACCTGTGAAATGCTTCTGCTGCGTTTGTTGTCCTATAATCCTGCATACCCCATTTGCACCACATTCCTTTGAAAGTACCATTAAAATAAACAGTATTTAAATATTTCAAAAATTCATTGCATGGCGCATGTGCTACATGTGATTCACTTACCGGTGGCGCTGAAAGGGCTGAAACTCTGCTTATAAGTTCCTCCGGCAAAAAAATAACCCCCTTCAAAATCTCCCACCAATTTTTTACCTCTAGAACCGCTTTAGGTCCCATTATGAACTTTCTTAGCCCCAAATTAACAGAAGCCCTATTCCACGCCTGCGCTAAATGAAAAGCGCATTCTTGAACATCCGCTTCAGGAAAAGTCTCCCTTGCTGCTCGAATGGCCGCCTGTAAATAATTTCATCTGGACTGGTAATCATTAGAAAAACTCACCTTTTCAAAATCGACTACAAATCTTTCTTTGTATTCTCCTAGAACTTCCCGAAGGCTTTCGAACACTATTTTGTAAGTTCCGACGGTCTTGAATCTGGTGACAGCGTAGAGTAACGGTACCTTGAAAAGATTAATGAAATTTTTCTCGATTTTCTGTAGAAACTCACCTCTATGCCTCCTTGGATTGCCGCGTGCACGACATAAAGCTGACCTTTATCCATTCTATTTGGAATTGCAACAGGATTTAATTTGTGCACTCCATCCAGTGCATGCAATCCATGGTCTCGAGCCAACTAAATTTCTTTTTCATCTTGACTCGTCTTTAGTTAATATTCGCAAGCTTACCTCAACAACTTTTCTGCTGAAGTATATGTGCAAATCATCCGTTTGAAGCTGCAAAAATACCTCGCCTCCGGGAACGTTACGAAGATCTTCTGGAATATTGCTCGGATCTACAGTCCTTTTGTGAGCGTTCGCTGCCCTGAAAAAGCACCAGAGATAGTAGCAAATAATTAAAAGATGTAAAATACACTAACTTGGCAAATGTTCTCCTTCTTTGCTCGTAACTCCTTCCATGAAATTTACCAAGCACTTTTTCTCTTTCTTCGAGTGCTGAAAAATTGCAAATAAGCTAAGCTGTTTAGCTTTACAAAAAAAATTCACTTCTCCATGTGTCGTCGGTGAATATAGCATGGGCGGTTTCCGAGAAATGCCTGTAAGGTGTTGTTTTGTAAGCCTTTTTGTCTTTCCTCATGGTTTGGCATGCCTGCAAAAATATTATATTTTCTTTGAAATAACTGGATTTATTCTAAAAAAGCTACCTGATAACCATGACGATTCGCCTTATCACAATAGCGATCCAGAGGAATACAATTGTGGGATAACATGCATGGATCACTTTCAAAAACATCGTCTTGCACCTTCAAGTTTTTCTTTGCTTTTTGAGTTGAAATTCTAGGTAAATTAGCCTTTAGAAGATTCTACTTACCTGGACTGAAGTGTAGCAATCGTTTTGTTGCTGGCATCCGCGGCAACGATATATGATCGTTCCTCCTTGTTTAGTTTTTCTGTGGTGGGAAAAAATATAACATAAAGGAGAATTTGGGAAATCATATAATAAAACAAAATTTGTTCCTCTTTTACTCATCTCTTTTTCACCGCGATAGATGGGCTGCGCTTCAGGAATAATTTCCTCATTTGCAGAGGTGTGAATCACCACAGGCGTAGATGTCTGAAGTTCTATTTTTTTAGAATTACTGAAATGCGGACTGCTTGCTTACCTCAGTGGCCGTATTCATCAACGAAACCCGTGGGTTCCGGAACTCACTGAGTTAGTGCTTTTGATGAATATCGATTCTATTCCAGGGAAGAATCGATATTCATCAAAAGCACTAACCCAGTGGGTTCCGGAACCCACGGGTTTCGTTGATGAATACGGCCACAGGAGCTTGCAATGCCACAGCTTCGTTGTTGCTTTCGCTTTCCAAGTACAAATCGCTGTTTTGCAGATAAAGTTCATTTGGAGTGATAGTATTGTTCGACGTAAACAATTGCTGAATTTTTTTTAAGAGCGTAGTAAAAAAAAATATATTGAAATTTACTTACCTGTGGTCCTAACAATAACTGTTGAGAGCTAAGATCCGACGTTGCGTAAAATTGCTGCATTGCTTGCAGCATTTGCACATTGTAAAAATCGTAGAATGACATGGTATGAATATCGAGTACACCACTAGTGGACTGTCTGACATTTTTTCTCCTATTTATAGGAAATTTTTAGCCTGAAATTGTTTTTTCGCCCTTTCCTTGCCCAAAGACCTTTTTGGTCATTTCATTGCTCTGGGCATACTCGTCGGCGGTTTGTGTTCACACATCGGTGCATCTGTCGTTGACAAGTTAACTATCACGTGCATGGCAATCATGACTAATTGCAGGTAAATGAATCTCGTCAAATTATATGTATTCAGAATATTTTAGTTTTAAGTAGCTTGGTAATTTTGGATATTTATTTTTGGAGTCTAAAACAGCATGGACCCTGACACTTGGATTGGTCTTTCTAAATAAGCAGATTTTTATTTGATGTTGAAGTCCGTTTTGGATTTGAGAAATTTTTGACATCGACACAATTTTTTTTCGATCCAAGGTATTATTAGAGCACGATAGTTTAGTCGAATTTGGATTCATTTTATTTTCTTAAACATAGCAGATTTTTTCCATTTGTCTTCCAAGTTTATCAAATTTGCAATGAAATTTCCGAAAAAGTTTCAAATTCAAAATAGAAAAATTTTGAGGTTGCAAGCAAAACCATCAGCTTTTTAGGAAACAGCATGTCAGAAAACCCCTACAGAGGATTTTTGAAATTTTTATTTGTGAAAACAAGTTTTAATTCAAAAAAAGAGAAAATCCTAGGTTTCAAGCAAAATGATTAACATATTCAGAATCAGCGTGTTAGAATACCCCTAAATACAAGTTTTTGTCCTAATTGGACAGATTTTACTACTGAACTTTGAATTCAAATTTCAAAAAATTCCGGTTTCATAGTGTGCAGGATGATGACGGAGTTACCGTGAGCAGGATCAGCTCATCTTCGGTGCAGAATGAGTGCATATTAGCGTTGCTGCCAGTTCATGACCTCTCATGAACTCCGCTAATTAGGCGGCGGCAACCCTATGGTGTATGTAAGTTCCGTTCCCCCTTTTATGTCCCAAAATAATCTGCGAAAAATTCTCTATCTATCCATTGTTGGACAAGATGCCAATCAATTCTCATAAGGGAGCACTGCCATGTTAAAACAAACAGGTTTGAAGAAAAACGCTGTGAAGTTTTTGAGTTCTTTCTCCTTCCTTTACAAGGATTTTCGCAGACTTCAATATGTGTCTGATAGCCAAGGAATTACTCAACATAGAGGAACTAAAATCTTGGAAAAATGTTGACTTTGAAGAGAGTTATGACGTTTTGAACTCAAAAGTTTCAAATCGGACAGAACTTATGCAGCAACCTAATACAAGCGACTGACTAAGTATTTGCACTGTTTGCCTCATCTCTGGATGAAGAACTGGCGTGTGCAGCGGAACGTTTGCAGGAGCGTTGAGAATTACTCGACTCCCTTCTTCTGCACAAATTGCTGCTTGTATTGGTCAATGTTGTGCTCTGTAACGATTGTCGATATTAACTAACTGGAAATTTCTCTATGTATGATTGTTTGTTGATACATTGAATTGTTCTTCAGCATCTCTTTTTGATTGAGCGCTCTATGAAGCATTTAGGCGTGGTGAATGCATTCGAAAAAAGATATACTAATTCTACTAAAAATATGCTAATACATTTGACGCTAATCCAGTCCCGGGCCAAAGTTTCAAGTGTAGATCTCGCTCAAACTTGTTTAAGGACATTATACGACCTTGATACCAAGTGTAATACTGGTTCGTGCGACGCGCCATTTTCCGAGGTTACAGTGGGTGTACGGTAAATAAAAAGGATAAAGGATTCGACGTCTTCAATACCCTCTGAGGGGCATGCGCCCAACGCGCACACTAACTTCATGGTCGAAGAGGCAATTGTATGCGTGCGAGCCTTGACTTGCGGGGGCCAGCCGTTTCCAAGTCAGTGCTTTTATCCTCCCAGATTACTCTGGTACCAATTTACCGGCCCCGGAGGGTAGAGGGCTTGGTTGGCCCAGGGGCGGAATCGAGCCTGTGTCCGATCTGGTCATAGCGGCGCCTCATACCACTACGCCACTCGTCCCCGGGTGTACGGTACGAGGTCAAGAATCCCAGCCGAGCGCAATTTGGCATAAGGGGCTATTTAACATGGTGATCACAAACATGATACTTTCACTCTCGCTATGGCGAACTATCATAGAGTTAAAGCTGCTATAGAAGTCAATTACCAATTTCGCTGAAACTTCGCATAAAGGTGTTGCTTTCTGGTCACGAGTATCACATCGTTGCTGGTAAAAGAAAGTTCAATGTTTGCAATTTGTTCGAGTCAACCCTAGGTATTTTGTAAGCTTAAAGTACATACTCGGACGCGCGCACTCTAGCAGCTAGAGCATTGAACTAGGGCTATTTGATTGCCACACCAGGGCCGTACCAATCAATAGCTATGACAATTTTCCGCGCAACGGCACCTTGTCGTTTTGAAGGAATTAAGGGGATTTCTTGCCAAAGTATACGACAATCTGAGAATGAGCGACGGCGTATTTGAGGAATGGTTACGAAGAGTAGACTTCAAGCCAAGCCTAGACACCCTACTTGAGGAATTCCGAAGAAGATCAAGCTGGTTGAAAGCGTTAGTCTCGCCAGTTTAGGGATTGCCGATGCTAACGTACAGGGAAGCAAAGCCGAGCGTGAGCGTGACACATGGCTCGTTCTTCTTTGCGTGCAATCAGCCTCTGAATGATTTCTTCGCTCTATCCTTCTGATTGCGCAATAACATACTGATGAACAAGGTGTACGAGCTCGGGATAGGATATGCCAATATCGCCCAGTGGGAACAATACTTTGAGGAAGTATTTGCGATCATTGCCGACGAAATCGCATTATGCTAGGAAGAGTCGGTCAACATTTCGAAATTGATGGAACGTTTGTTACCTTACAAAAGTATGTGGTCAATTTCTACGGTACGTCAATGAAATGGCTGCTTGGAAGTTACGAGACGTCTTTTTTGAAGTTCGGACGTCGACGCAACGGTCGGTCTTTTGCGCCCGTTCTCTAATTATATACGACCTAACAGCACAATAGTAAATGATTGTTGGCAAGCTTACAATCGCATTGCTTTTCTTATCACAAGGGTACGCTCACCTAACCGTGAATCGCTAACATACCTTCAATACGTAGAACAATTTATTGTCGTGACCTTTACTTTGAACGATAAACGAGAGCAGAACTTTCATTTGTATAAAACGAGAAAACGTGGACGTATCAAAGTGGTTGTGAATGAAGAGAGTAGAGAGAGTAATAAATTATTAAAATTTTCCAGCAGCACCAAAAAATGCGTTTTCATCATCTTTCTCGTGCTAGAAAAATGATTTTTGCGAAATTTTCTTTAAAGTTGACAAAAAATTTTCTCACATAACCGGCTTTTGCACTAGAAATAAATTTGAAATTCCGCGAAGATTGACGGAGTGCAGTAAAAGCCAAAAGTGGGCCTAAAATAGCAAGAGTTGCACACAAAACGCAGCTTTATTTTATTGTAGAGTGGTGTCCTAACAATCAGACTGACATATAATATTGTATTTCGTTGATAATCCGCGAAAATGTACGACCAGAGCCAAATACCCTATCGGCTTTAACCATAGGTTGCGTTTCCTCTGCTCGTGTGCTCCTTCATTCTCTGCTCGCTACCTCGCTATCCCCGCGCTAAACGGGGCATTTGGCTGTGGTATCCTTTTCCCCACTGTTTCAGACTCATTCCTGCGGAAATGTATATCATCCTTCCACTCAAGCTCATATGCTGACAACGTTGCCAAGCTCCAATTGATTTCAAAAAGAAGTCTAGCAAAAAACCCTGTTTCCGAACCTTTCCTTAAACTAACGATAAGCATCATGAGGTTTTTCGTGTTAATAAAAGACTTTGCATTTGTCTATAATTAGACAACTTTTCCAGGCTTAGTTGTTTTTGAAAGCTCAATTACGAAATTTCCGCTGTTCATTCAAAAATTTTGAGCAGCAAAATTGAGTTTTTCTTCATAGTGCTTTTTTGGAATGAGTATACTGGTTGCTTATCGAAACACATTCCTGTCGCTGTGATGATGCTTAATCATTATTCGAATTCGTCTTTAGACAGGACAACATAGAATTAGGAGTTTGTGATTTCCTTCACAGAATCCTCTCAAAATATGGAACGCAGACATGTTGACAGTATCCTGAAGGGAATATAATGATGTACATCTCTTTGCTAAACGCCATGTGACTCGGTAACCTTTACTCGTTAGACAAGCCACTTGCAGTTTTTCATGCAGATATCGCTAAAATTTTGCGGCATTTATGTAACCACTAACTGCCTTTTTAAAGCATAAGGTGGTATTCAATTAACTTGTGCTTGGACAATCCTTACAGTTTTGACATATAAAGAAAATGACTTTTGCAGTCTACAAGTTTAATCACTGAAGAGATTTATCAGGCTCTTATGCTCGAATAAGTGGATTTTGTGAAGAACTTTCACAAGTTTGCGCAGTTGAAGTTTTCCGCGGTTTTCCTTAACACCCATCCCTTCGCCAATCATTACTTATAATAACGGGCTAAGGATGTTTACGTGACTTTGTGTGTGTGTGTGTGTGTGTGTGTGTGTGTGTGTGTGTGTGTGTGTGTGTGTGTGTGTGTGTGTGTGTGTGTGTGTGTGTGTGTGTGTGTGTGTGTGTGTGTGTGTGTGTGTGTGTGTGTGTGTGTGTGTGTGTGTGTGTCTGAGAGTGTGTCTGTTACGAAATTCGTAGAGCGTGTTCCAGCCAACCTCCTGGGCTCAAATTTTGCACAGCGCATGCTACCCGCATGAAAGTCCAACATGCAAAAGCACTAGCAGATTCGTTGAGTGGATCCCTCAGAATCTGCGTGTCAAACGGATCCACTTTGCATTTGGGCCGCAAAATTGGGTCCGTAATTCCACTTTTTTCAGAGTCGTGGATGTTTGTGCCAAGTAAATGTGCAAGCCATGAACTTAGGCTCGAAAAAGTGATTAAAAGTCCATTACTTTACAAAAACGGCGCCAAAAAGTATTGGTTGAGTAAATGATCAATTTGCCAAGGTTTTACCAGACTTTTTGACAAAAATTTTGCACAAAATTGTAGCTCACGGTGACTGCTGTTCTTATTGCAACTGTAAAGGCTATAAGAAAATCAAAAACCTATAAAAATTTGCATTTGTTTTCTTGCAAAAAGTCTCATCCACGCGAAATCACCGATTTCCCATAAAAAAGCTTTCGGAATGAGTAGATGTTTACATTTTGTTCGTGATAGTCGGCATTGCTCGGTGAGTTCCAAGGCCATCATTATACGAGAATGAGTAGGGCCGATAGCAGAGCCAGTGCGAGCCTCTGCGAAGCAGAGGTGACGCACTGGTGACAAATAACGCATAAACAATCAAAAAAGTACAAAGGTGCACGAAACATGCAAACTAGCATAGCATTTTCTACGGATTCTACAGAAAGATGCAAATATTGAGGACCAGTGAAAAGCAGAAGGGTTTTTTTTTTCGTATGGTTGATCCGGTCGGCAGCAACGGCAAGACAGTTTGAAGTGTTTCGGTTGTGTAATAAGTTCGTTCGCATTTTTTATTTTAGTTTTTTTCTTAATATTTTGCAGGGCGCTCTTTAGCTAGATGTTTGTATTCGTTCGGAAGCTCTAAGTTTTTTCTACCAAACGACTTTCATCATTTTCTCATTTCTCAAGAAATTACTTGAAAAAATCGAGTGCAGTCCGAAAAACTCGAGAAGGCAAAAATCATCTTTCTCTTTTAGTTTTTCCCGTTGATCACTGTTAATATTCAAGGAGCGCGAGAACAGTTGAAAACAGCAGACTAATCACTTATGCACTGACTGCCAATGTTCATGCCTGCTCACTTCCTTTTATCGACTGTTTGATGTCAGTTTTGCAAAAGTCGGCGGAGCAAGACTTTGCCGCAGAGGCGTTGTTTCGCGTACTTGAGTTGTGGGTCCCCCAAATCCAAACTTTGAAGTAAGTGACTTATTATTTGATAAGTCTAAAACCAGGGACCCTCCTGTCTTCTCTGATTGTTCGGCGACCATCCTCCCATAGAGTGCCTTTAGATGCCTAACGTTGATGCCGAAGAGACGTCAAAAAACAAACTTATCTTGAAGTTTCTAAATTGAATTTTTTAGCAATTTTATCAGCACTCACTTAAAAGTAGTTTGCGGGACGCACAACACTTTATCCATACTCGTCGTTTCAAGCATTTAAACCAAGAGGCAGCGTAATATAGTTGTCAAAAACGGAATTTTCGCTTTTTCGGATTTTTCGATTTGTAGTCGATTTTTTCATTCAGCTTTTCAAGAACTGAGAAAATAATGACAACATTTGGTAGAGCATACTTAGAGCTTGTGAATGCATACAAAGCTTTTGAAAGATGCTTTGCAAATTGACTGAAACAAAAAGTGCGAACGAACTTATTACACAACGTGATAGATTAGATGGAAGGACAGAAAAGTCGTAAATTATTTGAATATTATTTTCAAACACATCACACGGAAGCGAGATGTGCAACTCTATTTTCTGACTTTTTGTTTTGAGTCGTTTTGCTTAGGAGGTCACATAAAGCTGGGCCTGGTAGAAATTGCGAGCTTAGGGGTAGAGGAACGAACACCTCAAATTGACACCGCCTCCGCGGGCTGCTGGTCCTTTCGTCTTACTGTTGTGCATCGTGTTGGGACCAGTAGTCCGCGGAGGCAGTGCCTAATTGATGTGTTCGTTCCTCCATCCCAAGCTTAGCTGCTTTATCGAATTGACCATATTATATAGTCAAGTCAAACCACGCGAACTGCAGAGTCGCTGATGCAGTAGCATTTTTCTTTTTGATTAGGCTATAGCAAGCACCTGCTATTTTGACCGAACCAAACATATAACATTTTCGCATATTTCAAGATACAGAAGGTCGTTTTGCTTGCAAGAGGAGCATTCTGCTCGAACTGGCGAGACAAGCCAGCCACTTGCGCGCATAAGTGGCCGGCTTGCCTTGCCAATCCGAGCAAAATGTCGGCATTACTAGCGTGGTTATCTGTTCACGCGCTAATTCTATCGCACCGCAAGCACATTATAAAACGAAAAATGTACTCGACTTAACTAACGTCTTACGAGCCTTGCAAACCACCTCACCATAACTGCACACAAAGGCGCTGACGTCTTGGTCGATAATGCAAAGATGTTCCTTTTGCACTTTGAAGTGTTTTCTACCGAGAACTCACCTGGTCTGGTGTATTTTGCGGATTTAACACTCAGCGAGGTTCATTACGTATCGCTTTTGTGGAGCACGTGGGACGACGAGGTGACTAGACAAATGACTCCTCTAAGATTACCAGACGAGCCTTTGAGAATGTTGGCAATGCTCACGTTTTCTGCAGAACAATTTGTGAAAGAAGGTATGAGCGCCTGAGATTCTGAATTTGTCAAGCCTCAAGTGGTAATCAGCGAAAAGTTGCACAAAATACTTGTGCGGATTTTTAGTGGCGTGTCCTTTGTAGCTAAAACATTCCATAAAAAACTCATCAATCACTTTTTCATATTTTTGTGCTACTGATTTTATGTCACTTTAGGCTTCATAGACTTAATCGTTCGAGCATATATAGATTCCTAGGGAATTTTTCCGAAAAACAGGAAAGCAGATATGCAATCAGCGCCCAGAGGCGGTAATACGCACCTCCTTCTAGAGGCGGTAATATACGCACCTCCTTCCGATTTACCGGAGCAACTTGGTATCCTTCCCTTGTAAGTTAAAGGCTTACAGGTTTCCTCAATGTTTGTATTTGAGTAAAATGTTGGCCAAGTGTATGTAGCACGTCAAAAGTCTCGATATAAGTGGAAATCTTTTCTTTAAAAACCGAGGAAATGCTGAGGTTCACACTTCAATGATTTGACTCCTACGTAGATAAGCTATGCATAAATCGCGGGCAGGCAGACATCAAACAAAAGACTGATTTTCGCAGTTCGCTTTTTGAATCCCAGACAAGTGGCTACGAGATTTGCCAGGCCGCTTGTTGATTTCCAGCTTTGCAAGAAGCAGTAACCTATCTGCAAAAAGAACAAAGAGTGGGGCAACAACCGGCCTCCCAGAAACTTATGGACCATTTTCAGACTCCTGCGGGTGAGTGCGAAAAGTCAGGAACAGATATTCTCCGGTGCTTACCTATTCGTCGATTGTCGAAATAAATATGACTTTTATGGCAAGCCTAAGCTATGAGACTTTGACAAGCGGGACTTAAATAACTTACAGTTCTTCTCAGTTCTGTGCTTGTCGACCCTCTAGAAGCTTTTGAAGTTTCTGTGCTTCCCTTTGACTGTCCTAAGCATCATGTTTTCATATTACGCTGTATAACTGTTCTTCTCCTCTTCTGTGGAATAAGAGGCTTACTGTAGTCATAAGATACTTCTCCATCTTCCCCGATTACAACTCTGGGTGGCTGAACCATTTTGTCTGGACCTTCCTTCTTGACTTTGAGAGGACCATCTTTTTTAGCCTCAAGAGGTTCTGCACCGCGCTAAAGAATGATGTTCTCTTGAATGCAAGTGATAAATGCATATTACGAAGCTTGAAAATTTGTTGTCTTTCAAACAGGATCATTGTCCAGAGTATTATAATTCTGATGCATAGTCACATATGGGAAGGGAGTAAAGACCTTATGCAAAGCACAAAGGTATCTTTGTCCAGAAACAGAAAAAAATGGAGACATGAATAGACATATTAGGAAAAAAGCAGCCAACGAGACTCAATGCATACATACATTTGAATGAGTACGTTTGATTCATGTGGTTCACGGTCAGTAGGCATCACAGTCACTGACCAAACTGGACTACGAATACGCAAACAAGGTCCGGCAAGGCTGGCAAATGGACAACTAAGGCTGGATTCATACTAATCCGGAAGTTTTGGATTGCACAGTTCTCGCGTTATAAGTTCTCGCACTCCGGCACTGTTACAGCACTCGAACAGTGCTGTAACTATGCCGGAACGAGCTGCATGCGCTGAAGTCGCCGGCATGCGGTTTTGTATGGCCCCCAATATTTGGAAGCCTCAGAATTTATTGAAATTGGAACCTGCGCGATCTGGCACTGTAACGACTTTTCATAATTGGTCGTAAACGTACTTTGCTTGGGCCAGAATTAGTGTATTTGTTACGACTTAGGGATCTACACGTCCATGCGTTTGGGACCCACGCATGCTCAATGTATAGACATTTGGCAAAACGCCATATCGCGAGGATGTGGCAATTTCGCAAAATCGAGGGAAGTACGCCTGAAGCCACGCGACCACCGACGCAACCACTTATGTCCGTGTAATCCACGAATCAGTCCAAATTCAAATAGCCTTATGACTGTCACAAAGCTTACCGCTTCTGCTCTCTTCTGCGAACATAAAAACAGGGATGAAGTGAATGTGAGCAGCAAAAAGACAAGAACATAGATTGTGAATGCTGTCAATAGAGGCATTGGCATTCCTATAAATCGCTGCTATTAAATGTCAATCGAAGGAGTGTCAAACCTTGGCTCTTGATTTAACGACCGCTTGTTAAAAGCAATTTGTTGTATGATCGCTACTCCTAGTTTTGAGTCTGTGATAATCTCTGCATTGATATCTTCCCTTCCATGATCTTCTACGCATGGCTAAAATCATGATGGCAACATGAAATGACATGTCATAAGGAATTATAGGCAAAACGCTTTGCCAGCAGCTTTTTGCATGTTGACCTTGTTGTTGCATGTTGCCGACATGTCCGACACTATGAGTGGCGCAGGTCAGAGACGCATCAGGGATAGCAGCAATAGTGGAAGGAACGATACTGTTGTTATATTGGAGGAACTAAAAACGTTTTCAGTCACTTTCCCATTCATCGTTCTGTGAATCACTGCATACTCTACTTTGCAGGATGTACTTGTTCTCTCAATCATATGCCCTCCTCGTTCTCGCATAGTGACGCTTCAGACTTGGCGCGCGATGCCCCATTAACACGTTGACGACAGTGTCGCGCAATGGTGCGCGACACCCTAAATACCAGTTCTAATGTGCACAATGGCTCCAATTTGTGTACACATAATCAACTTAGGCTCAGAAGTTTTTCATGTTGGCCCCGCCCCCTCTTTTGGCAAACTCCGCCCACTCCGTTGCCTTCTATAATAAACTTTTTTCGTTCTCAAATCGCAAAGAGAAGCTCGTAGATGGCTGGGGAACCTTGAATGATCCTAATTTTGACCCGCCCCCCATTATGCAGGCCCCACCCCCTGAGTGGCAAGCTCCGCCTACTTTTAAAAAATGCCGGAATCTGCATGAATTCATTGATTTTGAGCAATTTCCAGCATTTTGAAAAGTGGGCGGGGCTTGCCAAAAGAGGGCGGAGCTACCTCACCCACTTGCATTTTTGTACCTCACGCTTAGATGCATACATGCATACATGCAGCCGGTTGTGAAAATGCCCGAAAACGGTTTGTCCACAGGGACAGACGTCAAAAAAACAGTTCGTCGTCAACGTGTTAAACATGCAGATAGCATAAGGCTCTGCACAAGCTGGTACCACAAGCAGCTAGTAGCTGCTAGTAGCTGGTAGCTGGTACCTGGCATGCCTTATTAATAAGCCGCTTGGTCTGTGGCTGTCGAGTTTATCCGTAAAGAAAATGCAGTGAGGAATAATCCATGTGTATTTAGAAGACAAAGTTTGTACAAATTTGAGTTGCATGTTTTTTATAGACTCGCTTGCCCGTAAACTGATAAGCTGAAATTTTGCACACATATGTTCTAGACCCGACCCCCTAGATGGTTTTAGGTTACTTTTTGAAGCGATTCGCCGGATCCCCTTATCGATTTATTGATGTCACCTATAAAATGAACATAAGACCTATCAGCCGCTATCAAACCCCCTGCACATTTTGATATAAACGATAGCAGAGAAGCTCATTCTGAGTTCTAGCGAGGAGAATGCGGTAGAGGCAACTGGTCACCAATTATTCAAGTAAGTTCCTGATGTCCATCTCGACAGGCACATGTGAAATTGCAATAACGACTCTATGGGAGCGGGAGGCCGAGATTTTGTGATTGCCTGGAAGTAATTCTCTTCGCTGAAAGCCAGCACTCTACTCAAGTTGCTTTAGCATAACCGGCGGAGGAAGTTGATAGTGCATAAGAGTGTGCGCAGTTCATCAATGTTTGATTCCTTTCGCACAAGGTGAGCCAAAAGGACAATCCCAATTGAACAAATAACTTTTTAAGGACAATCCCAATTGAACAAATAACTTTTTCTTATGAGATTATCAGAATAAAAATCTTCTCAAAAATTAACCTCTCAGTTTGTGACGATTTCAATTGATCACAAACAGTTTCATAAGTAAAAGTGTAAAAAATAACTCGGTAAAATTTAAATTGTCTTTAACTTAGCCGTGCAAGGCCAAGCATACCAGCTGTTTTACAAATATCAAAGCATGAGTCCCTCAACAAAAGGGGTTTTTTTCTGTTCGGCATTCAAGTGGTCACCTCAATGAAAAACGACCACAAGTCCAGTATTACTACGTAAGTTTTCTTGACCGTTCCATATTGAGCAATGCGAGCTTCTGGAAGAAAGGGAGAAAGAAAACTTTCTTCAGAAAGAATAATTAATTTTTTATTCGTCACCAAAAACAATAATTGCCTTAAACTACATCTGTGAGCAGGGAAAAAAGTTTCTCAAGCAGAAGCTTTGAAAAGTGGTTTCCACTCTACTGACCCTTTCTCACAGCGCTTATTTTATATCCGAGATAACGCAAAGTTTTGCTTCCACTGACATGCCAGAGTACGGAGTACGCCACAGATTTTTGGCAATGAAGAGCTTAGAGTATAGGCGTATATAGCTTGTTTCCGCTTTCCAACTATTAATTACGTATTTAAGGAGAGCGTTCAATATCCAACTGCCTGTTTCATACGCTTGCCAAATGAGTTAGTGGCTAGTACTGCGCTGCAAGCTGGGAATACTTCATCTTTTGTACGTAAAATCAGTGCACTGAACCTACTTAATTCAAAGGATTCCGAAAGTGACTAAAATCCTCGCGCGTTGCGGCGTCTAGGAGAGGCAGAGCTCGTGAGCTGAGAATAACGTCATTACCTAGTAAGTATTATGTCGAAAACAACATATACTATGTATTGCCGTATTCGCTTTCAGGAGATTCCTTCCCTCATCACCGATCGTGCTGCCGTCCGACTTGCACGCGGCAGATGAACACGATGCGAAGGGCATCGGGGCAATTTTTTAAGTTGAAAAAGCTATTTTTGGGGATTTTAGAGCTCTGTCGATGCAGTCGCCGCCTTTGAGTGACATTGACGGTTTTTGTCTCTTGGTGAATTCGACTGGCGCTGTCAGGTAGATGGCAACGAACCCTGACATGGTCTGGCTCGTAAGATCTGATTATTGCTACACCAAGGCATCCTTTCGCCCGTTGAGGCAGCAACCATGAAGAGGCTGTAGGCACCTCTCTCTCTAGATGTGGGTCGTCTTGTGTAGCTTGCACCGATTGAGCTGCTCACCCTCTAAGGAAGCTCAGCGGAAGCCTACTGTCCGTTGTATAACTAAAATGTTCACACAGATTTCTATGGCCTAAGAAAAAATAAACGATTGTTGCCTGACCGAAAAGTGTCATGAACACGCCTATCTCCTTGTGGGTAATAATACTAACTCGGTTTTCGAAAACATATAGCTAAAACTTGCGCATTAATTTCGAGGGCATGTAGCTAATGCCGCTGTCTACTCACTTTTTTGGTTTACTTTTCAAAACAACAGAGTTTGCTTCATATTATTGAATGACACTTAGCGTAAAAAAAAGTACAACAGATCTGTAGGGGTTGGCTGTGCCGCTCGGAAGAATTTGGAAAGGCTAATAAGAGAGCGCATTGCTGAAGTTGCAGAACAAATGCAAGGGGTGAAATGTATAGAAAAGCTCAGACGGCACTAACTTTCTCTAATGTTTGTAGTTATCTTTTCACCTAAAGTGGTGCCGTTTGCTTCTGCGTCCTTTGCGGAAAGCAAGAAAAAGTATCATATGAGCGAGCATATGCACAAAGCCCACAGTAAGCTGCTTCGAGTCCCTGGAATGCCCGACTGATGTTATTTGATTTGTAGTTCTGTTAATCAGGTGTGTGTACAGTCGAGTAGTTTTCCGCTTGATATAGTGTGCCTGCACAGAAGGTGAAATGCGGTAAAATTTGCGCGTGAAGAAATAGCTTCCACTGACACCGAACGATTGCGTACGCAAAATGCCGGCAGTATTGGAGTGGCTATTTGTTCACGCGCAAATTTTACCGCATTTCACCTTCCGTGCACGCACACTATATTAAGCGGAAAATCTACTCGACTGTATAGGGCTTATCAAATTGAGTGTCGTTCGCACCAGCATCTTCATCTTCGCGCTGGACTTTGCGTCTCTTCCGCGGGACTGCTCTCTAAGCACTTTCCCACGGCGAGCGTGGGAAAGGCGGAGCCTCAATCGATTGGAAGTGATTAGGGAACATGTGCCGCAGAAGAGATGCAGAGTCCAGCGCGAAGATGGAGATGCTGGTGCAAACGACACTCAATTTGATAAGCCCTATAGCTTCTGAATCAGTTGTGTATCCACCCAAATGTCGTGAATCGTACAGCTGAGAAGCGGGGATACCCAAAATGTAGGCGATGCAAAGATATACATATTAGTATCGCGTAGACCTACAGCGGAAGAAGAGCGAGTACGATCTCAAACAGCAGGAAAAATTATAACATAACCACTGCTGGCGTAAGTTTATTCGGTATTATAAATCATAATTAAAGCTCAAGTAGCATCTGAAAAATATCAGGACGCCGTTCTGATGAAGTAGCTACCTGAAGGCAAGAGTAAAAAGGCTTAAAAAAGCTTTCGAATTGTGCATCATAGATATGGCTGACGCTAATGATATACGTTATCTGATCTGCAGGTACAAAGTAGAGGAGTTGGATTTGCGATATAAGTGGCACCCAGCGCCGCCGACTGCAAGACAAGGTCCAGATTCATAGAAGGATTTTAACTGATGGAAATGATGAAACTTGGAACTTTACCGGCTCCGAAGTAGGCCGTCTATTTCAAAGACCACGTATCTAGTTTACCACCACATAAAGACAGTCATTTGCGCATACATTCCAACACAAGTTCAAAATGAAAATTTTTTCGAATAAATTTATGATTGGGAGTATGGCTACAACAGTAACCACAACAGCTCTCTGCAAGGGTCAGCTTTCAAGAAATATCAAATTAGTTGCAATCCTCAATGCGCATCAAGCGATTTTGATTATTTTGTTCCTCGTATTACAGTCATGAAGAGAGTCAACAACAGTACACTAGAATGTCTGTTGCGGAGAGCCTGCCTATGCAAATCGAAAATCCCTAAGAACTTTGTGGACGAAGATACGATCCTTTCGGTACCTACTTTTACATTCTGGCTTCAAACACCAGGTGGAACAAAGCTTTCGGGGATGTTTGTAACCCGAATTACAGCTTGCTTCGCTCTATCAGGGCCGGTAGTAATCCCCTCGACCTGGCGGCAGGTCTCGTCGGCAGATCGCTGGCACCTTTCCGTGAGGTGGTCAGAAACAACCCCAAATTTAAGCCGTCCCAGGCCTTTTTCCAAGAAATTTTCTCGATGAAGATGCCAACTCGACCCTATAGAAACCTCCATCGAAATTTGCGGTTACAGAAACCCTCCTGTAGAAAAATGTTTGGAAGCGCAGGAGAGGAGCTGCCGGCAACTTCGCGAATTCTGCCGGCAGCTCGTCGAAATCCGCGAGATGGCAGCTGCCGGCAGGTCAGAGAGCACGAGAAATAGCGTGCTCTTTTTAGAGAGGAAGCTGCCGGCATCTCGACGTGCCCCTACCACGTCGAGGTGCTGGCACCTTTGCCGACGGCATCTGTTTGCGAATTGCGGCGATATCACACAATTTACGTCAGGCGAAAAAATCAAAATTTCTACTTTTCATCAAAAAACTATCATTTTTCTCATTATATGAGTTTTTCTTTTTGAAACGACGATTTTCTTACAGAGAAAACATCCAGTAATGCCTCAGAATCATAAAGAACACCATCTTTTTTGGCAATCCCTTATAAATCTCGTTTGCACCGATTTTGCCCCTCTCTGCTCATATCAATCAGCGTTTTTTTCAGGTTAAAGTCTCTCACGCAATGTATCGATTTCTCTTACAAGCAGCCAATTACCAGCGCGGTCCTCCTATTGCTGGTACAAACCGCAATGGTTGATCGAATGGTAGAATGTTTAACGTGGTGGCACCTCAAGTTGACGCACATAGGTTCGACCGCGCGCGAGGTAGCAATTTTGCGGCTGTCTGCGTCATCGAAATTCAATGTGCGAAATGACTGCGTGCTAAGGTTACATAAGATTCACTCCGCGAGCTGCCGCCGAAGATGGCAACTTCCCCGCCATGTCTGCCTACTTGCCGGCATCTTTGATGCCGCCAGGTAGGGTAGATTACTACCGGCCCAGGTGGCACCTTATTCATTTTCGTACCTACCCTGCCGAGGTAGGATGTCCAACGCATTATTTTCCGAACAACATAATACAATCGAAGGATAGTAATTAATTCGAGTTGTAACTTGTTTTACAAAATGGTCAAGTTTAGACTCAAATCTAAAGAACCTGAGATTTTGTTTGAAGAAAAAGGTCCACTCATTTCCAGTAATGGAGATGAGGCAGAATTTGCCAATAATTCGAATAATCATTTGTAGGTGATTCAGATGTCTGATGCCTGTCATCGAACATAAATCAGTCAACAAAATGAAAAATAAATAGCATATATCTATTTCATTGACACCTGACTTTTTGCCGTCGCATCTTACAAAGTCCATTGCCTCAGGTGATAGCTGCTCTCAATTTATTTCAACTTGAGTATGATGCAAGAAAAGCTGTTTGTCTCCTGGAAAAATACAGGATATGGCCAGGCTATTAATCAGAAGTTGAGTTCCTATACAATCGGATTTCAAGCAGTGACGTACGCAGTAAGAACTTTATAAGAAATTTATCTATCTGCTCTTGCACGCCAGACGAGAATTCAATCTATAAATGGTTCATAAAATAGTCTTAAGCCACTGTGGTCTCAATGTAAATACCTGTTTTGCTGCTAAGCTCTCTACCACTAGAGGTGCTTCGAGATATCTTATCACTCCTAAATGTAAGCTTCTTGTGAAAGGAAATCTTTTTACATGTCGCCTTTCACACGATGTCGAGAGACTTACAAGAGATCGAATATTTTTAGTATACCGTCTTCTTTTAAACATATACGAACATGCTGCTAGTGCCAGTTTCTTTATCTACAGAGCTCATCTCATCATATTTCAATTTGATTATTTCTTCGTTTTGTTGTGTTTATTCTTTTCTTCATAGGGACTTCCTATGCATAATAAATAAACAAGTAAATAAAAAAATGCAGCATGCACATCACAGACTGATCAAATTTACGAAAATGAAACCTGTTTCGTGGATAGCTATATAATTACTCTGCGGAAATGACATTTTGAAGCGTTATGGCTAGTGCCAGTTCCTTTATCTACAGAGTTCTTCAGAGCCTTCAGCAAATCATTTCCGCAAACGCCAGGGGTTAGAAGTGAAATAAGCACAATTTATTCACAGACACACTTTTGTCCAGCTCTACGCAGGAGATGAAGGCAACCACAATGCCCAATCTTAAATCCAGTCAATCGTAAGGCACAATCTCAAAAACAGTGAGCTGTTATCACGATAGATTCTGTACTTGTACGAGCTGAGCATACTTCCCTTGTCTTTGAATTAGCGAAAGATGCGTGCCACTTTCAATCACGTGACCATTTTCGACGTAATAAATTCTGTAATATTCTCTTGAAGACGCCATTTATTATTCAAAAATTTGCCTACCTGTCGCAATGTTGTATGCTGCTCAATCGATGGGCAATGGTGATAGTCGTACAACCAGTCTTTGCCTTGTCCAAAGCTTGTTGCACAATCTAAACACCATACTTACAGTCGTGTAGACCGGTCAACATAGTGTGTTTGCACTGCAGGTAAAGTGAGATGAAGTTTGCGCGTAAACAAATAGCAATGCCAGTAATGTCGGCATTTTGCGCGCGCAATTGGTCGGCGTATAGGCGTGGCTATTCATTCACGCGCAAATTTTACCGCATTTTACCTGCAGTGCAAGCACACTATGTTAAGCGGAAAATCTACTCCCTGTAGATTCGAGTTACGCGTGTTTTTGAATATGTTGAGAATACAATGACAAAGGGTGGGGAGTATTTAACATCCTGTATGCGCCAAACCACTCTACTTCATAATGGGAAAGGCCACTGAATGCGTGCAGGACTTCTACGGTGACCTGCGAGAGCCAGCCAATTACCAATCAGTGCTTTCTCCAAATATTTGGTACCAATCCAAGAGCTCGCGACCAAGACACATTCCATACTTATTTTAATGAAACCCTGCCTTCAAGAGCGTTATTACCACACTTTGTTCGTCTTTCTCTTGGAAACTCTAGAAACTTCGATAACATGTATTCATTATGAGGATGGTAGGATTGCTATCTATTACCATCATTTCACCTTGCCAAAACAGACAGTGCAATATGTTGCACGAATACCCGAATTGTAACCAAGCTCAAAATAATGCTAGAACGTTCTTGATGCAAGTATGTTAGCCCATCAACTTTATGCTAATCAAGAACTTTTCGAATGGAAGGGCCAAAACATACCTCTTATCCCAAAATGAAATATACTCTTCTCTAATTCTAAAAAAAGGCGCAGAGTTGATGAGTTTACATTCAGCAGATTTTCCGCTCAGTATAGTGCACTCGCACTGCAGGTAAAATGCGGAAATTTGCGCGTGAACAAATAGCTACGCCTGTGGTGCGCCGACCAATTGCGCGCGCAAAATGTCGGCCTTACTGACAGCAATTTGTTAAGCGCAAATGTTACCGCATTCCGACTGCAGTGCGAGCACACTATATCGAACGGAAACCGCTCAACTGTGCAAGCTTGTTCTCCTAACTTCTTCAACGCGTTTGATGTGAAAACTATTCAAAAGCGTGGAGAATTTTGCAATACCTTTTCGTTTTCTGTGTCAAGAGCACTCGTAGCTTCATCCAATAACAATATCTTTGGTTTACGTACAAGTGCACGAGCGATTGCTATGCGCTGCTTCTGACCGCCGGACAACGCATGACCTTTTTCGCCGACATCTGTATCATAACCCTGACATAGGCGCAAACATGGTACGTACGATTTGCTACACTTCACACAATCATTCATACCTCAGGGAGCATCTCAATGAAACTGGCTGCATTTGCCATACTGCAAGCGGCAATAGCATCTTCGCGAGAGCAGCCTTCTGCACCAAGTAGCACATTTTCTAATAATGAGCCTAAAGTTGCAAGAGTAAGTTGTGTTTTTACAAAAGTTTGTTGCGCACAATTATTGAGTCTCATTTTCAACCAGTATTTCGTGGGACAAGCTCAATAAAATAGAAACTTGGCTTTGCATTTCTTTTTATAAATTCACGACCTTCACAGACTAGATGTATGTAACATAAACTGATAATATGATATAAGCTTGATTGATAAGACACTTTCGCTGTGGGCCTAAAATGACTGGAACTTAGATTTATCTTATTTACGGAACTACATGTCGTTTGTCTGTTTGTCTGTAGTCTGTATATACTCACCCGTTTCGTTGGGAGTGATGGAGGCTTAATCGCGTGCAGCTCGAATTTGTGACAGCCTAGCCTGGGCTCTGCATCTCTCTCGCGAGCTTGCTCGTTTATCATTTTTTCAGGCTTAATTAGCAATCAAAGCTCGGCCTTTTCCACGCCCAGAAGGGAAGTAAATGATCAGAGATCACGCACACGAAAGGAAGAACACAAGCGAGGCGATTGCGCTGGACCCGAGTAGACGAGCACCATTATCCCTAATGAAACAGAGGGTATATCTGTGTCTACGAAAGAAATTTTGTGAACCTATCCAGATCAAAGCTCAGCATACATACGCTTTGGCACCCGCCATACTTACCCCTCTTGATCCGCTTAATCCGCTTGATCCGCTTGATCCGCTTCTCCGCTTCTTGCAGGACGCGTGCAAAACGCGCGCACACTGCAGTCTGTCATTTGGCGTCACGTACAGGGAATTTGCTTAACCATACGCGAGGCTTTTTACCTACGCGGCGCCAAATGACAGACTGCTGAGTGCGCGCGTTTTACACGCGTCCTGCAGGAAGCGGAGCAAGCGGATCAAGCGGATTAAGCGGATCAAGCGGATCAAGAGGGGTAAGTATGGCGGGTGCCTTTGGGGCGGGGTGGATGTCAAATTCTACTTTTATCGGTCGATATCAATTTAGTCGTTGTTGCAAAGTCTGAGCTACGGGACTGAGCTGACAGAGAGAGAGAGGGGGGGGGGTGGAGTGCGTGAGCAGTTGATTACGAACACAATATTGGTTTCCAGAGTTGATAGCCTTTTATCAATTGATTTTATGGATCTCTGCAACGTTAAAGCCACGGACTGGCAGTGAATGGAGATGGAGTTAAAAGTGAACATGCTTATTACGGAAATATGATGGGATCATAGAACTGGCATATAAGATTGGGACCTTGACATTTAAATATTGTACAAAACTAGGGCAGGCATGCTGGTAACTTTCATAACCACTTCACAATTCGACGGAGCCGAGTGTGACAGCTAGTGATAAATAAAAAGGGTTTGTGAAATGAGGGCAACCCTCACTAACTTGTTCAAAAATGCTTGCGTGATGTGATTTAGTCAATTTCCTTGTTCATGAGAATCATTCTCTATCCTGAATCGTGCTGAAAATGTAGCCTTTTGTTTTCAATAAGCTTTCAACAAGTAAGTGTTATTGATTAACGATTGTTTTTTGTATTAATGACATAAAATAATAGACATTGCTTTTCTGGCAATATTTATTGAGACTATGTCGAGTGCCTAAAAACGTCATGGGGCGATTTCTTGCAGTCGGCCATAGCAAGTCTCCTCCTTTCTCAATAGATAAATGCAGAAAAGGAGCTAAGTACTGGCGATCAGACGGAGAACTATATATTTTCTAAGTCGAAAACTGCTTGAAAACCTTCACAACCTGTCTTAGGCAATCCGCTTAAAATTCAAAAATACGCGATCTTTCGACAAACCTTTGAATATCACCGGCTCCTGTCCGACTAATGACAGATTAGAACGCAGGTGTTTTGCATTGATCGTTATGATATTCTTTCCATCTATGCTCTGAAAATCGACGTTCCAGATATTTGAAGATCAAAGTTTAATAGATTTGACGAATATTGTGTTCCTGCGTTGCCAGCGATTGAGTTAGCAATACTAAAGTGAGTCAAAAGTAATTAGAACTTTTCGCGAGCCTAGCTTCTCAGCGTGTCTTTTCCTCTAAAGTGCTTTTCGCTCAAGATTGTTTTATATCATTTCTTAGAGGGCATCTTGTGTTTTATATCGTTACTTTAAGGGTATATTGTCTACAGGTTGGTGGTATCCTCATCTCTATATGCATGATATAGTTAGCGAATTCAGAATGAATATCGGAAAAATCGCGATCAGAGCGATTCCCGCCATCATCGAAAACAAGGGTTAAACGCAAAGAACGCCGCCGATATGTGAAGAGGAAGGTTCTGATGTCATTTCGAGGGTTCAAGCTTACAGATGGTACTTGAAGTTCGACTGAGGGGATACGAACCTTGAAGACAACATTTGTACTGGCAGTCCGGCAAAGGTACATTCTGCAGCCATCTCGGCTCAGGACGGAAAACTGCCATTTCTACATGCACAATGCGAAGGAGCTAGGTATGTCTCAATCCAGCACAGTCCGTCACCTGCATAAATTTGGAAAGTCTTACAGGAGCTGAAGGATCGTCCCATACGAAGTGAGTAAAGAGCAGGAGCGCCGAAGGGTGGAGGTCGCAGAAACCTCTTGTAGTACGCCAACAACCGCTTTATCAAACAGATTGTGAATTGTAATGAGAAATGAGCCTACTACCAAAACGCTGACTTAGCAAAGCAATGGCTAGATGAAAATCAAATGCAGCCGAGGGTGAATCATGAAAGATGCGATTAGAATGTATGAAGCTCTGCGCCGAAAACATTCTGCTTTGGTCAAAAGGAAAAGAGCGCTCCTTTAGGAAGATAATGCTACACCGCACACCGCTCGCAAACTTGAGGAAATAAAATCGAGGAGCTTAATGGGATTGAGCTGCTTTCTCATCCTGCGTATTCTGCTGACTCTGCGCTTTAGGACTACTACTTCTTCATGGTGTATTTCTCAAAAGACAGAACTACTGCAAATCAAAAAGAAGTCGAAATCGGAATCAGGGAGTTTTTTCAAATTAAAGCCCCAGACTGGTACAGGGCAGAAATCCAAAAACTGGAGCAAAGATGGATCAAGATCATCGATTGCCATGATTTATACGAGGAACAAGCTAGGTTACAGTAAAAAAATTCTCACTACTTTTAACTCACCCTAGTACATTGGGCACGCTACGCCTACTTTTACGCGCAAGGTTTCAAAGTATGGCATTTGTTTTCGCGCACTTGTTTACTCAATGGAAGCAACATCGACCGCCAAATCTGGTGGATTATAATCACTTACAACCATCCCACGCTGTGCATCGTAGAATCTTTGTAGTAAGGAGATTACAGTGCTTTTGCCACATCCGGATGGTCCCACTATCGCTATTGCCTCTCCAAAATCAGCAGCTAATGATAACCCGTTTACCACTTTGACTTGTGGACGAGATGGATAAGAGAAGTGTATATCGTCGAGTCTCACACTTCCAGAAATCTCCTAAACCAAATTTCGCTGAAGCGTTTGGTGCTCAGTAATACGCGTAGGGAAAAATGCGACTTTTTCTGCTGACTTACCAAATCTGATCCGAATTCGTGAAATTGTATGCTGTCAGACTTGTCATCGAGGATGTCATATAATTGCTGGGATGCACCGTTGGCTTTGACTAACTCGGGGAAATATGGAGCAGAATACATGATGGACCAACCAGCAAATTGTGCTCCTAGTGATCCACTGCAGTAATCTTTGAGGCTTTTTGGTTAGCGAACCGACAAACTTACAAAAACACCATTTCAGTGCCGTGTCCGGTGTAAATGAGATACGTTCCTAGAGCATAGCAAGACATATCGCAGAAGAATACGAATGACTGTGCGAGAGCGAAGTTTATGGATTCAACGAGTCCTATCTAAAGTTTTGCCACTTTTTCTATAGGTTTGTCACAACATGCATGAAACCTACCTGATAGTCATAATGCACTGTTGCAAGTCGCAGGTGTGCATACTTTTCTAGAAAGCAACTCTCCACTGCACTCAGCTGGATCGTTCGTGCAAATTCAATTATTTCTACAGCTAACTGTAAACACACGGTAAAGCTGTGAACCTACAGAGAATGCGAAAATGCTTAAATTATTGCGCAACCCGAATTTTATTATTGATGCTTACGATGAAACCATATGTGCAATGGGTTTTTTCCGACAAAGGCCTCTAAGGCTGCCGTCTCCAAAGGTGGGAAAAATTTACAAATTTTCGAATTTCAAGAAAAGTTGACACTGACATGAAAAAGTGGAGAGGAAGAAAGGTCATGGATCTTCTCCTGAAGGATTACGATCGATTGCATCTATCAAAGTAATTGACATTCATCCTGTGCATTTGTTTATTCCTCCCACGACTCTCTACTTTCGGAACCTCTTCGTGTTCCTCAGAAACTGGAAAGAATTTCTTTTCTAAATCTCATCTACAAGAACAGTGTTTTTGGTCTTCCAATCACATAGAGAATGAGTAGACAAAAACCACTGAAAGGCAGCGTCCAAAATTTCGCCTCCCATGTTCTTGTCGTTCTAGGGCCTTTCCGTGGCCCTGGTTGCAGTTATAAAGTTCAAATTGTCCAATACCCTCAAAAACCCAATTCCTGGGGAACTTGTTTTGAACGCGCGGACGATTTCGAATTGTTTATCCCCCCGGCTCGCCACCGAGGAGGAGCTGCAACTGCATGGGTGCAGTTGCGATCTATGATCGATCGATGCTGAGCACACGTCCTCAGGGAAAGGTTTGTGATACGTATCATAGGCCCGTATCTCCTTTTACAGCCACGTCAAAGAATTGGACCAACGCAGATCGATACTCATGGGACCCGCTTTACAACTATGTGCTAATCTGGGTGGGTGGATCTTGAATGCTGCTTTCAAACGTGTTTGGCACAGAGATTTGAATTTCGGACATATGCCGAGGTTTCATGAAAATAAAAGTTTAGAGGTTCACCATAAATGCAAAATGCAAGAATACGAGTACGTGCCGTAGGCTTTGCTAATTGTCTTTGATGGGGTGAAGCGATGATTGTGTTCAGATTTTAGAGAAAGAATGTATTGATGATAAGCAAGAACAATAGTAATGGATTGAGAAAAAAGATTCATTGGGTGCGCAAAAAGGACAGTTAAGAACTAGAAATAAACAAGTAGCAAAAATTAGTTATGAAAACTTTTTTCGTTTCAAATATTGAAAATATTGCCATGATATTGTTCCATTATGTTTGACATAAAAAATAATCCATGACGATGGCGGTCGTCCCATCTGTAAGCGTATGCCAGCGCGACCTTCGAGCATCTCTCATATTAGAGCTTGTACGCCCGCGCCCACCTCGACTACTCAGCCGCGTTCGTCTCGAAGAGTGTTTATATGCTTGTTCATTTGCGATGTTCTAATCCTAGTTGAATCAGCACAAGCAGAGCGGGCGGGCGTCATTGCGAACCTCCCTAATCAAATGCTTTCTCATTTCTTTAACGTCTGCTGTCTCTTCAAAGCACAAACTATCTTTGTTGAAAGCAACGGCGTCCAGACTTTACGATGAGAGACCACCTATACTTGTGGTTGAGTCTTCCCCACAAGATTGCAAAGCATTCAGCAGATTCCCTATTTCTTCCGCCCTCTTCTTTCCCACAATCAAAGTCGAAGGCTTTCGGAACCTCAAATAACCCCAGGTACATTATCTTCTCCTTTAGCACCAATAAGAGCCGAGGTACCTTTATTTGGAAAACACTCGGCTTCCCCCGCTGCACGTATGGTTGCATCCTTTATTCAAAGAGGGCAGCATTCTGCTGTGGTTAATGGCAGCCTTTCTATAACTTTTCTAATAGAAATGATGCAGCGTACTTCCGAGCTTGTATCTTCTTCATCCTTCTTTTTATGGCACTTATGCGATCTTCGAATATTTAGCAGAACAAGAATGAGCAGAAACGAAGCCAGGGCTAAAGACTTCAGTCGAACGAGAATTTCAAGCTGCCTTATCTGTACCTGTTCCTAGCAAACCAAGCTGCCAAGAGAGGGAAAATGCGATGGAAACTCCAATGATACTAGCAAAAACATTGCTAACATTGATCATCGCTCTGAAGTCAAGAGCCTGAAAATGTGTAAAAGAGGAGAGTTGTAGGGAGTTGGACACGCGATCACGATCACTGCTAAACGCGAGCAACCTAAAGCGCTGCCCACTTCTGCGCAAAGATCACTTGATCGTTTCGAAACCTGTGCTGGCCAATACGCCTACACTCTATTTGTCACCGGAAAAACTTCTTGATGCAAAAAGTAGAATTGTCGCTTTCTGCACTACGTCGCATTAAACAAGATTAACTAACCGCCATGGCTGTTGGAGGATGTTGCGACATCACAGAGACGCAAAAAGCAGGTGAGGTGTCACTGTTGTCAAAAAACGAAACTGGCTTGTGCAACAGTCTTTGCAACATACGAACTTTGATTCGGTCCACAACTCTTTCACTTAGCCATCCAGCAAAGAAATACTGAAAAAGAATTGAACACAGCTTTATTTGATTATGATTATAGCCACTTCAACAATTTGATAAAAAGCGTAGTAAGTATTGTTGAATCGTTGACCGCACGGACTGCTCAAACCCTGAGGATTACGCGCGGCGCGACTGACTTGTTGCGAGAGTACGACTTGTACAATGGCGAATTTGCATTGGGGCAAACGTTGCGTACTTAGTTTCAGAGCAGGCAAATTCTAATACAAGGGCACCATTCGACTCAGTCTAACGCTGGTACTTTCTAATACATATAAATGCCTGCTTAAGTACTGTGGGTTTGTTTACGGTAGCCAGTCATTTTTCAATTTCTCCGGATTTTTAGTCACTCAGTAATGTGGTAGTGCATTGATTTTCGCTCTGTTGCTCCTACCGTAAGGCGAAAATCCATAAAGATACAATCTAAAAATGCGCCGACGATGTCGAGCAGAGTTAAAAATGGACTGAATTGGATGCAGATTCCGCCGCTCCAAAGCAAGATATGGCAATGCTTCTTCGTTAATGTTCACCACCTCAAAGCCAGTAGTAATCTACCTCCTTACCATAAATGCTGGCAAGTTGGCACCTTTCTAAAGTTGCTAAATTCGATGTGAGCAGGCAAGTTGAGCCGGACAAAATGCCATAGAAGCTGCCATCGCGCGCCTTTGACTGCATGCACCAATCCCGTAAAGAATTGCCGGAAGTAAGCGAGCATCGAAAATTGCGCGTATTGCTACAGGCTTTAAATCAATCGATCACGCGTGCGCCTTTCTCGCAGGGCACTAGTACCATTGCATTAAACTTTGAGATAATCGGAATTTTTCTTAAATAATCGAACTATCGAAGATATAAAAGCAAAAATATCGAATGTTTTCAAAAGCAAAAAATATCAAATATTCGTGTACGAATATTTTAAAAAAAAATTCGAATAATCGAATATCAAATATTTTCGAAATGAAAAAATTTCCAATGAACGAATATATTCGATCAAAAATTCGAGTAAACAAAAACTTTGTATCTACTATATCGAATATTCAAACAAATTTTGATCGAATTAGCACGATCACGGATTCCATGTAGCGGGCAAACTTGAAGAACAAACTATATTTGCTGATATAGCAATCAGAAATGTGACGCTGCCATGTAGTTACTCGATTTACAGAAAAATGAGTATTTAAATAACTATCAGTTTCCATGTTCCGTTTTGCTTGAACCTTGGCAGTGTTGATACTTTCAATCTTGCTATGCCGCGCAGGTGTTAGGATGGTATATTCATTCAAGTCGGCCTGATGTTTCGGCGCGTTCGCCGTCCTCAGAGGCCTAAAAACAACCCAAAGCATCACCTCTAACATCAGACCATCAAATGTCTCCTCTAGCTTGGCTAGTTTCGACTTTGTTCCAAATTCAATCCGCAAAAACTCTTCAGACAGAAATGAGCCTACCGTTACACCACCGCTATGTGATGTGTCCGCACCGGAAGGAATTAACAGAGCGACCGGAAATGAGTGACAAAAGCGGACAAGAGAAAAATATTGTAGAGAGCAGACAGAGGATTTGCTATCGGGTAGGGGAAAGAAAGCCGCCAGTTTGAGCCGCCTTTCGCATCCAACTGGTCCTTTCGCAGTGTTGTTGCATGTCGTTCCAGGAGCAGTCCGCGGAGGCAGCCCAAACCGGCGGCTTTCGTTCCCCCACCCTATGCTATCTAACTATCTACAGCTCACATAGTCTACGAAAGACAGAAATGTTTTGAGCTTTTTCAGCATGTAATCCGATTTTGAGCTTTCAACGGGGTGAAAGAACCGATTCTGGGGCGTTTATCCAATTTCCAAAATGCAGCTCGGACGAGATTTCTAATGGAAAGTTGGGAGACCCCGGCACGAAAATCCTGCCGCCTGTAATGTGGGCTTTGGATTGCATGCACAAAGCGGGAGCGGTTATGGGGGTCCCGCGCCGAACAGGTGAGCAAAGCCGTCCGAGCGCGGGCCGGTTGGTTTCCTCGGCGCAGGGCGAACATCAACCAGCCGGACTGGGCCTGGAGGTTAGTGGGGTGACCAGGAACCACACCACAGCTATATCCCAGAGGGCGTGAATCTGCGGGGACACTGCCCTTAAGGGAGTGGCTTGGAAAAATTGCGACTGCGAGCTATCCACATCTACATGGCTTTCTGGTAGTGCTGACTCCAATGCTTTGCTTGAAATGTCAAAAAAGTGCTTTGCTCTACCTACCACGGAGATAGCCAAAGAGGATGGGTGAGGAAATCCCACCAACATCGTAATTGGCCTGAGCAGATCAGCCAATTACCGCCGAAATGGGTGGAGTTATAGGCAATTCATAGCACGGAAAGACTGCGGACGTATCGGCGTCTCTCTGATCGAGCGCTCCTTCGTTCCTTTTACCATCTGCTGTCTCTCTCTCGCACGAGCTATCTTGGCCGGACGCAACAGCCCCCAGTCTTTGCCTGTCATGAATCGTGTTTACAGTCTCCTGCAGCCAGTCGCTGTTTATGGCGGGAGTCCCTCGCCCATTCCCTACAGCTATCTTCACGGTAGGAAACGCCTTAAAAAGCACTTTTTTGACTTTTCAAGCGTAGCACCCAGATGGCCATGTAGGTGTGAAAAGCTCGCAAATGCAATTTTCCCGAGCCACTGCCTTCAGCTAATTCTGTGACCTTATTTTTTTCCCTTCATATCGCACACCTACTGCAGCTCTCATCTCGATGGCAGAGTCTGGCAAAACAGTGGCTGCATTTGTAGCTTATACGCAATACCAAGATTTCAATGCCTTATTCAGAGAAAGAAAAATGCAGAAATTATAACAAAACTTATGCGTGCAAATACCATCGCTCTTCAGATGACGATTCTTTACCAATTTGAATATTGTAGCAGACGGAAGCAACTTACTGACAGGCATTGCGACACCCATATGATGAGTCCGCAACCAAGAGAAACCACAAATGCAAGAATAGCATAACGCTGGTAGGAGTCTTTGTTGGCCTAAATCATCTTTTAGAAAGGGGTTTGAAAGCTATCGACATCGTTGTATTCACCTGAAGTGCCTCAAATGCGCACAAAAAAGATAAGCCAAGCATAGGAAATTCCAAAGATCTTATAAGCGAAGCTGCTATAGAGGCAGATGCAAGTAAATATGATCCACCCATATCACGGTAAATTTTGAGTAAGCCGCCGAAAAAATTTGATCTCTGAAATCGAATAGGTAGTTCAAAATCCCAGAGAAGACACACTACCTCCAAGTTTTTGCCTTTCTGCTTTTCATTTTCAAAAATTTCAGCAACTGGCTTTGTTCCTGTTGATGACTTTTTGGAAGTAATCGAAAGTCTGGAAATGGAGTGTGAGCACAATTAATTAACGATAAACTTCTTTTTTACTTTTTTGTCCCGCTTTTTGACCAAGTGTCATGGTGATCCTCAAGTTTGTCGTAGACAGCTACTTGCTCAAGCTGCTGGGCTTTAACCAAACCAGCATAGACTCCTGCCCGTAACAAAAGCTCGGTGTGGGATCCTGACAAAACTAATAACTTGCACGTAGCCATTAGCTACACTTTTCTTACCTACTTCAACGACTTTGCCATGGTTCATAACGTAAATCTTGTTGACATTCTGTATAGTGGTAAGACGATGAGCAATGGTAATTGTTGTCCGGCCTTCGGCCGCCTTTTCTAAAGCTGCCTGAAAACAGTTGTTCTCCTCAAGTCACAACGGTAGTCATCGATGTATAGGGCTTGTCAAACGCAGTGTCGCGTGCGTCAGCATCCCACTCTGCATCTCTTCCGCGAACATGCTCTCTGATCACTTTTCCAGGGCGAGCGTGGGAAAGGCGGAGCCTTAATAGATTGAAAGTAATTAAAGAGCATGTTCGCGGGAAAAGACGCAGAGTCCAGCGCGGGAGTGGAGATGCTGATGCAAGCAATACTGCATTTAATAAGCCCTGTAGCTGTCATTTTGTGTGATTGCACTACTATTTGAATTTGCAATAGCAAGCCAATGCTCAGAATTTGTCACATGAACGCTGTCTTGGAATAAAGTTCACTTCAGAAGTTTTCTTCTGCGCTGGATCTAGATTTAACCTCCATCTCTTTTGTCAGCATTCAGAGCTACTCTAAGTATACTGTAATCAACAGTACGCTTGATTTTTTAGAAAAATATTGACTGGTCCGTGAATGGATTTGACCTCAAAAGCAAACAGCTAAAAATTTACATGGTTGTCAATGCATTCTTTATTTTATTTTATCACAAGCTGGCTTACCCGGCTCCGCCCGGCTCTGTCAAAAACGATAAAGGTTCCATTCCTATCCGTATACAACCTTTCCCTGTGCTCACTTCTACATGCATTCCCGTTGTGTTAGTAATCAGTAAGCTCACCTGCCTTCCTCACCAACCCCCAGCCCCGTAGTCCAAACTTTGCAAAAAAATCGAAATCGATAAAAGTGAGGATAATTCTAAAAACTGATGGCGTTATTCAGCTATCCGGGCCCCAAAATGCTTTTGTGATGGATCTTGCTCAAACTCGGTATATGGGGGTCATTCGAGCCGCTGATGAAGGAATATCGTAGTCATTTCGCGCGTTAGCGCCATTTTCTGGGTTTACGGTGGGTACATGTAAGCAGTTAAAATCATGGATTTCGCTGAAACTTTGCTAAGGGGGGGGGGCTAATTGAAATGCTACGAATATCATACTCCTATGGCATTCTGGGGCGTTTTCACCGAGTTATTGAAGGTATACTGCAGAGGACAGAATCTCAGTTTTGGCTGAAACTCGGTCTAGAGAGATTCGACCTTCCTTTCGCAGAGTTACGGTAGGTACACGGCAGCGGGTAAAAATCATGAACGTACCTGAAACTTTGGCAGGGGGTTACCTAAAGTGCTGTTTTAAGATTATCGTACTCAGTCCCCACGATAAAGGCAATTCGTGTGGTATAGAAGATTTCCCACGACCGTAATGCTTTCCTTATAGGACCACTGCCGCGCGCGATACAACCCTTCGGCGACTTTTGCCTAAGCAACAAGGGGGAGGGGGAGATGCCGCGTGCGTTACGCGTTGGGACAGGTTATCAGGATGGCGCTAAAGACCGCCATGCAAAACGACCGTTTTCCAGTTTCAATATCTGGGATCTAAACTGACCCGGAAGCGAAAAAATGTCCATTCAAACCCTGCAACTCACCATAACTTCACTAATGCGTTATGACAACGAGCAAGCACCATATTCATAACAGCATGCCTGTAAACGTTACAGGTAAGGTTTTGAGCAAATCTGGAACTTTGACCCATCTACTGTACACCCTTCATAATCCAAGAAAATGGCGCTATCCTGCGAAATCAGCATGATACAATGTTCAGCGCGCCAAATGACGACCCTAGACGAAGTGTAGAGCAGATCTATGTTATCGATCCCATACGGTATAACCACCATAACTCTATGAAAAGGTCCCAATATGCAGAGAGAGTACGACATGTGTATGTCGAATAAGCTCTCTGGACCGAACTCCAGCCAAATGCGTGATTTTGGCTTCCTCCCGTACACCTATCGTAACCACACGGGAGACGTTCTGCGGAGAAAGTGTGATATCTGCAATCAGCATGTAAGATAACCCCTATAGACGAAGTTTGAGCAACCTCTACGAGAAAAAAATTTTGGGGCCCGAATAGTAGAATAACGCCAACTAATATTGTACTCGTAATCAGCATGCTCGATTACCCCCCCTCCCTGTGCCAACTCCCAGCCCTGTAGCCCAAACTTTGCAAAAAAATCGATAAAATCGATAAAAGTAATGGATAGTTTTGAAAACTATTATTGTATTCGTAATCAGCACGCTCGATTACCCCCCTGTGCCAAATCCCAACCCCGTAGGTGAACTCTGCGAAAAAATCGATAAAAAGCGATAAAATCGATATCGATCGATGACGAAAAGAAGCCTATGACACCCGCCCCGCCCCCAAGTGTGTGCCAAGTTTGGTCCTGATCGGATCAGAAATGAAATTTTCTATTCGGAACATACGCGCACACAAACAGACAAACAGACGTATATACATTCAGACATGTCAATGTCAGACATGACATACAAGCAGACATTCAGTTTTATATATAATCTGTATTATTTTTGCGTTCACATAGACCAAATTGAAATGCAATTTTGTGGAATTTTTTTTCGCTGAAATATTGTTTGTAGGTTATCTGGCAGAAACTGCATTAATTGCTTTCGCCCAGTTGTGATGATATTGAAGGTGCAGTAGCTTGGAGGCACCGTCCACCCAAAATGGAGCTATGATGGCATACTAGTGTGGGCCACCACACTAATCAAACCTGAAAGCTGCGCCGCAAAAGACTGCTTCCGGAGCGAGAAATTCGCTCCGGAAGTAACAAAGTATGCGGGGCGACCATGGTCTTGCACCACTTGCATGCTTTATCTCGCCTCGGCTTGCTGCAGAGGGTTCTCGAAACAGGGATTTTTGGGTGTTTCGCGGATTTTCGACTCCATATTCGAAATCAGGGCCTTTAGAAGGCCTGGAATCGACAAAAACATGGAAGTCGAGAATTTGGATGGACGGTGCCTTTGAAGAGTCAAAATTTTCAAATTTGCCCAAAGTTTTGAACAGGGACTTCGACATAGTGATTGTGATCGCAATATCAATTCAAGTGAATATTTTCATAAGCGATATCAAGCAATGCAACTTTGCAAGACCCCTTTCGCTCGTTAAGGGATTTAAGGGTCAGTGAGACAAAGACCCCTTGGAGCAATTTCTAACGAAGTCACAGTACAGAGTTTGAGCTGGTTAAGACGAACGCCCTTTTTTTCAAAATTTAATAGCTTTCAATCTATTTTTCTTGTTTTGAATTTCCTTTATAACTACGATAATAACTCTACCGCCATTGGTCACACCTGCTACGGAGAAATTTCACAGCAGTGCGACCACGCAATGTGAGTACTGAAGTGATAACAACGGTACTGCTTGTGTGTACGATAATATAAGGGAATACCTGAACGATCTTTTCGCTATTTATGTCTAAAGCGCTGGTTGCTTCATCTAAGAGCAGAAGGCACGGATTAGTGACAATAGCTCTAGCTATCGCTATACGCTGCTTCTGTCCTCCAGATAGACTCACACCATCACAGCCAATCAATGTGTCAAAACCCTGAAATGCGCTTTTAGACAATTTGAAGGCACGATCTTCTAGGGGTGCTGAGATTTTGATGCTGTATTATAACGAGGCCTCTGACTGAGTGATCGCCCAAGTCCCGCTGCAAAGGGGGAGTTCTAAAGCGAGAAAATCCCTCCAGGAGGTAGAAGCGGCCAGAGCGGCTTCGCTCCTAAATACAGAACTGGCTTCAGGGTAAAGAGGAATGCCAAAAATCTGATAATCATAAAGAAGAGCGCATTCACAACAACTCTTAATGCATCAAAGCCCAATTTTGGAATTTTTATCGCGAGCCCACCCACCAGGGCTCGGCACGAGGTGGCTTCCCGAAACTGCAAAAAAACGAAGTCCCCTTTGATTTCACTATAAAGTACGACATCCGCTATGAGATATCAAAAAAAGAAAGCACAAAAAAAGGAAGGAACAAAGCAAAACAAAAAAGTGCCAAAGGAGCAATCAAAAACGCGCCCGGGGCAGCGTTGCCGCCGTTCAAAATTTTCAGGGGGATGTAACTAAGCGGTTAGGAGGGGCTATGAGGCGGTTTAGGAACCAATTTGTAGGTTTGGGATATAGATGAGATACATATAAAGAAAGTAAGAAAATTATGTGAGGGAGGAAAATTTTATGACTTTTCCTTTCCCAAGCCACTCCATATGGCTTCCAGTTGGCTTGAAAGCCACCTAACTCCGAAAAAAGAGCACGCCTTCAGTTTACATAATTTTTTCATAATTTTCATGCACAGTCCTCACTCTTTACTGTCCATCTACGCACCAATTTTGGTGTTCATTTCATTTTCACTTCGCTATAAACGAGCCCTCTGCTTGTTTGGAGAGCATGCCGCCGGAATGCCGGCAGCGTGCCGGCGGCACGCGGACCGCAAAAACGATATCCCCTTTGTTTTTTCTCCCAAAAACGATATCCAGTTTGCTTGGCAAGCCAGCTGTGCCGTGCCCTGCCACCCACGCTAATGGGCGGAGCCACCTTGGCCGCTTGTACCTTCTAGAACGATTTTTTTGCTTCGAAATTCGCCTTTTACAGCGGGACTAGGGCGATTACTGTTAGGGGACTAGGCATCAACGTCTCACCATCCCCAATTTGGATGGGCGGTGTTTTTGAATCGGCATGAGCGTACGTTTTCTAGCTTCTCAATAAATCCAGTGGCATTTGCAACGTCAGTGGCTGCTTTGATCCGCTCCTCATCAATGCCTTCGCGATTCAAAGAGATGTTCTCTCTCACTGTGCCTTTGAATAGCTGTGGCTCTTGCTGTACAATTCCGATGCGCTGGAAATGAAGAAAATATGGCATAAAACTTTTCCAGTTTACAGATTCTTAGAGTTTTTACGGATTGCTGCCCTAATTTTTTTTATAAGAATAATTGATTTGTTTACCATTTTTTGAAAAAAATGGTAGGCATTTAGTATTTCTAGACCTAAGGTCGCAAAGTTGTTGAAAGCAGCCCGTATGAGCTAAACAAAATCGTGCGAGTGCATTTCTACTTGTAATTAACTACTAAGTTGGGCGATAAGTTCGGTCGCTTCGGCTCCTATAAATATTGCATTTGCATAGGTTTAGTTTACGAACAATGCAATTAAATGAGAGTTGGGATGTAAATTCTGTTAGATGAAATTCAGATCCCTATAACAGAAACGCGCATAGAACAGAGACTCAGTTAATGCACTGTACGAAAAGATAAAAATTTCGTTTTTTTGAATGAAGGATTCAAATTGACAGTAAATAGAGAATGTTTCTATAAATATACAAATTACTCATCTCTACATCGATTCCAACGTGAAAACCAAACCTAGAAAGTCAGAGAAGTAAGTTTTCGGAGATTTAGCCAATTGGGCCACAACCGTCATTTTGATACAGTGCTGGCCAAAACTGTAAGTCCACCCTGAAAACTGTCGTAACTCGTCTGCTTCTCAACGAATTCATCTGAAATTCGGTACAGTTGTGTGTTTAACAGGCTACCATCAGCAACCAGAATGGATCCCTTTTTTGTTCGATTGTTCAGGAAAAAATCAAAAATTTCGAAAAAAGCAGGCTCAAAGGTTGGCCGAAACTATAAGTCTACTTAAGGTTTCTGTCCACTAAAGTAATTCTCGGCTTCCAAAGTCTTTTGTGCATATACATGATCAAAAGTCAAAACAGTCGCTTTAGTCCAGCTATGTCATATTTTCATAAGAAACGCTTATCTGCTATCTTTCGCTTAAAAATACTTTTATGCGTATTTTGTTCTCGAGAATGTGCTTCTATGGGTGATTCTGCAGTTTTTTGACTGGTTCGAAAGCGATAGGGTTCCACCTATCTTATGGATGCTTAGCAAAGTGAGAACTAGAAAAAAATTTGAGTTTTTTCTAATTTAAAGCGCACCCGATATAGACCTAACAGCAAGCCTGCACTCAAATTTTTGCTTTCGAAATTGGTTCATGCTATTTTTGTAAGCTCAAAATGATGTAAAGCATTGTTTACATAAAAAGAAGTTTGTACACTATACTTACGATTATTCGCCAAGTCACATTTTGCTTCGTTTTTAAAGCATAAATCTTTGCGGTTCAATGATAATATTAAGGCAATCCCAAAATACTTACCAAGTGGTACCTTTCCTGATTTTTTGCCATTCTTTAGTGATAGATAGTGGAAACACGCTGTATTGTATGTTGGCTTGTGACTCACATAAGTATTACGGTCAGAACCAAAAATAAGTTCAAAGCTTTTTGCAAATCAGTTTTTGCAGGATGAATTCCTGTTAGCTTGCATGCTAGGACCTGCGGAAATCTGCAACCACTGCATCCGGACTCTCATACGTACAACAGTGTTATTGCTTTACTTCACGCTCATGAGAACATTGCAGAACGAGTTTGAGGACATAAATTTGAGCGCAGGCCTGCAGTTAGGTCTATGTCGGGTGCGCTTTAGATATGAAACAAATTCTTTTTCTAGTTCTCACTTTGCTAAGCATAAGATAGATGGAGCCCTATCGCTTGCAAACGAGTCAAAAAACTGCGGAATCACCCATAAAAACACATTCTCGAGAACAAAATACGCATAAAAGTATTTTTAAGCGAAAGAAAGCAGAGAAGCGTTTCTTATGAAAATCATAACTTATAATAACGGGCTAAAGGTTGTTTACGTTTGTCTGTCTGTCTCTGTGTGTGGTGAATCTCTGCCTGTCACGAAATTCGTAGAGCGAGTTCCAGCAAAGTTCTTGAGCTAGAATTTTGGTTGTAGCACCCTATCAGCATTTACTCAGACAATCGCTGGGGGCAGGCGGGCACCGGAAAAATAGATTGCTGATTTCTCGCACCCCGCTCGCGGATTTCTCGCAAAGCTCAGGACTTTCCGGAAGACCGCTTGCTGAGTCAGCGGATTTTTGAGAGACCGCCTGTTGAATTTTTTTCGCTCTTATCTTTTGCAGATATATTGCTGAATCTCTGAAGAATCGAGAACTCAGCAAGCGGTCTTCCGAAAAGTCCTGATTGTTTTCCAAAAAATCCGCGAGCGGGGTGCGAGAGATCAGCAATCTATTTTTCCGGTGCCCACCTGCCCCCGGCGATTGTCTGGGCAGGTGAGATATGCAAAATCACAAGCCGATCCGATAATTGGAACCTGTGAAAATGTGCGCCAAACGGATCCACGCGACATTTCGCGCGCCGAAGTGGGCCTGTAAATTGACTTTTTCCAAAGTCACGGTTTCGTTTAGTAAGTAAATTCGCAAACCATGGACTCCAGCCCGAAAAGTGAGCAAAAAGTCTACTTTACGCAACATTGGTGCCAAAAAGGAATAATTGCGTAGATGATCGACTGGACTAAAGAAACTGTTTTGACTTATGATTATGTATATGCACAAAAGACTTTGAAAGCTGAGAATCACTTTAGTGGATAGAAACTTTAGGTGGACTTATAGTTTTGGCCAACCTTCAAGCCTGCTTTTTTCGAAATTTCTGGTTTTTTCCTGAACAATCGAACAAGAACGGGATCGGTTCTAGTTAGTGATGGTAGCCTGTTGAACACACAACCGTACCAAACTTCATATATAATTTCAATTCGTTGAGAAGCAGATGAGTTACAGCAGTTTTCAGAGTGGACTTATAGTTTTGGCCAGCACTGTAGTAAAATGTTCTGACAAGGGAAGGATACCAGGTCAAAGTGGCGTTTGCACATGATTTGTAAACTGCTTAGAGCTTGGAAACTGATTGCCAATCTGTCTTTGTTATCTGCAAAGCGCTTCTGAGAAGGGAGTTATGGGGTTTTTCGAGCAAAAATAAGTACGCGCGGCTACAATGAAATCATTAAAAACAGTAGTCTGTGAGCTCAAATGGGATCACGATTACTGCCAAGACATTTTATACAATCAGTAACTTCAGTATAATAAGTTCATGCTGATCATACCCCCTTCAAGCACCGGAAAGACCTCTATACTTGTATTCACCTTAGCCAAACCTTGAATTTTTGTCTCCAAAACCCCAGAGTGGTAGTAATTTGGTCTGAACTATCATCTTTACTAAGTTTTCATCACACGATGTAACCAATAGCTTCACATCATTTTCTCGATGAAACCACAAGGTAACCAATAAGAAGCGAAGAAGTTAAGCATTTTTCACTCGGTTCTAGATTTAGCAAAGCGATGTCGTTGAAGGGGACCGAACTTCCGATCATTCTCATGCTTAACCGCCTTCATTGCACTTTACCAAAATTGCAGTTCGGTCTTCAGCCTTGCATCTTCCCATAACCTTATCTAAGCTGTAAACACGTAAGCTTTCTCATAGTAAGTTGCAGAATGATCTCCCTCACTCTTCTTAACATGTAAGATCAACACGTCATTGTTTCAAACGAAAAAGTGGTCAGGGGTACTTTTTCATTTTTAACAACGATGTGATGGTTTAACGTCTGCGTCTCATCAAATAAAGTGTTATTTTCGTTACTCTATTTGATAGCAAAACACTGATGTTGACCAGCTGAAAACTTCGTAGTTTGGTTCAGAATCGAACAAGCATGAAACAATTATGATATTCCGAAAGTTGTTTGCTTGTTTCGTGATTTTGTATGACCGATTGAACTGAACGGCCATAAGAAGATGATCATGCTAACCACGATGTAATCATGATTGAACCATCACATCATTCGTTGGTTTCGACTAAATTACTACCACTTCCAGTAAATCTTCTCTCAAAGGTGCTTTGCAGATAACGAAAGCGGATTTGGAATCAGCCTTTTATGCTCTTTAAGATAGTATACATTTTACATGGAAACTCCACTTCGACCAAGTATTCTTCCCTTGTGAGTAACAAATATCTGATAGTAAAAGTTCCACTTTTTCTCGGTAAGTCGTGCATAAAATACAACAAGCAAATTTTAACGGAGATTTGCATGCCGAAATAAATTGCTTCCCAGCCAACCTAACAGACTGAATTTAACATTATACGGGAATTTAAATTAGCTATGTAAAAAATATTTTTGGGGCGTTTACTGTCACACCCCCTCCTATCACATAATAAAATTTAGTGCGTTGCGGAACTCGGAAAGAAGCACCGTGAGAGCTGAAATGACAAGTAAACTCAAATTATGTTATTTTGTGTGGAATACTTAATGCCCTAAAAAACCTCTTCCTGTCAAAGTTCTCAAAAAATTACGAACCTTTCTTAGAGCCGATACCTCGAAGTTTTGAATGTCTATACCATCAATGGTTATGGAGCCTTCATTCCTTTCATAGAGTCGTGTTAATAAAGCAATCTGAATAGAATTTTAAGGTTGATGTTTCTGAAACTTTATTGAAAATCACGAACCGTCGTGCTCTTACCACACCCACTGGGTCCCACAAGCGCAACCGATTCACCCGCATGAGCTTCCAACGAAAGGCCCTGAAGTTTCGTAAACAATGGGAACAATCGAGTATCTGGGCTCTCGACTATGTGGATACTGAATGGAAGGTCCTAGCTGGAGCATCACCCAATCGGCACTTCCTATGCAATCGTGAACGAGAACTTCAGTGAGGGGGGCGGGGGGACCGGCAGCTTTCAGTTTGATAGAGGGTAGGGTATGGACTAAAGTAAAATTGACTCTTTGAGTGATTTATGTCAGATGTCGATTGGGCAGTGGCTCAGTTAAAGGCACTGTCCACCCAAATTAAGGATTCTGAGATTTTATGTTGCCAATAGCTTGGCCCCAATTGAAGGCAGTGTGCCGGCAGATTCACGCCATGGGGAACACGCTATGGTGGGGTTCCTTGTCATCCCACTGACCACCAGGCGCAATCCGGCTGGTTGATGTTCCCCCTGGGCCGAGAAAATAGCCCTTGAACCGGCGCGCGCTCGGACGGCTTCGCTTAGCCTTCAGCGCGGGACCCCAAGACCGCTCTCGCGCACTATCCGAAGCAAAAATTACAGGCAGTAGAGTCTTCGTGCCAGGACCTCCCAACTTTTCATCGAAATTCTCGTCCGAGCTGCCTTTTGAAAACTGGGTAAACGCCCCGAAAAAGGTCTTTTCACTCGTTTCAAATCGATAAGGCTCAAAACATGCAAAAAGATGGCAATGCAAAATCTGCCGGGACACTGTCTTTAACACGTTTCGGCATGGTGCAGCACCCTGCTTTGAAGGATCTTCTTGACTTTACAGGAGGTTTTCTTTTAGTTCAAGGTTATCAAGTCAAAAGCCTAGGCTTCTACTTTTCGAACGACTCTGTAGAGTTGTGCCGCGAATATTTGTTTATAGTCGTCCTCACCCCATTAGCCGGTCTGTGGATGAATTCGAACTCGAACTGGAGCAGGCAGGTCGCGGCAGAGCACGGCACCTTAGCTCTCCGTTCAAATTCACGCATTCACTTTGCGTATCTCTTCGCCATTGCTTAGCAGTTTTTGTATTGTTACAACGTTTTTGACCTATACTGACTTTTGTAATTGCTGAGCGTTGTCTCCTGCCGCGCTCTGCCGTGACCGGCCTGCTCCAATTCAAATTTGAATTCGTCCACCGACCGACTAGTGGGGTGAGGGCGACTATAGAAGATATGAGCACAAATCGAACAATAGTTGCAACGAAGTGCGGCAACGCGAACGACGCGTGCGACATCGCAACTTTACTTTGCTTCAATATCAAAGGAAAAAACCGTAGTTTCAATACTGATGTGTACCGTCCACAACATAGATACTTTTAAATATTATCGGAAACTGAGTTCTTGTTTCTATCTTTCAGGAAAGCACAGGAGTCCCTCTCAAGTGGCAAATTTCAAACACTTCGAATTCACTCAAACTTTGGGTATGGCTTATCCGACATGGCCATTGCAGATGTAGCTCACAGTCTTTAAAAAAGGTCCCTTTGTTGGCTAACGATTGAAAGAACACTCTTTTTCGGCGCGCGCGATTTCGCGGTCCGAAACGAGTTAAGTGATTCCCCCTGCTCCGCTGCAAAATATAAATTTCGAAGCGAGAAAAGCGTTCCAGAAAGTACAATCGGTCAAGATGGCTCCGCCCATCAGCGTGGATGGTCTAAAGATGATGAGCTCGAAAGTGGACTTCAGGGTACAAAAAACGTCGAAAATCTGATAGTTATAATGAAAGGCGAGTTTATGACAGCTCTAGTTACTTGTAGGCCAGTTTAGACCATTCACGTTGATGGGCGGGGCCACCTTGGACGCTTCTACCTTCTGGAGCAATTTTTCGCTTTGAAGTTTATCTTTTGCAACGAGACCAGAGACCTCCTAATCAGTTTCATGTATAAAATCTAGGCGACTAACATTCAAAACGCTTCCTTCTCTCGTGGGATATGAAAAAGTGACATTGTCAAATACTACAGCATCAGCGCCAATGTTCTTCTTCAATTTGCTCACTGGTTTTTTGCAGTTGCTAGGAATCTAAAAATCTGGTCATTTATGCCTTAAACGGTTTCACTTTCTTATTACTGACTCTGTCAATGGTTTGGTAGATCACAGCAGCTGATACTCTCGCCTTCAACAACGTCATCATATGTGGACCAAGCATTCCTAAGTAGTAAGCCGTATAACAGACGGTATTGACGCAGAGCAACACATCTCCACGGTCGTCCACAAGTCCATTAAAATAACCATAACAGCCAAACCTAAATAGAAGAAAAGTTACTATTAGGTTGTAAAATTAGTCCTGTACCAAATTTTCTAGAAAATTCGTAAGTTGCACCAAATTCTCCATTCGAGATAACGCAAGATAAAGAGAAATCATGCTTCTTCTGCTAGAGATTAGAACAAAATCGTTTTTACAATGTATACTGGAGATAAAAGTCGGCAAAAATATATGCCGCAAAGTCGATGAACCTCTAGCATTAGCCTCTAAATTCACTTTTAGTTGACATTCAGAAAAATTTAAATTCAATCTCCAAATTTTTTTTATTGGTTCGATCTTGTTCAGATTAGAACTCAATGCAGGAGTGGTTTCCTAGGTTTTTTTCAAATGATTTGTTTGGAATTTTTGGTGCAAGAATTATTCCAACTATTATAATTCATGCTGTGTGTAGAATATGTTTGTTGTAAAAAATGCAATAAACTTGAGACTAGCTTCCATGTTGGCCAAAAGGACCAAGAAAATCAAGCAGAGCAACTTCAGCTTACCTTACGAAAGAGCCTCAGTTGACAATCAAAAGAGAAATTCGAACAAGTCTGCAGAATTATGAGTATCATCTATTCCATGACTAGGAGAGATGCGCGACCGCATTGCGGACATTGTCCTAACAACTTTAAGTTGTTCTTCCCTGTTTCCAAAGAGTGAATAAACCTGGGCGAGATATATAACAAATATATATAAAACCTGGTAAGTACACGATTAGGCTTGTTTAGACGATGTGTGCAATGCGGTCCCGCGTCTCCTGGTCATAGAATGAATGATATGCTGATTGCAACAAAAGAGATGAATGAAAAGGGACGTCTCTTCAGTTTCAATCACTAGTTTTCTATTTTTCTAGTTTCTATTTTTGATTTTTTTCTAAACATTTTTCTCAATATTGATAGAAAGGGTTGGCCACAAAATTAGAATAATAGAGATGTGCACTAATTGTTCTCTCCCAAATATACACAACGAGGTGAGATTGTTGGATAGAATTGAATCTCAAAAATTGTAGTGCAAGATTTATGTTCTAGTGATATATATAAGCGATTCATAGCACGTAAAGACGCGGACATATCGGCGTCTCCGTGATCGAGCGTTCTTTCGTGCCTCTTACCGTCTGCTGTCTCTCCTATGCACAAACTATCTTTGTCGGACGCAACGGCGCCCAGTCTTTGCGTGGCATGAATCGACGATACGACATGCAACAATTGCTCACATACCATAGTGCTACTCCATTCACCACATATATTTGTAAAAATGATAGTCCCTCGAAGAATCCCATCCAGAAATGACTGCGCAGTGTGTATCTGAGGGTTTGGTTCAGCGCATTGGTGTACTTCTAAATTTGAGGGGGTCGATTGCTCGAAATGAATAAAGAAGATTCATCATACGCAGAGATAGGACGCCGCCGCGGACCATGTCGGCGCCTCTCAGAGCGAACGCACTCTCATTCCCCTAACCGTCTGCTGCCTCTCTCAGACAAAAACTGTCTAGATCGGGCGCAAAAGCGTCCAGTCTCTGCGTGCAATGATTCGCCATACTTGTCTCGTTCTCTGAACTTACCTTCACCATGTGATCTTGACCATTACACGATTGCACTGTTTTTACATTCATTATTGACTCCTCATATATGGTAGAGGCCAATGCTTGAGACTTCATAGCTTTTCGCATACTGGTTGCGTTGACCTAAACAGAACCGTCAAAATTGCTTAAGCAACTGTGGTCTGGTTGGTCTGAGTTTCAAAGGGTGTCCTAGCGGAGCTGACAACATTTGCGCGAAAAAAAAAACATTGTGCTTGATAGGCGCCATGTTTTGCCTGTGACTCGATTTAGTAACTGTGCTCTGAAAGACGGGCTTTTGGTAACTGACGCCACCCTAGCGAAAATGGATGCAAGCTGTGATCGCAGTAAAGATGTTCTTTTTTTGCTTTTTTGAGTTAGAGGCGAATATACTATCCGTCGAGTTGTTTGTAACCTATGTGCGTATTACACCACACGTCCTTCTCCATTGCTTTTGAGGCTAAAACATGTTAGTTTTAGAGGATTTCCTTGTTTGCTTCTCTATTTTGGTTTTTTCTGGTACGTATAAGCAGTAGACATTCCCACAGCTTGTTTTGCTTGAAAAGGAAATTGATGAGTCAGTGAGGTGTCGCCGGTTACAACACGCAGTGTGCAAGCTCACAAATTGAGTTACAAATATGCATGTTTAGTGTTTTTGGCCATTCTATCTGCTGTGCGCGATAGAACTGTACTACGCGACATCAAATGCCAAATGCACATCACTCAACTGGGCCATCCAACTGGCCAAGTACAAGTTTAGGGGATAAACATGTCGTTTGCCTTACGCTCACAACTTTTGCGCGTAAAAAGCACAGAGACTAACACGCATTTCGACTTTTTTATCTATCCGTGGCCATTTTTTACGCGCAAATGTTGTAAGAAATGAGTGCGCGTAAACGCAAGAACACTATAGCATGAGTGTACAAAATTACATTCCAAGTTACCTTTCCAAGCATTGCCATTGTCATGGCCGAGATCGGTCCCATGGTAAGCGAAATGAGCGTGATTTGCCAGCTTATAATACAGCACGCAATTACTGATGAGAAGAACATTGAGAATCCTCGAATAAGTAACCCAAGTTTGTCACCCATGCCATCTTGGATGCGATCAATATTACTGGAAAGAAGAAAATTATCCAGGCCAGCGTAGCTGGCACAGTTCATCGACGAACTCATTCAGTTGCGAGGTGATTACTCCAGATGGATTGTCGTCAAACCATGCAGCATCCTGCCGTAGTACCGCAGCCAGGTATTCACTGCGGATTCTGTCTACGATTCTGAGGCAACCGCGATGGAGGAAGAACGACTAAAAAGGAGAATTCACTAATATAATAATTCACTATTCACTAATTACGCTAGGGCCAACCCATGAGGTCTTATCAAAGTACTATGTCCTTGCAAATAGCTTGCGAAACAACGATTCTCAATTGATGATGAGGTTATGATTGCAAAAAATATTAGATACCGAAGAATCGGGAAGGAGACAAGTCGAGCGGAAAAGTAAAGAAAAAGTTAAAAGCAATCCGCAAAGTTTCTGAAGAGATTATTTGTCAATATAGAGAGGAAACAAAGTACCTTTTATTATTTCTTCTTTTACTTTATTATTCTCTATATTTCAAATCAGTCATCTCATTAGTGTCACTTTTATATCTTATCGTTTTCCTTCTTAATGATTATTTTTATTATTATCATTGTTTTTTCTATTTTTATCATTTTTCATCATTTTCCATTATTTTTATGATTTATTTATCATTTTATTGGTCTATCATTTCTGTTTTTTATTAAATCTTCTATTATCAAGTTGAAGCAATAGCTTTTCCACCTAATCAGCTTCTTGTGAACCAAGATTTGGTAAAAATCAAGCATGAGCTTCCGACTAGGATGTTTCGCAGGCCAACATCCTATACTACGTGCTTTACTCAGAAAAAAATCTTCACTCAATCTTCATTCCCACAGGGAATTCAAATCGCAATTCTTGTAAGAAGAAAATAACAAAATAGGCTCGTTTTCAATGCACAAGTAACGATATGGCACCAAATTTGCTGTGTAGTTGGAGGACCATGAGCACAAAAAAAGTATGAAGAATTATGAGAAACTTATATAAATTTAAAAAATGGTAAGTGTTTTTCAAAATTAGGTGGCTCCCACGCCACCTGGGAGCCACCTGGGGTGGCTCCCTGCTTCCCTTCACATAATTTCCCGGATTTCTTTACCCTAAATGTGGACTAGGTCGAGAGTATTACTATATGTTCAAATCCGCTTCCAAAACCACCAAGGTACCGCTTCGATACAGCCCCAAATAGGGTTCACAACGTTATGATCGGCCTCGGAAAGCGCGCTCCAATCGCAATCGGTTATTGTAGATTGTAAAGTTTCGCAGCTGACTGATAAATGAGTAGTATCTTAGATATATAAACGTCAAGGTTTGTGCAAATCTTGACCCTATGTTTTTTATAGATTCCTTTGCGGATGAACCCATTGAGCTGAAACCTTGATGACCCGGGCTGGACCAGGAAAGCTATATCTGTTTGTCAGGGACTTACGGGGGTCAAAAATAGGATCAAAGGGGAAGTCGTAAGAAATTTTGGCTTCAAAGGGGATATCGTTTTCAAAATTCTGAAATGCCACCTCCTGCCAGGCCCTGTTCCTTATATAAATTCAATGTAATTAGTATCATAATAGAAGAGAAGTTCTAAAAGTATCACGTAGTAATTTTTTGGGGCGGTCTATAACTGGTACAAAAATCTAGGAGTTCGTGTTTTTATTTCATGAAGGTCATTTTTCCTGGATTATCAAAAGAGCGATGTAGCTGAGAGCGCAATGTCACTGAGAGCGCATGAAAGAAGTACCATCTATGAAACGTCCCAAACATAAACTGCTCTGGATGAAAATTACACGTTGGCTTCGCAACGCATGAAGTTTGCACGAGTTATCTGAATCTAAACTCATCGTTCCGAAGGAGAATTCAGAATGCTTATAGATTGTTCCCTAAGTTGATCTCTTGAATTCGGCCTTCACTCAAAAAAAACCAAGAAAAGACTTTATCTGCTACAAGCTGGCATCTCGGGTTCCATCCCGTTCTGGAGCCAGTTCATCGTACTTGCTCTCATGTAGCAAAATTTATTCTTTTTTTGATTCTAAATTCTGATACGCTTGGGTTGCTTCACCGTCCTTATCATATCTCGATGACCATCCGATCAAAGTGAGCTTCACCGCCCATCCTTCATGACTATGCGAAATGTACACAAACACACAAATACACAGATTTTTTGCTATATATAGTGCGAAAATAAAGCTATTTTTCGTCGAGTTATCGGACTTACTATGCGTATTGCACACCTTGTGCGCTACTTGGCGACTTGTAATAATCGGGACCTACTCAGTTCAACTGATTTTTCCTTGTTCCTTGTTTCTTTCAATTATATTGGATATGCATTAGTAAGTAAGACACATTACAGATATGTCACGCTATAAACGGTTCTGATGATGGGTTATTGGTAAGGTTGTCGTCGGTTGCCAGGTGTAGTGTGCAGAATCACATGTTAAGTTACAAATGATACCTGCAAAAATGAAGTTATTAATGCTGCAATTCCAGCTGCGCACAGCCAAATCAGATAGAAGGTGACGTCATCCCGGAACTTTTCGTTTCCCACTTTCTGAAGATTTCACAAGCGATACAATTGTTTTAAAATTTAGGTAATTTACCTCCTCTGGTCGAAGGTAAAGATTTGTAATCCAGCCGCCAAGGATCAAAACAAATGGCTGGATAGCACCACCGAAAAGTGCACAAATACCTCCTAAGGCTAGGAAAAACTTGTCACGAGAAGTGGCGAACCGAAACTGAAAGACAAGATGAAATTGTGAGGATAATCTGTTATTTCAATGTAACTTACTAGTTCTCCAATGGAAATTGGCTCGGCTTCCAGTTTTTCCGTCAATTCCATATCGCCCCTAAACAAGTATAAAATTGAGATCTCAAAGAAGAATTACACAAACAGGATATAGATGGAAAGGGTCAAACCTGCATAGCAAAATATCTAAAATCCATCCAATGACACTCGTTCGTAAACTCTTTTTGCTCTCCTTATTTTGCTCCTCAGCAGGAAACACACCTACCATCTAAAGAATTTACTTTGAACCCTGCGAAATAATGAGGGCAATTTAGTTCAGAAGGTATTTGAACGATTAAATAGTTAAAAGAAATCGCATGCTTTAAAAGTTAAGAAAAATTTAATCGCGAATTTTTCTTTTTCTTGCCTTTTTTTGCCATAAAAATTCAATCTCATTACCAGGTCAAATAAGTGTTTACTCGGTCTTCGATAAATGCGTCCACTTTTGGACGATTTCCTACTTCCTTTGGTAACATACAAGATTACAATTGAGGAGCGTTACCAAGAGTTTTATGTCATTGAATTTTGCTTGTATCAGACCTTTTACAGATGTACAACTTCATCTCTAGAATCACCACTCTGAGAACCCCAACAGGAAAGATTCTGAGAGTTTTTAAGAGGTAGTTTGTCATAGCCACGAGGACGCTTTACGTCCACGAATAAAATAATGTTTTTGTATAGTGAAATCAATTTCACCCAGCGCTCAATGCGAAGGGGCCATGAAATAGAGGTAAGTTCGTTATCAACAGACGTGTCTTCTGGGCCATTTCTTCTATAAACTACCACGAAAAGGGTGATCTAAAGTGACGTTGGTAATTCTTTTCTTCTTCTTTTTTCTTGCAAGTTGATATTAGGTTATAAGTTCGTTTTCTGAAACAACTAACAGATTTCTGGAACAAAGACTGCTGCAAAGATTGTACTTCAAACTTAAAACTATTTCGTGAGATATGTTCCCGAAATAATCCTTCTAACGAGCACTAAACATCCCCCGACGTTCCCAACGCGTCGCTTTGACCTATTCTAAAATGAATGGTCTTTAGAATTTTCAAAAACCTTTGGAGAAACATTTACGACCACCACATAAAGCGATTTTTGCAACACAATATTTTTTTTCTCATTTTAGCAAAGCCTTTCAAAAAAATTTTGAATTCGTGTTGGAGTGACTAATTCCAAATTCGTTAATCCAAAGCTCAAAGATCGTCAACTTCGATACAACTTCTTTATCTTATTCTGGCTGCTGACTTTTTTGCAATACCTGCAAAACTTGCAAAAAAGGTCTTATATTGCGACACTACAAGTGCTCACGGTCGCACCAAAATTTATCTTTATGTTTTTGAAATGGCAACCGCTCACCATATCAAGGAAATTACAATAATCGAGTTTCCAAAATTTTAAACTCTGAAGTTTCTTGCATCAATTGTGAAATCACGACTCACGCAGTTTCTCCAAACTCGCGACTTCTAGGAAATTAGTTCAAAAGATTGTGGACTTGCTGGAAAGATGCGAAATAACATTGCATCGCAAAAGCTCGGTTCTTATAAAAGTTCACTGAAGCTTCTTTAAAAATGTTGAATAAAAATCTATAGCTTGATTAGGACCAGGTAAAATCGATGGGTCCGAAATCTTCAGAAAGATCTGGGCGCTTATCGAGTATTTCAAACTCATAATAACTGAAAAGATGAGAAAATTCTATATCGCATACAGTCTGAAGCGGTTGTCTATATCCACAGACAGGGCTCGGCACAACTGGCTTATAAGCAGGCTGGATATCGTTTTTGGGACAAAAAGCAAAGGGGGTTTCGTTTTTGTGGCCAAAAAGACACAAAATTTGTTGCGACGTTTTTTGGTCAACGTTCCGTTTTTTGGAGATTTAAAGATTATGGACTAGGGTCAAAGGGAACTTCGTAAAAATTCGTAAAAGTCAAGGGGGACTTCGTTTTTTTTTGCATTTTCAACTAGCCAGCCGTGCCGAGCCCTGTCCACAGATTCTAAAATCTTCTTTTTTTGAATATAAATGTTGTAATGTTCAGGTATCTATTTCTAAGTGGTTTGTTTGCATCAAGTAAGATTTTTTACCGCTTTAGAACTGGGCAGTTATAAGGTTCCAGTAGAATGGTGTGAATTCCATATTAAGTGGCAAGTGACTCGACTACGAACAAAGAGAAAAGGGAAAACGTGGTAATCGAAAAAGTATGTCGAGAAGAGAGAGAATTCATGACTAGGACATCGTATAATGTAGCGCTGGCAGAGGATATGGTCACAAATTGCGAGAAAAAATTGTTGAGATACTTTCCTAGCCTGCCAGACTATTACAGTAGACATGCATATCATGAATTTCAGGAAACATGCGCGAGCGACTACCGTAATCTAGTCGTTTTAATTTGAGAAGAGAAATGACAAGCGATGCGCGAAAGGAGAATAGATAGCGCCAGTTGATTGGCAGTGAAGGTCGAACCCGATATTGAGTATGAGATTGTTTCAAATAATCAGATATGCTTCAAAAGCTCTTTGAAGCCAGATCACTTGACATTTATTTGTTTGAAACATGAGTCTTTCACAAAAATTTCAAAAAATGCTCAAATAGCTTTTCCAAAGCTAACGACTTAGTTTTTGTAACATAAAACAAAAGCTGTATGTTTTCATGATTAGAAAACTTTTCGGCTCAAAAACAAAGAGTTGAACAGAAAAATTTGTGTATCATAACTTCATGCAGAAACGTCCGATAGGCATGAATCTTTTTCATATAGAAAAAGCAAATCGTGGAATGAAAAGAAAAACTGAAATGAGAATTAGACGCTGTAATAATTTTAGCGAGCGAAGAACAAAAAAACATTTCCTCCTATCAGTGCGTTTGGTATCAATATATTTCACTTTGAGTACTCTTGAAAAGTCCAAGATTTTTGCCGAACTTAATCTTTACTCAACCTAATATATCAGTGAAGGATTTCATTGAGTTTGCAAACTTTCCAAATTTTTGGTGTAAGACTTATGTACCAACCTAATATAATTAAACTGAATCCTAAAACCCCACTTTCTACAAGGTCTAGTGCTAAATAAAGTACAGTAGAAAGATAAGTGACGATAATCTGATAAGACTTGGCCGTGGATCAGAAATCACTGTTAATTCGTGGTATAATAAAACGTAAGAGAGTTACGAAGTTTTCTGTCATTAAACCTACTGATCGCTGTCGTGTCTTTCTGTTGCTTGATTTGATCGCCTTCGTCTCCCCGTACAATAATCCAATTAGCAAAGAGACCGCTTTCACGTGCAGTCGGAACGAAAATCCCCGATCTTTGCATAAAGTATCATTGTTTGCTGATTAATCTAGAAGAAGACCGATTAGAGCGCTTAAGACTTTCTCTTGAAGATTACATGACTTCGCGCAGGTTTCTGAAAGAGTAAAGATTTCTCCTTATTAACGAATAAATGTTAGAAGTCAAAGTGGCCATTCTCAACATGCTGCATACTACTGGATGCAGCGCAGAACGCTGATCCCAAGATTTTCTCCCTGCCGAAAACGCTTCTTAGACAAACTTGTAAGCCATTATATCGCTGCTCGGAAATGAGATGTGAAAATAAGTTATAAATATCAAAAAAGGGTTCTAAAAGTGAAACTTTAAATATTTTGAGTTTTTACTTGCAATAACATTACCAAACTGCACATTCTCAACTTTACTCAATTTTGTAGGTCTGAAATCAGCGCAGTTTGAGATGAATATTGCATTGGCAGCAGCAGCTGGCAATTGCTATCGTTCCTATAGGCCCGGGCATACTTCACGCGACGCGATTTGGCAATTCGCCAGAAGTTTCAGATGCAACACTAGCAAACTGCACATCTAATAAGATGCCCTTCCTTCTGTACATTTCAATTGTGCTTACAGTGAGTTATGGACAGTTGGAATATTGCCAAATCGCGTCGCGACTGAAATCGCGCGAAGTATGCTCGGCCCTTATTGCACCACACCCCAACAAGAGCATTACAGAATGCATTAAAATTGTTATTATTATAAATAACTAGCTGGCTTACCCGGCTCCGCCCGCCCCTGTCAATAATATATTTGTAATCAGCATGCTCGATTACCCCCCTGTGCCAACTCCCAGCCCCGTAGGTAAACTCAGCAAAAAAATCGATAAAAATCGATAAAATCGATATCGATCGATGACGAAAAGTAGCCTATGACACCCGCCGGGGCCCGTAGTGTATGTGTGCCAAGTTTGGTCCGGATCGGTTCAGAAATGGAATTTTCTATTCGGAACATACGTACACACATACATACAGACAGACATACATACATACATACAAACAGACATTCAGCTTTATATATAAGATTGCAGTTCATCTTTTCGCAACATATGAAAGACGAACTGCAATAATAGAGCTTATTCAGGCTTGATGAGTCTTCAACTGTTCGAGTGCCATTCGCAGAATAGACAGCCGTCCTCGGTAGTATAGTGGTGAGTATCCGCGTCTGTCACATGCGAGACCCGGGTTCAATTCCCGGCCGGGGAGAATCTTTTGCTCCGCAACACAGCTTCCCTCTAAGAGGTCGGAGATGATGTGAATAACCCAGGTTGTCCATTCCACACCTCTCTCATCTTCTTAACAATGGTTGTGGACTCGTTAGACCCAAGGAGTCCCCGACTACTGTCCACTAGGAAAGCAATTAGCTCGGATTCTTACCGTGATTTCCAAATCGGATATTGCGCATGAATTTGCGATATCTTGTTTAAAATGAGTTTAAAATGAGTGCAGTAGTACCACATTTGGCTAGGGGATCTTATATATAAAGTCGAAAGTCTGTATGTGTGTCTATGTGTCTGCCAGTCTGTACGTGTGTGTTTTAAATAGAAATTTTTATTTCTGAACCATTCTAACCAAACTTGCCACACATATACTTCTAAGCGGGACGGATGTTGTAGGCTTCTCTTCATTATCGATCCTTATCAATTTTATCGACTTCTTGCAAAATTTGAGCTAGGGGCTGGGAGCTGGCATAAAGAGGTGGGCGGGGGGGGGGGGAATAAGTGATTACGAAAATATTAGTCACAGGGCCGAGCGGAGCCGATCCTGCCAGCCAATTCACGGTTCTAATCATTCATCCCAATAGTTCAAACCACGATATTTTGTTTTCCTATCAACAGTAGATCAAAAACAAAACAATAACAACAACAACAGCAAACAGACAACAATAATATGTACCGATGTATTCAATTTTTTGGCATAACTGTTATCTCTTCGACTTTCCCTTCCTGTTTTTCCCTACAGGCTCCGATTTCCTTTTCTTTCCATGTCCAATGTGTTGGAAAGCTCCTCGTCGTTTCTTCTTCTCTCGTTCTTGGATACGTTTGAATCTGAAGCAACAACGTCATCTAGTGCAAGAACTATACCGTCCGCGTTATGGCTAATATGTAAGCGCTTCAACAGTAGTCGGAGTGCTTATTACATATTAGCCATAACGCGGACGGTATAGCTTCAATCGGTTTTAAATTTCAAATCTTGGAAAGACCCTTGCGTACCGAACCAACAGATGTCCTCCATTCTGCTCAAATGCAAAATGAGTTTTTCTAGTATAACTTTCATTCTGTGGATTAGCGGAAGTAGATGAGGAAGTAGCGGTCTTATTCATGTAGTTAAAATGGATGCTAACAAAGGACTGGCAAGAAATCGAAGTGGCCAATGCAAACACGCTGCAATCATTAGACGCAGCGTATAGCTGACTTTGTACCTGCATTCCATATTTGCTTAGCGCCTTGTGGGCGAGTTTATGAGCAGTTTTAATGCGAGAAAATCGCACTGAAATAGCGGAACAACATATAGTTGCACCTTCAACTCATCTTTGGGCCCTAAGAATATAAAAAACCTAGCTACATGCTTTGGCCCAGCATTAAGCCGAACATGGTTCTGTACTGCCAAATCTGCGCTTCGCATGCAAAATTTCTGTGCAAAATAACGGCCTTCGACGGCTCATTATTTCGCCCACATAGGCGCCAAGCAGGTATGGAATACAGATTCGCAATCAGCATTTTGTGCTGCATCCAACGGTTGCAGCTTGTCTGGATTGGCCACTTCCATTTTTGACCATTCCCTTGTAAGCAATCAAAAGGTACATCACGTGGCGACACTGCATAAGCAGTGCTTGTGGCCATAGGGTCATTACGATACAGTTTGAAATAAAATAATCGTATGAATATCTTACTTTTCTCGCTTTGACTGAGTGAATTGCTGGTCATATAACAGTTCATCCAACATCGTTTTCTTCCTTTCTTTCTTTGTCATGCGACTGCTATAATAATCTTCTGGTGCATCGACAACATGGCCAACCTAGAACAGCATTTGATTCACATCATATGCATCAAAGAAAAGAATGTACCTGGAAGTACTTGGGAAGAACGTTGCGGTCAGTTCTCCGATAGAACGCGAGAGGATCTATTGCGGAACGCATCTGTAGGAGTTCCAGATCAGCCTTTGCTTCTTCAGTAAGTTCGGTTGCGGGAAGGTCGAACCAATCATGGCCCTTGGTTTTTTCACGTTCAATCTAAAAAGAAGATGATGAAGACCTCTTGGATTTGAACGGATCGAACAAACAGAAGAAGATATGTACAGCAATTGCAAAAAGACTATGTTTATTTGAGTGAGCATATTATTTGGCAATCTATTATGTGTCCTTCCACAATCGCCCAAAACAAATCAATGCTGCCTTCAAACTCAACGCTATTGTTCTCGCACATCTGCGCCATCTTACGAGGGAAACTTGTTCAATCGAAGTGGCCTTTCTAAATGAAATGTATACCATACTGGAGAGCATAAAACGCTGATCCGAACCTGCCTTCCTTATGTGCAGAACGTTTATAGACGAGGAGTTATGAGCAAGTTTAGGGCCAAAAATCAAATGCGCATTTTGGATAGAAGTTGCTAGAATCTCACTGGCCCTCAAATAATGCAACCAAGTGTGACATATTTTTTATTTTAGAGTATTTCTTGAATGAAGTGCTCTGATGCGATCGTCATTGCTCCATAAAAGAGCTAGAAAAAATGTTAACGGCTATTTTTGTCCTACTTGTACATTCAATTATAGCTCCAATGAGCGCCCATAACTCCTCGTCTATAAACGTTCTGCAGATAAGGAAAGCAGATTTAGAATTACCATTTTATGCCCTTCAATATGGTATACATCCCATCTAAAAAGCCCATTTAGATTAAGCATGCGTTCCTTGTTAGTTTTTATCGTTTATAGTATTACTATGAATGTAAAAATCGTGTAGGTTAGAAAAATCAAAAAAGGATTTTATAGTTTCGGAATTTTTTGAATATACAGGTGTAATTAATCTACAAAAGTAATTAATCTTAAGTCGTTAACAACTCCTCCCACTAGGTATTCTGCTTACAATTAGCTCCAAATACCATTTAGCAGAATAGGCTATAACTAGTTTACAACATGAAGCGAATCACTCATCCTTCTTCGTTAATGTAGAATTACTAGCATTTCCACAAGGAGCTTCACTAGATGGTACTTGTAACTTGGCAGACTTTGTAGGAAGAGAGTTAATAACAACTAAAAGATGTGTACTTACTTTTGAGATACCCTGCAAACGAAGCCGAACAGAATCACTAACGATTCGCTTTATCCTGGCTCTGTGATAGCGTCTTACATTGTAAAGAGAGCGCTGAATCTATGACTGCGAAAACATGATGACAAACATGAAAACAAAAAGCCTTATTTGAAACAGAACGATTACATTCAAAACGGAGTTTGAAAAGGTCCTCCCGACCTGTTTGGCAGAACTTTTAGATGGAGAATTTGAGTCAAAGAAAGGATGTCAAAGGTGACCAAACGAATATCAAAGCTGACTTCATCAGATCCGGTTGTATTTAACAACGACAAGGATCACACTTACTTGGCGGTAGCTTTAACATACGAGATCAACAATCAGAAAGTTCTTGATCGGCCTCACCCAACGGGTAAATTCAACAAAAAGTTTGCCATACTGATATCGTATGCTAAGCCTCCCTGTGGGGCAGAACCCACAAAATGCCAGTCAATCGATAATTATGTAAGATCTCTTTGGCAGAAACAAAATATGTGCAGCGAAAACGCTCTATAGCATGGAACACAGAAACCACATCACCTTTCTCAGTCGCTTTGCTGCTCTCCTCCCGATAAGATTGGCGGTTTCAGCATAATTCTTCTCAAAAGATGGTCCACATACTGCTTTGTCCAGCAGCTAGAAAGAGCAGTAACAGATTATGTCTGACACGATGCTGGTTAAATGAAACAGACTGCGAAAACGTAAGCAAAACATTAAAAAAAAATTTTGCAATCACTTCCAGTGCGCAGGATAACGACAAAGACTAGCTACAAGAACTAACTTTCTGAACTCTTTCGTCGATCACAACCGGAGCTACGGAATCACCGTCATTATCTTTAGCTTCGGATACACCGGGAACAGAGTCAGTTGTGGTTTCTTCGGCACCATCGGTATCCAGGACGAAGAAGTCGGTCGACTTCTGTTTGGACTAAAAAAATCGCATGAAAAGGAACTTCAAAATATAGTAAAAATTTTCTGTTTGTAGGAGGATAAAACCAAAGAAAATTATTCTATTTTACAAGACCTTGCCCCACGAGAATGCCATGACTGTTGACTAGCTACATTTGCGATATATCACCTATCAAATTCAGTATTGTGAGAAAACGATGCAAGTGACGATGGAGTAAAAAACATCATTTTCATAGTTTCTAGATCTTCAACTTCACAATTCGGGCTCATTCTCCTTCCACAGCTCAAAATTAAGATTCTTTTGCATTCGCTCATAGGTTGCAAAACAAATGATTAAAACGTAAAAGAACTCGGCGAATAACGAAGCCGGCTAGTAAATCTTTTCAAAAGATTGTAATTCACTCTCTACCGACGACAACGCAATTTTGTAGGTTTTGACATGAAATTCTCTTTTTTCGTCAGCACAAGTGACGGACTATCTTGCAAATGAGTCGAGTCTTGCACTGTTATTTATCAAAAAGCAATCTCATCTGAAAGATTCCAAAAAAGGACACTGAAGCGAATTTTCTCAAGTTGTCTGGCGGTTGTCAATGAGTTAAGCACATGCCATATTTGGATGCCTTAACCACTCCTTCCATTTCACTATTGGTCGAATCACTAAACCGACTAACAACGACGTGGACAAAGTTACCTAAGTGTGCATGACTTTTGTCTTACAAGAAAGGGTCCCTAAATCTACTGTCACTTTGAAAGGTGATGCATACTGGTGAATGAAGCTCGAAACGCTGCTCAGATCTACCTTCTCTATCTGCGAGCCGTTCCTCTCGAATAAGTTAATGGCTTCTCTGTATTCAAAACAAAAGTGCGGCCAGAATAAAAATGACGACTTGTGGACATTAACATGGTCGGAAAACCCTCGAAGAAAGGGGTTTATCAATTGCGGTGTCGGGTGCACCAGCTCTCCACTCCCGCGCGGCTGCCTCGCCTGGGCTCTGCACCTCTTTCATGACTCTCCGATCACTTTCATACTACGAGCGTGGAAAAGATGGAGCCTCAGTGGATTGCAAACGATTAGAGAGTAATTCCCGGAAGAGGTGCAGAGTCCCACGAGGAAGCGGAGATGCTGGTGCATCCGACACTCCGATTGATAAGCCTGTACGACAAATACTTATGACATGATTTGCTTGAGCATGCATACTCCTTTGTGGAAATACCGAAACTACGCAGAGAACGCACGCGAGTTTGGCCTGCCCATGAAATATTTCAGAAGATTTGTGCAGTACGACAGATCAGCGTTTCAAGCTCATTTGTGTGTATACAACACCTTTTTAACCGCCACCTTGACCACGACCACCACAGACTTCCCTTGTTATCATGACTTATAATAAAGCTCTAAACGTGTCTTTTGTCTGTGTATATGTCTGTCTATCACGAAATCCATGTAGCAAGGTGCAGCCAACGTCATGGGCTAGACTTTTTGCCATAGCACCCTATCAGCATGTATCATCGGCTCCCAGATTTGTGTGGAGGCGGGTTACGGCTTCCCTGATTTTCAAGACAAACTTGTTAAACCTCCAGGTTATAGCATTATATTTCGTACTCTCTCGTTAAGCTTATCCTTAAAATCAAGGAAGTCTGTGATCCGCCTCCACATGAATCTGGGAGCCGATCATAAGTAAACTGTGCACAAGCAAAAGCCGATCCAGCAAGTGGAATAATCGAAACTGTGCGTCAAACGGACCCAAGCGATTTCTGACCCGCCAAAATGGGTCGCTGGACTTTTCGCAAAGCCGTGGATTTGTTCAGCAAGTAAATCTAAATCCGAAACATTGACTTTAGCCCAAAAAGTGAGCAGAAAGTCTAGTCTTACACAAAATTGGCGCCACAAAGGTGTAACTGCGCAAATTGTCAATTCGCCAAGCTTTTATTTCAAGACTGAAAGGGTATTTGAATGAAGTTGTAGCCCAAGATGAATCTTATCCTTATGGTGACTGTAAAGCCAAAATGATTTCAATGATCCATTCAAAATCGCATTTGTTCTTTTGCGAGAAAATCACCAATCTCACATGGAAAAGCTTTGAAAATGAACGGTTTTACAATTCATTCGTGATGATCGGCATCGCGCGGTGAGGCCCTGGCCAGAGTTCGCTCAAAAGCGTCAAAACGCTCAAATTTCTCTAACCTCTCTTCACTTCCTCTATCTCTTCTCACATGACAAAAGTGAAGAGACATTAGAAAAAATTGAAGCTTTTGAGCGCTTTTGGGCGCTTTTGAGCGAAGTTTGGCCGAGACCTGAGTTTCAAAGTAATTATTATTCACGATGAAGGCATACGGATACCAGAGCCAGTGCGAACCTCTGCCAAGCAGAGGTGATGCGCTTGTATCAAATAACACCAAAAGAACATTTTTCTGAACCCTCAAGTATTACCTGACCTGTCGTGGAATCTACAAGAAAATAAAAAGTTACCTTTTCTTTCCTCCAAGGAATTTTGAACCCTTTGGGGGCAATTGGCAAAGCAGAATCCCTACTTTCGTCGCCATCACTTTCCGAATCGCTTTGTGACTTCGGCAGCACTGGTTTGCTAATTAAGGGCCGTTTCTTCAGAGTAATCATCTAAAAAGAGAACAAGAAGTGGTGTCAGCTACACATTATATCGGCAGTCAATTTTCAATAATGCAATAAGATCTAGAAAAGAGAAGGAAAGAATCGACGTTCTAACTTATATGGAGTGAGCAAAACTCGAGCGGCTCCAATTTCTCGCGAACTCACTGGGCTTTGCACCGCTTCCGCGAACGTGCTTTCTGCAATAGTTCTCGCAAGCTCAGGCGTGGGAAATGATTAAAGAGCACGTTCGTAATTTACAGACCCAAGCGAAGCTTCCACATGAGCGAACCGCTTCAAGTCGGGCTCACCCCAGCTGAAAAAGCGCATGTAAAGCTTGAAAAGAAGAATACGATAACCGTCACATTCTCTTCCGATCTTCAGAAAAAACCGTCCACATTATGGAAAAAAATCATCTGTCGGCATTTAGACATAGGGCAAAAAATTGTCCGCATCCGCACTAAACAGAATTATAGAACTCAAAAAGCACCGGGGCTACTGGTATTTCCGGCTCGAGACGAAAATCAGGCGTCAAAATAATTCGGCGTCCGTAGATGCACCAGAATTCAAATTTGACTTCATTCGACGCCTTATTTCCGGCGTTCTGAGGGATCGTTCAGACCGCGCACAAAGGCGCACGAAGGCGCGTGTGAGTGTGTGTTGAGAGAAACGAGACGAGACGAGACGCGCCTTCGTGCGCCTTCATGCGCCTTCGCGCGCCTTTGTGCGCCTTTGTGCACGGTCTGAACGATCCCTGATCTAGAATTCTCAAGATACCATTTGATTCAACTGGCTTGGCTTGAGTGGGGGAACGAAAGCCGCCAGGTCCAGCCGCCTTTCGCGGCCAGCTGGTCCTTTCGCAGCGTTGTTGCATGTCGTTCCAGGACCAGCAGTCCGCGGAGGCGGCTGGACCTGGCGGCTTTCGTTCCCCCACCCGCTTGGCTTCGGCAAAGGCGGGGCTTCGTGAACTAAATAAGGCTAGGTAGTGATCAGAGAGAGCACTCGCGCGAGAGAGATGTAGGTGCGTCGCGGGAGCGAGCGGCTTCGAATAGATCACAAAACCCTGCCTTTCCGGAGCCAAGTCAATTGAATCAAAATTTAGCTAGGGAAACTGTTGCAGTACAACATACGGGTATTTTTTGTCATTTTTGCACTCCTAGCTCCGATTCAAACAGCTTTTCGTGATCTCTTACCAGACATTGGGTAATGAAAGACTTTGTGAATAACAACGTCGATAAAAAAGACTTTTTGATTACATTACAGAGTTTTTTTTTTGACTGCAAAGTTCACAAAGTTTGTATGACAAGAGTATGGGAGGGTGGCCATCTTGGTTGTTCTATTTGAGAAACATAGCGGACGACATATCGGGCATGAACACTCAGACAATTATTGCGACCACCCGCGGAAGGGCGCCTGTCAACGTTTCATCCATGCCGAAGGTGGTAGAATAAACGCACGCCAAGCTCCCGAAATCTACCCGCGGATGCGTCGATAAGTGCCCAAACGAAACCCGCGGATGTCCCGGCAATCAAACCATAAATGCACAATGTGCGTCCGCGGGTGGGCCTACACGCACCGACTAAACTCGAAAATATTCATAAAAATCTGTGGACTTCTGTTTTCTTTCTTCTAGCCCTCGCATGGAGGTCACGATCTACATCAGCGTTTGGACTAGGGCCCTACTGAGGACCGACTTCGTTACTAGTCGTATGTAACTTATACCGAAGACCAAAGCGTTTGGGGTACCTCAACCAACGCGCCGTATCTCACCATCACGTATCTCATCTCGAGCAACGTTTTTGCCTCCAGCGTGTAGAACTGTGGCGTCCAGCAGGGCTCGGGGCTCGGCTAGAATGGTTCTACCGGGTCGTGGCCTAAAGGGCCGCGGCTTACCCGATAACCAACTATGCAGGGCTTCCTGTAAGGCCTGGAGCTCTCCCGAGTGATTAGTCCTGGGCAGTGGGTGTTCCGATAAAACCAGTTATGGCTCGCGACCTTTCTCTCGCGATAGCATTGAGCCGCGGGTTGCCAGCAAATGAATCTAGGGCCGCGGATGATCAGTCCAAGAATTTAGCGCCCGCGCACCGTCAGAAAACGACGGTAGGGGCCGCGGATGCTCGCAATAATTGTCTAAGTAGGGAGATCAATAGGGCTTACAGAGCACAGCACCTAAATGCCCTGGGTCAGGAGTCACACCGCGCGCGGTGGCCGCTCGCCGTGCCCAAATTTTGTGCTTCACAATAACTCTCCGGTGCTAAAGTGGCACTGTGCCACAGTAAGGGGGTTGCGGCAGATACATGACTCGATTGCATAAGTAACATTGCGACAGGAGTACTGACCGAAGCTGAGTCTTGTACTGCTTGACGTCGCTTTGCGGCGTCGCTTCGCGAAAAATCGTGACTCCTGATCTGTACCCGCACCTAAGTACTCATTGTTCCAAATCCTGCTCATCCCCTTGCGTTTGTCGGATAATCTTTTTTTCCCTGAGTTAAACAAATTCCATTACAAGTGAAACGAACTCTTCTCGAAATCCAAGCACTACAGCAGTATCACCATGCGTTCTGAATACTTTTTCGGTTTCATTTGGAGAGCCCTACTGGAGAAGCTCGGATTCCGTCTCGCCTGGACCACGTGTCGCGATCGTGAATCGTCGTATAACCATTTCATCACGTCTGAGCGTGGGAAGGGTTCAAAAGTGAGCTTCCCGACCAGTGAAGAACATCAAGAACCGTCCTTCTCTTCAAGAAAAGCAAACGGGAGGATCTTCGAAACTACCGTCCATCATGCCCGCTGAGTGTGCTCTACAAACTTTTCACGAAGATTCCTCGCTCGCATATCTAGGAACTGGAGAAGCCCAATCCCAAGAACAAGCTGGATTCCGCAAGGAATTCAGTTGCATGGACCACACAGACGGCTTGGAGGGTCATAGAAGTCTGCCGGGGATACCGACTACCTCTCGTCCTAACCTTCGTCGACTATGAAAAAGCCTTCGACAGCGTCGAAACGAACGCCATTCTGTCAGCTAGTCGATTAAGGACTGGACCCAGCTTACGTGAGGACATTAGCCGACTGCTACAAGGACTATACAACAACGATGCAGCACCATCTCCCCCTGAACATTCCAATTGGAAAGGGGTTCGACAAAGCGAAACAATCTGGCCGAAGCTGTTCACCGCGGCCTTACAGTGCGTGATGAAGCCACCGCCAACTGACGGACCCGGAGCTTCGTGTCCACCTGTTTGACTCAACCGTTCTCCCGCTCTGTTACGCAGCTGAGACTTGGGCCGACACTGTAGCCATGTCGAAAGCTTTACGGACCACCCACAGAGCGAGCGCAGTCTTCAGAAGATGACCGAACGCAAGCAACGTCTAGTCGGACTTCGCGGTACGTACATGAGAAGAATGTCCCGTCTTCGTGACCCAGCGGAATACGTTGCGAAAGCGAAACATCGGTGGGCCCACCACTTCATGAGAAGAACAGACGACAGATGGACACTAAGAACATCTGAGTGGATTCCTCGCGAAGCCAAACGTCCCCGAGGAAGATCACCGACGAGGTGGGTAGACGTGTTCGTGGAACGGATGGACAAGCTGAGAAACCCGATAGGATTTTCCACCTGAAACTCACGGAGCAGCCACTGACGTCAACCAAGAAAATCGTGGATGTCTGAAGCGAGGGACAGGGATCGATAGAAACTTTTGTGCTGACTCCGCACGCCATGTGAAGAGGGCCATCCAAGCATCTGAGTATCTTTGAGCTGTGGGGCTAGGAGCATAGGGGTAAGTGAGCATGCTGATCACGAATGCAATATTAGTAGTCTGGCAAATTGTTCCATGCGTTTTTTCACCTCCTTCACTGTTGGCTGAAATGGTGACCAACACATATCCAGGAAACATTTTGGTATTGAGATTGGGATAATCATGGGTATATCGAATCTAGTGTGGGGACAAAGAATTTATTAGTAGATATGCGTGCGAGCCATGAACTCTTTAATGCTGGAACACAAAAGCTTGAGAGAAACAGAGATTGAGGGAGAGGAGAGTGAGAGAGAGAGAGAGATCGAGAGAAAAGAAAGACGAATGGGTGACTACGCAAAAGGTGATTTAGCGATAAATAAGACAAATGATAGATTATTCCATCGACTTGGCAACACACACATTCTTGAAGAGATCAGCATTTGCTGTTACAATACGCGTAGAATACCGTGTTTTTAATATAAAAAATAATAAGCTTTTCACATTCACAACAGCCTCAAAAGATGACAATTTTGACAAAGATGTAATAGAATTTGCTTACTTGACTAGGGATAAGATACACCGAATTTGATAACAAGCTATGAAGAAACCTGTGGATGAATTTTTGGAAAAAAAAAACAGCTGTCAGCGAATCGTAACAGCGAATAAAGTACCTTTGAGGCATAGCAGAACAAAATATATATTCTATAACAAGGAAGTAAACCACATGTAAAGCAATAGGTATGCATTAATGGCAACGATTAGATCCATTCAACTATACGATTTTAGAGTTCCATTTGATGATGCTCTCACTTTCATTTGTCCCGCTAGGAGAGGGTTGATTGCGTATAACCAGTCATACATCTAAACATACGTATTAAACTCACTCAATTTCCTGGCAAAAAAAAACCCGGCTTACCTCATCCCCAGGCATAATCTGCATCAAAAATCCGCGATGATTTGTACAGACGGAAAAAGTGTTAGGTACTTTTAGCATTGCTTGTTGATCCTCGGAGTACTCAACACGAGCGTTAGCCAGATTGATGATACCACGAATGACCTAGATAATCCATGTTTTAGAAAACAGCATGGTGTACTTGCATAGTACAGTACCATTTGTTTCAACTGGCTTGGCTTCGGGAAGGCAGGGCTTCGTGACCTAATTAAGGCTGGATGATGATCAGAGAGCACTAGCGCGAGAAAGACGCAGGTGCGTCGCGGGCGCGAGCGGCCTTGATTAGGTAACAAAGCCCCGCCTTTCCGAAGGCAAGCCAGGGATCAAAGGTCAGAGACAATGATTATGGGCACAAAATCTGACTCTCCAAATAGAAGGTTGCTCGAGTAGAAAAAGAATGTTCGTGAAAAAATGGGGACAAGTGACAAGCTCAAGTCAACTGCTATGCTCATTTGGGAAGAAGTTTGGGACGCTCTTTATTTGCAGACATTTTTTATGACTTCGTTTCAGCTTGCTGCCACCCTCTCACACCCAAGTCAAGAGCTAACATCAGATATTACGAAAAGCAAAGGTGGGACTGTGACATTTTTGTCCCTGATTTTTGAAGCAGTGGTAGATCCAGGGAGGGAATGGGAAAGCAGCTATAGAATCATGCAAAAATTTGTCGTTGTAAGTAGGTGACCATGGGGGAGATAAATTCTCTTCTAGAACGTAGTCGATAGTTTCCTATAAAACCTGGGCTAAGCGGTGAGCAGTTCCGTACCACATGACCCCTAAATTCAAAGAAACTGATGTGCAGGTAAAAATCCAATGATTAGAAAAAACATCTTATATATAAAGCTGAATGTCTGTTTGTATGTATGTATGTATGTATGTATGTATGTCTGTATGTCTGTCTGTGTGTACGTATGTTCCGAATAGAAAATTCCATTTCTGAACCGATCCGGACCAAACTTGGCACACATACACTTCGGGCCCCGGCGCGTGTCATAGGCTACTTTTCGTCATCGATCGATATCGATTTTATCGATTTTTATCGATTTTTTTGCTGAGTTCACCTACGGGACTGGGAGTTGGCACAGGGGGGTAATCGAGCATGGGGATTCCGAATACAATATTGATTTTCAGGATTATCGATTACTTTTATCGATTTTATCGATTTTTTTGCAAAGTTTGAGCTACGGGGCTGGGAGTTGGCACAGGGGGGTAATCGAGCATGGGGATTCCGAATACAATATTGGTTTTCAGGATTATCGATTACTTTTATCGATTTTATCGATTTTTTTGCAAAGTTTGAGCTAGGGGGCTGGGAGTTGGCACAGGGGGGTAATCGAGCATGGGGATTCCGAATACAATATTGGTTTTCAGGATTATCGATTACTTTTATCGATTTTATCGATTTTTTTGCAAAGTTTGAGCTACGGGGCTGGGAGTTCGCACAGGGGGGTAATCGAGCATGGGGATTCCGAATACAATATTGGTTTTCGGGATTATCGATTACTTTTATCGATTTTATCGATTTTTTGCAAAGTTTGAGCTAGGGGGCTGGGAGTTGGCACAGGGGGATAATCGAGCATGCTGATCATCCCCAAGGGGGGTGATCAGCATGCTCGATTACACCCCTGTGCCAAATTCCAGCCCCCTAGCTCAAATTTTCAAAAAATCGATAAAATCGATAAAAGTAATGGACGATCTCGAAAACTAATATTGTATTCGTAATCTGCATGCTCGATTACCCCCTGTGCAAACTCCCAGCCCCGCAGGTCAAACTTTACGAAAAAAATCGATAAAATAGATAAAAGTAATGGACGATCCTGAAAACTAATATTGTGTTCGTAATCTGCATGCTCGATTACCCCCTGTGCAAACTCCCAGCCCCGCAGGTCAAACTTTACAAAAAAATCGATAAAATCGATAAAAGTAATGGACGATCCTGAAAACTAATATTGTGTTCGTAATCAGCATGCTCGATTACCCCCCTGTGCAAAATCCCAGCCTCGCATGTCAAAATTTACAAAAAATCGATAAAATCAATAAAAGTAATCGATAATTCTGAAAACTAATATTGTATTCGGAATCCCCATGCTCACTTCCCCCCCTGTGCCAACTCCTAGCCCTGTAGGTGAACTCTGCAAAAAATCGATAAAAATCGGTAAAATCGATAATCGATGACGAAAAGTAGCCTATGACACGCGCCGGGGCCCGAAGTGAATGTGTGCCAAGTTTGGTCCGGATACGGCGGAGCCGGGTAAGCCAGCTAGTCTTATATATAAAGCTGAATGTCTGTTTGTATGTATGTCTGTCTGTCTGTCTGTCTGTGTGTACGTATGTTCCGAATAGAAAATTCCATTTCTGAACCGATCCGGACCAAACTTGGCACACGTACACTTCGGGCCCCGGCGGGTGTCATAGGCTACTTTTCGTCATCGATCGATATCGATTTTATCGATTTTTATCGATTTTTTTGCTGAGTTCACCTACGGGGCTGGGAGTTGGCACAGGGGGGTAATCGAGCATGGGGATTCCGAATACAATATTGGTTTTCAGGATTATCGATTACTTTTATCGATTTTTATCGATTTTTTTGCAAAGTTTGAGCTACGGGGCTGGGAGTTGGCACAGGGGGGTAATCGAGCATGCTGATTACGAACACAATATTAGTTTTCAGGATCGTCCATTACTTTTATCGATTTTATCGATTTTTTTGTAAAGTTTGACCTGTGGGGCTGGGATTTTGCACAGGGGGGTAATCGAGCATGCTGATTACGAACACAATATTAGTTTTCAGGATCGTCCATTACTTTTATCGATTTTATCGATTTTTTGCAAAGTTTGAGCTACGGGGCTGGGAGTTCGCACAGGGGGGTAATCGAGCATGGGGATTCCGAATACAATAATGGTTTTCGGGATTATCGATTACTTTTATCGATTTTATCGATTTTTTGCAAAGTTTGAGCTAGGGGGCTGGGAGTTGGCACAGGGGGGTAATCGAGCATGCTGATCATCCCCAAGGGGGGTGATCAGCATGCTCGATTACACCCCTGTGCCAAATTCCAGCCCCCTAGCTCAAATTTTTAAAAAATCGATAAAATCGCTAAAAGTAATGGACGATCTTGAAAACTAATATTGTATTCGTAATCTGCATGCTCGATTACCCCCTGTGCAAACTCCCAGCCCCACAGGTCAAACTTTACAAAAAAATCGATAAAATCGATAAAAGTAATGGACGATCCTGAAAACTAATATTGTGTTCGTAATCAGCATGCTCGATTACCCCCCTGTGCAAAATCCCAGCCTCGCATGTCAAAATTTACAAAAAATCGATAAAATCAATAAAAGTAATCGATAATTCTGAAAACTAATATTGTATTCGGAATCCCCATGCTCACTTCCCCCCTGTGCCAACTCCTAGCCCTGTAGGTGAACTCTGCAAAAAAATCGATAAAAATCGGTAAAATCGACATCGATCGATAACGAAAAGTGGACTGTGACACCCGCCAGGGCCCGAAGTGTATGTGTGCCAAGTTTGGTCCGGATACGGCGGAGCCGGGTAAGCCAGCTGGTATTACATAAAGCGCAAACATTTAGCGAAACGGCAACAAGCCTCATCTTTTCCCATCATGGCGCCCTCTTTTAGCGTTGCGTAGCAAAAGTGGTTGACAGCCTGGAGTGTGAGACATTGTACTGTCTCGAATTCATAAATGCTAATTCGAGACCTAGGATGTAAGCCTGATGCGACTCTATTTAATGAAAGAGCGCTTTCGAAATCATCACATCGCCAGAGCAAGTGGCAAAGTGCTTGAAATTATTACTGTAGCCGTGACTCATATCTGGTCGGTGAACACGGTCATTGTAACAGGACCCATGACAGCTCATCCATAATCTGTGATTTGGACTTCAATAACTCTCAAATCCACGCATAGGATCCTTGCTAGGACAATATTCTCTGGCTCCCTCTCCAACTCTTTTAGTAATCGTCAGTCGATTTCCCAAGAGCATTTATGTTCGAAGAGCACTTGCATTGCATAAAATACATCTACTCCTACAAGGGTAAGATACTTGATGACTGGCCATCTGCAGTGAGAGTTAACTAATAGATGCGCCTTGGAATGCTAATTTCAAATCATGTTCACTATCTGCTGGGCGACCCTCTGAATTTCACGGATCTAGGCGTTAAGAATCGTTAGTATCCAGGCATCTGCTTTCAGAAGTCACTGTCACCAAGCATCGTTCCCTTGTTAGAAAGAGGATCATGCATGCAAGCTATGGTCTTTGAAAGGCCACATAGCGAAGCACTCTCGTGAGGAAAAGTCTTTGAAGATTTAATTTTACGTGAACAGTAATTTTGGGGCCCTAACTGAGGCACTGCTCGAGCGGCAGCACAGGTTCACTAATGGCTGAGATATATGCCTCTAAACTGGACCCCAGGATCGTACTCGCATGAATTCATGGCGCAACCCATCAGATTCGCGCTAGAACTCACGCGAAACTGATGGGTTGCGCCATGAATCCATGCGAATACGATCCTGGGGTCCAGTTTCGAGGGGAATATCTTACGAGGGAAGAATACTTGGTGACCATGGCCTTTTGCAAAAAGTTGTATCCAGTAGATGCGTCTTGGAACGCTGATTCTGAATCTATGTTTATTATCTGCTGTGCGACTCCCTGAACGAAGTTATGGACTTTTTTCCGTATCGGTTTTGCGAGATTTAGGCCATCAAAATCGTCAGTATCCAGCCTTTTTAGACTCTGATGTATCGATAACAATTTTCCTGAGCTTGACGTGAAGCTTTACTTTATCTGTACGCTCTTTTGTAGTGCGTAAGCGAACATTCTAACGATATTGGTGAATCCTGCATCAAAAACAGTGCAAATTTTGGTGGCAAGAAATGTTCATAACTTCTTTCGGAAGAGCGCACAGTAGATAATGAAAACAGATTTGGAATTAGCGCTTTAAAACGCATTCAATGGTGTACGTCTCATTACAAAAGGCCACGGTCACCAAGTATCCTTTCCTTGTTAGCCGTTAGAGCACTACCTGAGCTGCCGGTTGGGCAGTGGCTTAGCTCAAGATTAATATCCAAGATTAATATCCATGAGATCCCCCCAGATGTCCAGATTTGCCTGGACGCTGCCTTCGTTAGCATGAAGTGATTGTAGGTCAATTATCAAACAGCGAAAAATGAAAAGCCGTACCGTACTATCGATACTGTTTAATCTTGTTAGCTTTATTTCTGAAAAAGAATAGTTGTTGTGTGTCTATTTTCAGAATTTGATGTTTTCTGTACCAATCTCTAAGAAGGTGACAGGGCTCGGCACAGCTGGCACCGGGTCAAGCTGGATATCGTTTTTGGGGCGGAAAGCAAAGGGGATATCGTTTTTCCGGGGTCCGGGGCGGAGTCCCGGAAAAATTGCAGAAGGATATATCGACATTCCGACATTTTGTGTTTGAATTGTCCTTCCAAACACGTACATAGGTTTGCAGGCAGCATGCTAAGTCTAAATTTGGCCGCTGGCATGCCACTGACATGCCGGCGGCGACATGCCGGCTACATTCCAGCGCGGGAATTCAAATTTTGCCGGAAACAAACAAAGGCCTTGTTTATAAACAAAACACAATCATATGACACCAAATTTGGTGTGTGCATGCGCGTTGAGGGACCCGAACTATAGCCCAAAAATTTATGAAAACTTATGTGAATGGAAGCTGTGCCCAACTTTTTTCTGAATTAGCTGGCACCGTGCCAGCTGGGTGCCAGCTGAGCTGGCACCAGCCCTTTGCACACATAAGTTTTCATACTTTTTTACATAAATTGTATCTACACTTCAAAAGTTTACATACAGAGAAAAGACGAACTCATAACGCTCCCTTTTCGGCATTTTCTAGGCATATGAAAATTCACCGTTGTGCTCCTCAGTTGGAAAATCTGCTCCAAATCACAATGCGCGCCCTATGCAAATGCCGCGAACTCTGTCAATTTCGTGTTATGTTCTATTTTTTGACAGATTTTTCCTTTTATGTCAGCATACTCTTCATTAACGCGTGCTTTTCCGCTCTCGAACATGATTTCAAGGGATCATGCTGATATAATCGGCGTGAAGGGTGCCCAGTGGAAGGATCGAGAAATATCATATCAATGATCGCTCACCCACGGAACTACATCAACGACCAGAGAGTGAGTATTCCTTCGTTCTTCATTTATATGTATTTCTCTCAGAAATTGACTTGAAACTAACATCTAACACTTTCATGGCCCCTTGTAGGAATCTATATTCTTGATTCCATTTTCCAAAAATTGTGACTAATCTTATTGAAATATGTTATTTGAGTAACTGATTAAATACTTATTCAGTCAACACATTGATTACTCATTCATTTATTATGTGCTGTTCCTTACTCATTCATTTATTATGTGCTATTCCTGAGGCACGCGGCATACTTGATCCGTTTGATCCACTTGATCCGCTTCATCCACTTCGCCATTGGTCAGTTTGCTGATTTGACCAATAGCGAAGTAGATGAAGCGGATCAAGTATGCGGGTGCCTGAGCAGTTCGCCGAGTTAGCGGCATGTAAGAATGTGACATGCTGACACTTTAGAGGACTAGGAAAGAAAGCTGTTTAGGGGGGGGGGGCGCTCGTGAGTGCTACCCTGTTCTGTTTATTGTTTGGACATATCTATGTACAGATAGTTGGTTTTTTCACCTGTTCTCTTGTCACCATCGATGACGTTAGTGAAGTATAACAAAATTGACTGAACAGGAATAGTTGAGTGTCTTTACGGCCTAATGCTTTGTACGGGATCGAGCCATCATTGAAAACGATCAGTTTTCGCCTACGACTTTAGAAAGTTAGTACGCGTTAAAGTATCTTCACTACAGTGAGGGGTCTTCAAAACAGGTCAAAGGGGACTTCGTACGAAATTTTCAAGGTCAAAGGGGACTTCGTTTTGAAATTTCCCTGGTGCCAGCTCGTGCCGAGCCCTGGAAGGTGATAAAACCGCGGTTTGGATTTGAATGCAATCTCGACTAAGCAGATGCTAATGTATCTGCCCGTTCCCACTTGTAGCGACCGTAGATTCGCTAATAACGCATGACAATGTTTCTGAGCTTTTTCGCCTCCCCACTCCTCCTTCCGCCCCACTCGATATTTTTCGAGATAGAAATGAAAAAATACGAGCATATGGTACAGTAGCGTCAAAATTTGCAAGCTTTATAAACCTGAACTCCAAAGAGACAAGACTCTCTAGGGCTTCTCTTCCCGATAGCTTCATAATTTGTCTATTTTTCAAACCAGTTCTAAAAAATGTGAATCACGCACCAAGTCTTTTTCGTCCCGGAACAGGAGGATGTAAGGTCGTCGTACAACAACCCATCGTCTTGTCCATCCTTGTGTCTTCTCCTCCAAGAAATTCATGTATCCTTTGCGTGAAACCACAACACCGACTCGTTCCTCGGTCACCTTGAGAAATAAGATCTCTCGAGTTTTAGTGTATCAGAGAAAAGCCAGTCTCTCACCTCAGGGACAAGGAAATGCATTTGATTTAGCCGGCTACCGCTGAGACTTCGCTTCATTGCTATTTGATCAAGAATATCATCGTTACAGCTGAGATTTTGATCCGATTTGGATTTTTGTCGACAGAGTGCATCCAGCGAAGGAGAAGATTTGATAAGAGACCTCAAAGTTTTTGATTAATGCGCAACTATGGTATTTAAAGAGAGCAAAACTCTTACTTGTCAGAAGTCGGTGATGTTATACTATTACTACTGCTTTCATCACTCAATTCTTGAGCCTTGTTTCCAGTTGGTGGATCTTTATTCACAGGGATTCTTTGCGCTATTAAACGCACAACTTTTTGCACGATGCCTGGAAAAGGCAAGAATTGTGAGAGTGTGTGATTTACGAAGGAAGTTAGAAGACATTTTCAGACAAATCCCGGTACCATTGTTTTTTATCGGTAAACTAATTAGGAAAGCACAGCTAAGCCATTGCTCAAGCGGCAACTCATTTGATTCATTCGTGACTGAGAGAACAAACTTTAAACTCCAATACATACCGTGCTCGCCCAAACAAATCAGTGTCATACGGTAGTGCGAAGTACGGTCTGGCCACGTGGTCAGAGTTGAATTTCTCAGTTAATAATATGTGAGAGAGACCTAGCTAAGCCACAGGCTAACCAGTTCATACAATTATCCGTGACCGCGTTGTAAGACTCCCAACTCTCGCCCACTACCGTACTTGAAAACGCTGAGCCATTCAAAAAATACTGTACTGGATAAGAGCTTGAAAATGAATTTTTGGACACGCTTGATTTGTAGGGGTTGCCTCTCGGGGGACGGCTTAGTCAAGGCCACCAAATCAGTTTACCCGCAAGAATCCAGGTAAGCAAATTCACCTAGACTATCTGCAAATTAACAGTTACCTTTTTCCTTTTCGTTAAGAGTAACAGTGCTTGGTATAGGTCGTACAGGTTCGCATGGTGATACGGGCGTCTTGGCTTCTCCCGGTTTTCTCTTGCCCTTCAGCTTGTCACGAAGACGTAAGAATAGCCGAACCCGCTCAACCTGAAATGTGTCATAATTTTCTGAGTGAGAGTTACTGACTAGAAGCTACAAACCTGTTGAAGCCTTGTAAGCTTCTCCAGTTCCCATTGATGCTCAAAAATGAGCGAATCCCCTCGTGGTCGCCAATGTCCGAGATTTTCTTCGCCACGAACGTAAGCCGACGAAGTGTCAAGCACACGACGTTGGCGACGAACTGTTCCTATAATCAAGCCAGAAGTTATCGGCTTTCATCGTCATACAGATAATTTGGAGGTTAATTAGTGAGAATTAGGTTGTGAAAAAAGGAAACTGGTTTTAGTAAATGTGACTCATGTTAGACAAGCGTAACGAGACACACAAAAGCAGTGGGTAGCGTACCGGGACTACCTGAGTCGTTAGCGTCTTTAAGGCACAACTGATACACTCCGGGGACACGATTCATTTCGGGAGACTTTGAGATGCCACCGATCAGCGAGCGACAGAACCTGAAAAGAATGCATGAAGATGGCTTATTTGGACTGCTACAGTATGCCACCGTAACTTCATGTGGCATTAGCAATCTGTCATGCTGTGAGTCCAAAGGAATCCCCTTTGTAACCTTTGTAATTATAGGATGCTTCTCGAAATCTCATGCGGAGGTAGCAGTCTGTTCATCTTCGCTGTGTGAGAATAGAAGAGTTTATGCTGCCGATCAGCTCCACTCCGAAGACATCTGGTACAAATCATGCCCTTAACACATTAATGTGCGTAGCAGTAGTCCGCGCGCAGCGATCCATCGGATTCACAGCGACCTTTAGGCTCATTGTGATAATGACTCATTTTGTTCAAAATTGAAGAAAAAGGGGCAGGGGACTATATGCCGCCGATAGGCTCCACCCCGCGCGAAAGCTAGTACAAATCTTACTGCCCCTGATGTCTAGAGCTGCATAGTCTGTCACAGATGTCCATGGCCCCCTCTTTCGGCGTCATATAATCCTCTACCCAAGACAAAGGACTACCGCCAAGGCCATCCGTAGGTTTTCCAATGTCAACGAGGATTACGATAGCATACGGTAGCATACGGTATATGTGCAAAAGGATCCGCCGCCTTACCTGCTTGCTGCCGAGATTTTCGAATCTCTAGCATATATGAGGACGCAAATGTCCTTGGTGATCACAGCCGGTTGAGAACAACCCTCGAGTTCCATGTATGCTGATAATGTCATGTAGATCTAAGAAATAAAATTTTTACTCTTTTAGATTGAAAACTTAATTTTTCATTTTTGCAGATTTTGATTAGAAAAAAATGGTGAAGGGTTGTGACGTGGGTACGGCGCAAGTGCACAAAATGCTTCTATTCGTCTACATAGATAATTTGGTTTTTACTATAACGATAAGAAAACCTGAGATGTTCGGAAAAATAAGGAAAATATAGCCCAACCTGATCACCATAGTTAGAAACCCGATTCAATAGTGGTGAGTTATGCAATGAACTATCCCAAGCAGCCTCGAATTGGAAAAAGGTCCTGAAACAAAATGTCTCTCAAACTGCATCAAAAATTGCGACTTTCTAAAAGACCTCTCATCCATGGTGAATTCTAGATATGTACCCGGGAACAGACCAAGCGATAGCACATCTGAAACGTCTAATCCAGAAGGAGTATTTTCGACATGATAAGTTCGTATAAGATACCAATGTCTTCTCCACCAGCCCATTCTGGTCCACTTCTAATGCGTCCCACAACTAACTCTTGGCAATCTTTCCATTTCAGCTCACCCTGAAGCTAAAATAAATGCATTGGCAGTAAAACAACATTAGAATTTGTTTTGCAGAAAACAGCTGTAATGTTACACTACCAAAGAGCTTTGAGAACAAAATTATAGCAATTGTTGGATGATTTGTACCATATCTAATTGATCTTCAAAAGCTACGAAAATTTTTTTACCCTTCTAGATTACAAAGTTTTACTGCACTAATTTTAGGGTTGAAGCTGTATTAATTTTAATGTCGCATGATAAAAAAGATTACAGCTGAAACGTTTTTGTGTAAGATTTGCAGCTGTTTCCGAGATTTTCTGGCATGAAAAGACTTTAGAGACATGAAAAGTGTCTCAAATTGGGAAGTCATTCCGTACGTGGAAAGTAGTTGAGATACTTGATCTAAACGATAACCCAAACAACAGGTCATATGATTCATTCCTTGCCGAGAAGTCCGGCTTTGAATCCCAGCCCATACCGTAATTTACCGTACTCGAGAACGCTGATTGGTCGGGCTGCACCGAAAGAGTATGGGTCTGTGTTGGAGGTAAGCCACCGCCAAAGCAGCTCATATGAATCATTTGTAATCGAGAAATTCAGATCTAAACTCCAGCCCGTACCGTAATCTTTTCAAGCGGAATACGGTAAACGTAGGATATGGACCGGAGATCAAAGGTAAATTTTTCAATCACGAATACATCAGATGAGCTGCCGTTTGAGCCATGGCTCAGCTGAGGTCTCCATATCAGTAAATACACAGGGTATACTTCGATCTGCTTGGACAGGACCTCGATTTTTATCAGTTTTGACAATTTGACACGCACTCACCTTCTCATGACAGATAGTAATCTTTATTCTTCTTTGTATTCCTTGATGTAGCAGGAAAACTCCATGGGTAGGCAAACCTTGCGCATGATCGACCACAGCCGGGACATATTCACCATTTCCAGCCAGCTCACAAATTTCAAACCACACAAGCATATCCGTTTTTGATCGGATTTGATTTTGACTGAAATGAAGAAGTATAGGCGATGCTACGGTTGGAGCATATGATTGCTAGCTCGATTCATGCCTTTCAAAAATTTTTGAGAAAAAAACGAAATTTCTAGAATGTTTCCCTTCGATATATAGAAAGGGGAAATTATGCCAAACAGTTTTTGAAGCAAAATTGACTGTGGCTTGTCATGGCAATACAAGATGGTAAACAAAGGCACTTAAATCAGTTTTTAAATTTTGGCTGCTAAAACTGTGCCAAAATGGCTACTGGAATTTTTTAGATTTGATTACGATGTTAAGACCTATTCTTTTTGAAAAACGCTGAGAAATACGTACTGTTCAGACAGTCCAATAAGTTCAATATTTCTTAGTTGTTTTACAATCACTTTCCGACATCGGTGTAAAACCTCCATCACGTGAAAAATTCAATCAAATTCGAATTTTAAAAATTCTTGTTCTGCCTTTACCCCTCGTCTCCGATTCTAATCCTCTCGCTCAAAAACGTCTCATAAGCAGATGTCAACTTTTAAGAGAGCTTGAAACAATAAGTCTAATTGCTTACTTGCTTGGCACTGGAGCGTTAGCCTTCTTGCTTTTCACTGGAGTTGATATGACAAGCGATGGTTGTTGGAAGGTAAGCTTCGTGGATAAGCGTCGTCTAAAACATTTCCATGAATATGGAAAAATGCTTAAACTTTGAGGAAGAACAAGCAGGTTTTTTCGCTGTTCGTTTTTCTTAAGTAAAAAAGTAGCATACCCTAAAGCGCCATGCTGTCGCTCGAACTGGAAGCCCTCTGGCTTTTGCTGGAAGTGCCCGAACGCCTGAAAGAGGCCGTTGAAAAGAGAATTAGAAAGTAGAAAGATGAAATTTTACCTCGAAGATGATTGGGAAGTGGTGTAGATAGTGCAAAAATGTGCGGCTCATCTTGATGTGAAGGTTCTGTGCATGTGCAAACGATAGTGGAGCTCGACCAGAATTTTTCAATGGTTCCGTTGAAAAGGCTTCATCGTGGCGGTGGAGGAAGCTGGAATAAGATGATAAGTTAAAAGAGTAAAGGGAATCTCAGTCTAGTTTGCCATTTTTCGAAACCTTGAAATGTTCTAGTTTGTTACCGAAAATGCGGTGACTTCGATGGACATCAATCTGTAATTTTGTTTCATCAGGTAGCCGAATAGTTACCGGATGCTACAACTGGGATGACACACAATGAGATCCAGTAATTTCATGATCACTTCATCAAGAGTTCAACTGACAGAAACACTTTGCAATCGAAACAAAACGAAGCTGGAGCCGAAGCATGGCCCTACCGCGATCTACCGTACCTCACTATCTGACTCAGTTTTGATAAAATAGATACGTTAGTAAGAACATGCAAGACTCACTTGAACTGACAAAACACATCGGAATACTGCTCGGAAACATCGATTGCTTGTAAAACCACCACTCGGAAACAAAACTCTTCATCTTCTTTCATGTGCGCCGGGAATGTTAACTTCTGACTCTCATCTAAAAACGATCTCATCAAATCCAGTTAAGACCTTTTTGAGCATAAGCCAAGCAAACCTTCATTTTCTCCATTTCTACAAGTTTTCAAGAAATCTTCTTTTCGGAAATGTAGCTTTGCTGTTTGACGAACTCCCTTCTTCTGCGTGTCTGCTTCCACTGAAATTAACGAAATGATCCCTAACTGGGCGAATACGGGAGATACAGAAATATAGAAAACATCCTAAAAATGAAAATAAAAGAGCTTCAATACATTTCTATGAAAGTTTACTGTCAGACCAAGATTCTCCATATTCTTCATCTAAATTCATAAAAATTGTAAAACTGTTGACTTACTCGGATTCACGGGCTCAATAGCAACTTTGAGATACCCTCGCACTTCTCCTTTCTCGCTAACGATAGCTACTTTGTGGATCAGGGGAACATTGTGCAGCAAATTGCTTAGGTAGACAAAAGCTCTGAAAAAAAACGTTCTGGATCGAAGCTGTGGTGGTCCGAAAAATATTTTTGAAGTGTAGAAGAATTTGCCATTTAGAAATATTCCCCCGAATGTTTCTAAGCAGCAAGATTATAATTCAATCAAGCAACTATGATCTAAAAAATTTTTCACAGTTATATGACATTTTCTCGTTTTTTAAGAACAAGAACAAATTGCTTCCATAGTTTCATAACTCCAGAGAACTCTAGAAGTTCTATTACTTTTTTGAATTAGAGGGGGGGGGGTGAGCAATAGATTTTTTGAGTTAAAGGATATTACACTAACCTGCCAATCATTCTGAACCACGGGAATCTATCATAGAATGGGTCCGTTCCCATCAGTGCTTCCATCATTGGATCATCACTTGGACTAAGCTGATCGGCACCATACATGTCCCGCATAGATTCAAGACGTTGTCTGAAAGCAAGAATATATAGAAAAAATCTTTAAACTGTATACTCTCATCATTCTATGCAACTCATAGCATGCCACGCAAATTCTTCTTTGCTCTTTATTTTTTTCGGACATTTCAGGATATCGATAGAGGACAACACAACCAGGCTTGGGACATGCTTAGAATAGATTGACCATGCAAAACTTAGTTGACAGTAAACAAAAATGTTTGAAAGCATTGCCCAGGCAACTTACGAATCTAAAATTTTTTCTGGAAAGCGATTGGGAAACCTTATTCAAGGTACCCGCAAGCAGCAGCTCAAATAATACATTCGTGACAGAGAAATTCAATGCAAACTTAACCTCATACCGTAATCTTTTTACGGGAATACGGTAAAAAAATGTAAGTATGGAGGTTAGATTCAAATTTCTTAGCAGCAAATGTATTCATGAGCTGCAATGGCTTAGCTTAGGCCTCCAAATCAATTTCCACAGATGAAATTCTGGAGAGGAATTGCTCAATCTTCCGATCTGACCGGGCAATTTGTCACTGCCTCGACGAACGCCCGATCGGGTGATCAGCGCTATTTATCAATGTCCTGAATTTGATCAAACACCGTAAACAGAGCGAGCTCGATCTTCTATATCGGAAAATGATAAACAGCACCCATCACCCGATCGGGAATTATCAAGGTGATGAAGCGCCCGGTCATAGATCGGGCGACTGACAAATACCACTGTCGAAGTTTCATCTGGTCTGGATACCGCCTTCTGAAGTGGATAATCGGGAAAGTATCTCGTGCACAGAACAAAAAATCGTCATGCGTAGATTGTAATTTGGTGCAGCGCCGTTCAAAAACACATGCGGGCTACCGTACCTGTCGGGCACGAGTCGGGCCGGATTCAACTGTAGCGCCGCCAACCATCCCTCGGCTACGGTTTTATACGGTGCGTCAGCCGGTGTACCCACAACGGACAGTTCGGCGTTGTAGAAACTACGCATATCTTCCAAACGCTGCCTAGAAACGGGGTACGGTAGCCGTGGTGATGAGCGGGCATACTACTGTAGTAGATCCAATGGATAGTAGGAGGAGTAGAGCATGACAGAAATAAAAATTGCGAAAATGTGCGGTCGAGCTGGATCGACGAATCTTGAGTTTTTCTCTTTTTAGATGACTAATTAAATATTTCTGACGTTAGATATGGAATAAGCACCATGCCGGGGGTTTCGACAAGAATAGTCTGTTGTTCTAGCGAAAATACTAAGCTACCGTAGATATAGCAGATTTCACACTAAGAAGGGAGCTATGCGGAACAAGGAATAAGTTTACTAACCAAATCGCAAGCTTTTTTCCCCCTTTTCTAATTTTTTTCATTTATTCTTTATTCTCAAGGTTCAATTACCCAAGTTTAAGTAACACGATTCTGATCAAGGAAGATGATTTGGTTTTTCGTTTTCATTTATAGATTTACAATTCAAACGTCCTACACTGATATATACTTTTTATTCTGATTTTCGTCTGGTGTCTAGGATAAAAAAATTGGAATTTTTTGATTTTACTATTATTTCTAAATTAGGTTTACTTTGTCAATCAAAAGAAGACGTTGCGCGCAAATCTCATCCTCATAACAAATTTCGTACACCTAAATGGACTATTGGATTTTAGCACTGGAAGCACCGTCACCTTAGTTTTTGTAATTTCAACTTATCTAGAATCTCCCGCGTCAGAGCTAAACTAACAGAAGGAAAATTATTTGATCAAAGCATGTCAGATGGGCAAAATCGCAAAAATGTGTGCTTTGTAAATAACACACACAAAACTGTATTGATTCTAATAAATGAAGCCTTAGGATCAGAAGTTAGCTTATAAAGGTTACATTTGCTCTCAAATAAAAAATCAGTTGCATAATCAGAGACCCCCTCTCTTTCAAAACATCAGATACACAAAAATCAAGTCAGTGATGTATGTAGTAAGAGAGAAGCATAGCGCAATCGACTTTACTTTTGGCTGGTTGCTTTGAATCAGTCATTCACTTACTGAATGTTGCTAAAGAGCAGTGTACAAAAGTTTCATTGGAACTCAGTTTACTTTAGGAGGTCAAATAATACTAGCAAGACGAGAAGCAGATTGCTGAATGCGCATACAAAGTAATTGGAATAGCCCTATCACATCTCATCTCTAAAGTAGTCAAGAGCAGCATTCACAAAATTGATCATTTTAATACTATACCTAGCTGATAAATCTAAACAGGGTGGAGACTGTCAAATCATTTTAAAGTCTCAACATATCGTACTGGTTTTGTGCTGTTAGTCAACAAAGTATAAAACACTGTATATTAGTTTGCACACATGAATTCCTTCCATGAAATGGTGCATTGAAACTTGACACAGCGATATCCAAGTGTGAATATACGATATTTACCGTAATCTGTTGTGATCTTCACTCACAGTAAGCGTGACGATGATGACGTGACGAAGTGTGAAGAAAATTTCATGACTCACTTCAACTTTTCGATGCTCCAATAATGTGTGGCACCGTTCTTCAAATCTTGGACTTGAATCGCAACGACTGTTTTCGGATATGGGCGTAGAGTCAAATCTTCTCCAGGTGGTAAAAGATCAGGAGGCAGTGGGCTGAAAAAAAAAACCACTCAAAATGACTTCAAAAATATTTCCTGTTTCTCTTTTCTGAATTCTACTTTCGCATCTTTTTTTACTGTATTTGACAGTGCAATACAAAAAAAAGCATTTGACCGGTCTTTTTGAGTGGAAGATAAATGTACTTCTCACCTGTACATAGTATCCGTAAGTAATACAAACTGGAATTGAACTTTCTTCTTTAATTCCACTGATATAGCATTCGCCTCCTTTACAAAAATTGCATTACCCCATAGATCGTCGCGAACCTAGAAAAACATGAAAGTCATTCTTGAAACAGCTGCAATTTTAGCTTTTCAAAATTTCCTGCAAATTGCTACCCCATGGCAGTGCTTAGGAGTGCAGCAGTCATCCCGATTCACAATTAAGGCAACAATGCCCATTCGAATGTCCCCGTTTGTCATTTGAGAAAGCGCGAACACTTGACAACATAAGTCCTTCGACAATTTTGTCTTTCAGAATTGGCTATTCGGCATCGCTCGAATAACAAATCCTAGGCCATTCGAGATAAGAGAGAATGCATAGTCACTAATGGCAAGGAGAAAAAGCCAAAGTGGAACTGAGTGTAAACTCTGAGAAATTTTAATAAATTATCTAGAGCGGATGAACTTGCGGGAGCCGCTTTTAGCCGATTGCAGTTTAAAGCATGCGTTTCACTTAATCCACTATCCGCTCAACTTTGCTATTGGTCATATCAATGAATTGACCAATAGTGAAGCAGACGTCCATTTAATCCACTTGTTCCACTTGATACACTTCACTATTAGTTAGTTCACTGATTCAACCTATAGCGAAGTAGATGACGTGAATCAAGGCTATTAAGTGTGGCGCATGCCTAAGTACGCGACGGCATACCTGAAGAATTCAGCAAATTTGCCTCAAATTGATTACATGGAAAGATTATTCATCATTATTCACTTCTTTTTCTTTATGCGTGAAATCTCAAGACAAAAGCATTTTACATTTTCGATATTTTTGGTATTTTTGACACATCTGGTTGCATATTTCTTGTATAGAATCAAGGGAGCACCATGTTGCTGAGAAGAATGAGGTCTACTGTACTTCATGTAGCTTCTATAATACTTACAGAAGTAAATTGATGGTATCTCCACTTGATAGCCGCTTTTCGTGCCACTTTCTCCTGATCGGTTGTCCATTTGCATTCTTCCGCTATAAAAAGGTTAAACTTTTTCCACACTATTACAAATAATTTGGTGTTCAGAGAATATTTTAATTTCTCTTTGTGACGAAGATTCTTGGTGTTTGAAAAGGATAATAACGAAAAACTACGAACAGCAACAAAAAGCAGCACGATATCTATGTAAACATTTTGAAAACTCATTTTTTTTCCTTTTACACCCATTTTTGTTACCTACTCTAAAGGATGGGTATAGAAGGCGATGTCATGAGTGTGTGAAATTTTTTTTGTCAGAATTAGTTAGCGACTGATTATCGTATGGAACATAGCAACTATAATGCGTTTAATAGCGCATTTTTCACTACCCACGTACAATTTTTCAAACCCCTTGACATATATAATTTTTCATACAAAATGCACACCATTTCATGGAGAATAAAAAGTGCTCATTCACCGGAATCACAATCCAATGACGTCAGCTTCACTTTCTACAAGGCTTGAACGACATATGTAGGGAGCTATGCAAATTATGTATTAGCAAATTCTGACGTTCTTATAACTAGCGCTAAGAAACCCACATATCCTTGAAATTGTTATCCTACGACTAGATGAATTCAACGTCATCTCCAATATAAACGTCAATCTCAAATTCACCAGCAACAAAAAATAGAATATGAATAGAGTTTAGCGCTAGTTTCCGGTTTTTCCCATGGTGAAGCAGCAAAATGGCTTAAATGGGAAAGGTGGAATAAAATAGGAAAAGCAGCAGAGTGCACAAATTTAAGGTTTGAAAAACTGGCTCACAATAGTGAGAGAGTCAAGTTGGCAATCTAGAAAATTACACTAAAAGGACAAAGTGCAGTCGTATATTTTTTGAAGGGAAACTTCTCTTAATGAAATGGCACTATGGGAGACTATATACTAAACAAAAAACTATAAAATAGGCAGCTTGTGGAAACCAGAAGTGGAGAGAGAGATTTTCTCAGTTTAAAATTAAGTGAACAAAATAATGATGGGTAACGCATACACCATATGATTCTAACAATAAGTAACCATCCTGGGAAGGCTGGAGATCGTACAGGACTACAGTATAATGTTACGTTCCGGGACCTTTCAAACACTGCGATTTTGTGATTTGTCATGCGGACAATTTAGTCCATTCTTAGCTATTTTATTTGGACAAAACTAAGTCACTCTCCAATAGCTAGAAATTTGCTTTACAAAAAATACTAGCAATTTACAACGCTATCAGAAAACTGCTTATAATCTGACTTAGGCTATGGGCATGCTTCACGCGGTTTGGCAATACTCCAGTGAGCGCATTTTAAATGTACAAAAAGATGGGGATTTCATCAAGCTGCGAAAGTTATACACACCGTGCATTTCTAGCCTGAAAGCATTACATCTGAGGACATCTGGCAGACATCCAGGCCGCATCGCGACTGAAATCGCGTGGAGTATGCCCGAGGCCTTAAAGGCGGCTTGCATGCAGAGACCGGACGCTTTTGCGTACGGCTGAGGTAGTGTGTGTTTGGGAGAGACAGCAGACTGTTAGAGGGTCAGAAGCGTGTATGATCTGAGAGATGCCGACAGAGTCAGCAGCAGCGTCCTGTTTCTGCGTGCGATGAATCGCCTACATCTAAGACTTGTTTTTTTTTGTCGAAAATATTTTTAGTCGTTGTTTTGTTTGTTTGTGTTACTCTTGGTGTCATTTTTGCACACGAAACTGGCTCTTTTCAGAAAAATCATCATAGAATAGAACTTTGTGTGCCAACATAGACAGAAAATCATAATCATATATCAAGAATCCAAATAAATCTCTCTCAGAGTCATTTTTGACAATACATGCTTGTTGCACACCATGCGCGCTACTTGACGACTTGTAAGATTATGGAAGGCTCATTTTCAGTGATTTCTCCTTTATTCCTTGCTTTTTGGTTTGAATGGACATGTACCGGTTAGGAGTACCCATTTCTACAATTTGCTAGGCTAGAGATTGTCTAAGTGGGTTTTACTAGTACGGGTGCCGTCACTTAGCGCGCATAGTGTGCAAAATCACATAGAATTACAAACATATTTTGGTGACGATATTGTTTTGGAAAAAAACCTACCAAACTCCATCAGGGAACTCGTTAGGAAGCGCTCTCCTTCCCATCCCGAGCCGCACGAACTAATCATCGACTGAGCGAGATCCACTTGACGTTGAAGACTTTCAATGCGAGTTTCATACTCCTCAAAAAACACAGCTAAGCTCAGAACAAAGGAACCCCAAAAGTCCAAAAAGCCAAAGCGCCTACCTTTGTTTGTCGTAACATCTTCAGTTCCAATTCTTCACGTTCACGTCGGTATTGGCTTTCCATTTCTAAGAGTTTTTTCTCCATCTCCGCCTTCAGATCGATTCCCTGCTTTTCGAGCAACTCCTGTTGGGCATATTTCCAATCCAGTGGTTGCTCTGAATGGTTAATGAGTATGGATAGTGTCGTGGGAGTGAAGATGTCGAAATCAGAAGATGAAATGAGCACAAAGCAAAGGGCTAAGCGAGCGAGTTGCGCTTTGATTGTATTTCCGGACTCTCACTACTACGACCTCCTCCCACACATACTTACTCTCTTTCAATTTAGCTTCTTTACTACTATAATACATCTTTCAACAAAAATCTTTAAAAAAACTCTTCAAAAGTGTTCAAGCAATTTTTCGAATGATATAATTCGCTTGTAATGTTCAAAGAAAGTGTATCTCATCGCGATTTCGGGGATTTATTCGGTATGAAAGCAAAAAGTGAAGAAAAAATTTTAAAACTATAATCATTTGTGGAAATGTCCCCTCGGCACGAATTTTTCACACTTAGGAAAAGCTTGTCATAAAACCAAAAATAAAACTCGAATGAGAATTTGATACGTTTTACTAATCTTTACGGGACGAAAAAACAAAAAACCAGTGCTTTCCATCAGGTTGCATCATTACAATATGGTAATAGCATATTTTGCTTCGAGTCTGTATTTTATTGAAGCGCGACGTTTTTTCTATTCAGTAATCAAAGTAAAATCTTTCACCGTTGGAAAAAAATGTGACTTTCGCGAGTTTTTGGTGCAAGAGTTGTGAACTTACTTAATAGTAGCTCAATTGAATGGAAATTGATTTTTTTTGTTTGTTTACCCCATCCTCATTAACTTAAGAACATCTATCTTCTCAAGACTAGCAAAAGCACAAAGCCAGATAATCTCCTCCATTTTCGCTTCCGATTTCGAAGATTAATGGACATTGACGCACTGCATTAATCTTGACAGAAACAGTTTTTTTTTCATAGATACGGTTTTCTATAATATTCATTCAGTATCTATAGATATGGAAACTTACAAACTTCTTTTGAAACTCGATTTCCTACAATATTACCACAAACTATTCGAACAAAAGAGATATAGGGAAATATGCTCTGATTTTCATTTTGCTCTGAGCACTAGCACAACTGAAATATTTCTCTTCATATCTTGAAAGATTAGATCACTCTGTAAATTATTACGGTAGGACTTGTATTTGTGGATTCACAGAGTTTCTTTAAGTGACTGTTATATCTACAGTTAAGCACTAGTAATTTGAATCATAAGCGTTTCTTTTATTTCAATCACCAACTGCAAAGAAAAACATCGAAATTTTCAGTGAAAAAGCTTGTTTGTGAATATTTTGCTAAGAAAATTTCAACATTTGAGCTTGGTTTTAAACCAATATTCAAAGCTAGAAAAGATAAGAATTCATTTTTACCATATTTGAAAGAGCTCGGTCAACTTTCGTGTTTTAGCTATTTACCTACTCTTTGCAACCTCAGAATTCTATCATGCCTTATTACTTTCACCTTTAACTACTCCTAGGTGGTCTAACTTTGTATGTCGTACATCAAAAGCACAAACATCCATCAGTTTGGCCTACAATTGCGTCCAAATATGTAGGTAAATCTATTTTTGTAAAAACTAAGCGATTACCAAACAGAGAACACTCAATGCTATACCAGCCACCACTTCTTCAATAACGCACGGGATTTGGTACTTGTTAGGCTATGGAAGCTATTGTTTGGATGACTGAAGGAGTAACGTGCAATGATGCTGAAAACTTTATTGCCTGAACAATGCCCACGCACAACTTCTTGTCTGTTCTTATTGCCTTTCCCATTGGAGGCAAAGCATTTTGAAGGACTCAAATACTGAACAAAGACCCCAGAAATGAGTAACTTGTTGTAGATTGAAGTAAGGCAATTCTCGGCTCAGTAAAATGACCGTCGAAGTGAACTTCTATTGATTATGTAAAGCAGAGGGTTCGTCTACGCCTTGCACTAAATTTTCCAAAAAAAACGTAATCTCCTACATTTTTTTATGTATTGTTTCGATTCGATATCTTAGGAGCTCCCAAAGTTCTATTGTTTTTTTAAACCACTATGAAACCTCTTGAATCAAACACCTAAATGCTTCTAAATATGCATTCGATGGGGCTTTTACTTTTATTGCAGGTTATATAACCATAATCTTCTGTACCGTTCATGATAATTGACAATTCCTTCACAGTCATTTCTATCTGCTCAAAGTTCGGTTGCCTTTGAAAAATTTCATTTCAGTTCGGAAAATATTAAGTATAATACGAATAAAGCAGATCTTAGCTATAAGATAGTACCTTAAAATTTCTCTATCTGCTGTTTGGTCCAAAAAATTATCTCTTCGGAGTTCACGATTCCTGGTAAAGCCACGGAACATGCGATTGCAGCAAAAACATGAAAGCTTTCAAAGTTTCTGCGAGTTGGAGCTTGATTGCTATTAAACTTATTTGTGCAAGATAATCAAGTTTGATTTGCATTGAAGAACATAATAGCTTTTAGGAATTTTTGGTACTCTTATGCATTAACGTGCTCGATAGATTCTGAATCAAATGATTACTACAAACTTCAAAATTTGATCTATGTGATCTAGAGAACATGAGCCCAAGAAATACTCTGTATACCAGCTATCAAGGCTTTTTATGGTCGTTAGGATAAAAGATCTCAGAAATTAGGGAAAATATAGCGTCAATGTTAAACTGCTCCTAGAGCCATGAACGACATCGCCAAGACTGCATAGATCAGGGGAAAAATGCTGCTATCAAAAAGGGGAAAAAACTGAATCAAACAATTTTTAAGTCTTTCGTTGATGCGTACTCATTGATGACCGATTTAAATAACTGACAAAACTTTCGCGACACCGAATTAGAGTTATGCTGCGATCATCAAGCTATATATATTAGGTTGAACCGAAAGTTCTGTCGCACCATTTTCAAAAAATCATAACTTCTTGCGGTCACGACGATTCTGGGCGATTCAAATTTTGTCTGAAAGCGTAAAGCATATAGTTTCCAAAAACTCCCTGGGGAGTTTCCGACATGCTCAGGTGGCAGAGATAAGAATGAAAACGAGATCATCCGAAATTCGGAATTTTTAAGCAAGAATTCTAAAAATTCAGAAACAGTGCGATAAAATCCAAAAAAGCCATTATCCTAATTTTTCTTTTATTTTATCACTAACTGAGTTAAGTTCGTGCTGATCAAATCCTTCTTTCAAAAGTTACGATTTTTTGAAAAAAAAATGCCAAAAAATCCATTTCTTAAGAATTCTTAGGAAATTGATTTTTCGGCATTATTTTTCAAAAAATCATAACTTCTGGAAGAAAACCTCGATCAGCACAAACTTGACTCAGATAGTAATCAAATGTAAGAAAAATTAGGATAATGGCTTTTCTGGATTTTATCGCACTGTTTCTGAATTTCTAGAATTCTTGCTTAAAAATTCCGAATTTCGGATGGTCTTGTTCTTTCATTTTTATCTCTGTCACCTGAGCATGCCGGTAACTAAACAGGGAGCATTTGGAAACTGCATGCTTTACGCTTTCAGACAGAATTTGAATCGCCCAGAATCGTAGTGACCGCAAGAAGTTATGATTTTTTGAAAATGGTGCGACAGAACTTTCGGTTTAACCTAATAATAATAAAAAAAATAGTTCAATTTATTTTGAGAATACAGCTGCTAGAATTGCTAGATGGTTCAAAAAAAGGAGATAGTAGGATCAATAAAGTTTAAGATTTTGTTTTCCGACAAATTTCTTCCAAAGAATTCGTGTTATCGATATTTGTATAATCTGAAACACCGAACAATGAAACAAATTTTTCGAAGATCTCGGTCTAATATATGAGACGTCCATTTGGAGAAACAGTCTACTCTTCAAAACTTGTTTGTTTTGCATCAACTATGATTTTTTGGACTACTGCCAAGGCCTTTGAAATTGGAATATTCATTTTTTTCAGTCATGGCAATGCAGAAAAAAGCATGAAGGATGGACATAAAAAAGCCTGGTGTCAAATGACCTACTGAGATAAATTTGATGCAAAACAAACAAGTTTTGAAGAGTAGACCGTTTCTCCAAATGGACGTTAAAGTGAATTTTAGGGGAAGCAAAATACCGACCATCAAGTGAGCCTACAGCCGATTTAACATCAAATATGATTATTGAGTTTTCAGGAAAAGTGCTAAGCCTATGCTCAGCATTTTCTTCCTAATTCTCAGTCATCTATATAACGCACAAAAAACACCAATCTCTCTTCTTCCTCTCATACGCACATTTCAAAAGAAAATGAATTTTGGAGTACCTTCCATAGCAAACCAAAAAACTTGCTACTTATCAAAAAATAGCATATGCAGAGCATGCATGGTTCATGCATTTCTTCAGCTAGCTACCAGTGGCGGTCCCAGGATTTTCGTTCGAGGAGGGGGGGGGGGGGGAGGGGAGGGGAGAGTAAACAAAAAATTTTCCTTAATGAAGATGATGTTAGCCACAAATTTCGAGAAACTGGGGTGCTTTCCAAAATTTTCGAAGTCCACATCCCGAGAATTTAGGAAAGTGGGCGGGGCGGCGCCACGCATCTGCAAAAAGTTGTTTACAGATATTCAGAAAATTTTGAGAAACATTTCAATAATGTACGAGTATAAATGGGTCACTTGCACATTTTTATAACCCATGCTATTGATTTTCGAATATTTCGCGAGGGCGCCTCTCTTCCCCCCCCCCCCTCGCCCCTCCCCAGATAGATCCGCCGCTGCTAGATAAGTGCCGAAAGTTTTTGAGCTTTGCGCGAGAAAATTCGACAACAGAGGTTAATGTGATAAGTAAAGCTTGTGTCAAAGCATACCAGTCAACGAAGACAGATTGTGCCTACTCTGCCTGGCCTCCTGCGGATCGTTGTAGCGAAAAACGTGATAATTCCCGAGTATCACTCGAGAACCCGTGTGTAGCACTGTTGTACATGTGATTGGACGACCATTCACGAAACATTGGGCATCCTAAATATTCACGCATTTGGAATTTTATTGCATCTTGCATTTACATTTACATTTTTAAGACATAAAAGTATTGATGTTCTATGCAATCATCCTATGGTTTTGCTAATTCTACACTCTTCTAGCTTTCTAGCCTCCAGAATGAGGAATTTCTTGGGTTCTCTAACGTTCGCATATAAGGCTCGTTCCGTAGTTCGCTTCTTGAGATTAGTTGTTGGAGCTTTTGTGATACTAGAGAAACTCACCTTTTGAGGGTCAAGGCTCACACAACCGTCTTCGTTGATGAAACTGCAGTGAGTACTCTGCGTTGATACCACTGCTTGCAGAATGTCTGGACGTTTCGCAGCTTCTGGGCGACCGACACTGCAAAATCGTTTCCATATCAGAAATTACAATTTGTCGGTTCAAAATTATAAGTTTTACATAAGTTTAGACAAATTTCTGACTTTCTGACTTTTTAGTAAAACATCCAAAACTTCTAAATTTCTAAAAAAACTTGAGAATTGCGCAAATTCAATAGCGTGGAAGATAAAGTTTTCAATCGGTCTTTATGAATTACGAGAATGGTAAGAATGCTTCGCATAAGCTAGTAATCAGTAATAAGACGTGATACAAATTATTATGGATATTCGAATTTGCTGACCTTTTCTGGAAACAAAAACCTCACACACGAAAGCGTTTATCAATCAAAGAGTTTTATGACTACTTCGAACTGGATGACTTAGGGGAAGGGTTACAATTAACTGGAGGTTGAAAGAAAGCATATTGCTAGAGAGCCTTCAAAATATATATTATTTTAACTATTTCAGCAAAAATGGCCCGGAGCCAGTTGAGGTCAGCATTCATGGACCTCACTTAGACAACCCTCTTCCAAAAACAAACAGTAACCGCAGAAACAATCATATTGCGGTAGAAGGGATAGAGCCTTTCCAGCGAGCTATGCCCCAGTGGCAGCAAAATGTCCTATTTAATTTAAAATGTGAGGGTAAGATTAAGTGTACAATGCTGGAATGGCTTTTACCTTGTGATACCCTCCTTAAGATAGTAGAGAAGACATTCAGACATGAGTGGATCCTCATTGAGATTGACTAGATGTGGTAGCTAAATAACATACTTTAACGTTTTCCATAATCTGAATCCAGAAAACAAGCGGTATCTACCTTCTTCGGACTAAACACGCCAAGAGTGCTACCATCTTGTGCGGTAGCCAATCCCATTTCTCGAAGTTCTTCTTCTCGTTGTTTGCGAATTTCATCTGTCTTTCGCAATTTCTCTTCCCATGTCTCATGCAGCTCAGCAATGAGTTTTTCAGATGCCTGGAATCGAAATTTGCGTTTGCAACGACATAACAAGAACTGAGTATCCATAAACGGACTTTACAAGACGTTAAAGGACGGTACAAAAATCTGTGATGAGTTCCTAATTTTTTTAAATGTGGATTGATGGTTAGACCTTGACTATGATATTACCCAAAGGACAGCTCATAAGATACAATCGTGGCTAAAAAATTTATCCCTAAGATTCTGCCCAGTACCGTAATCAAGAACTTTTTGTGAGCAAAGAGAACCGTAATAGCGAGAGTTCGAACTTGGACTTCCTCGCCAAGTTGAATTGTAAGGAGCTGCCCTTCGAATTTTTTAAGACTATTTCCAGTAAAAAAAAACAGATATCCATATCTGCTTTCAATTATCTAGTTTTTAGAAAGGTAAAGAAAATAAGTAAAAGATTACCTTGAGCTGTTCGATAGTGTCATGGTCACGAGCTGAATAGAGCTGTCGTACGCCCAGTCTGTGACGATTTGAGAGCATCGGCTGCGATGTCGATACCTTTCTCTTCGAGAATCCCACGAAGTTTGTTGACCTAGAGGCAAAAGAAGATACATATGTATTGACAAATGCTAAATTTCGATATTACCTCCTCCTTGAGCTCGCGGATAAGTTCGCATTCGGATCTTCGTTGACAACAGCTTGGCAAACGATTTGTTTGGCTCGATCAGCGTATCTGTACTCATAGCTTTTATCATTTTTCCACATATACCGTATGCTACCGTAGTCCCGAGTACTGCTCTTGAAACAAAATCGGCAATGGTGCTAAGCGCACTTTTTGAGCGGTGGGGTGTTTTTTGGTGCGACTGGCGGAGCTATCAAAGCAGTGTTCAGGCTTACTGTAGCATGCCGTAGCAGTGCAGATGCTCCGCATTACTGTGAACATTTCTGGGTCGCAAAATTATAGGAGTGGTCTATGCGGGTTGCAAACTAAATAAAATCCTTTCATATGTGAATGACTGGAATGTTCAGAATTCGTCAAATTCGTAAAAAATCAATCAGACTCGCAAAACTTTGTACGGTTTAGGGTTGTGAGCTAGCGAAAACTGTGAGAAATCCAAAAGCATTACAAAAAGCTTCTACTCCCCCCCCCTCCCTCCCCTCCCATCCCCGCCCCCCTCCCCCTCCCATCCGCCCACCCCCCCGCCCCCCCCCCCCCCCCCCCCCTCCCCCGTCCCCACACCGCAAGAAAAATATCTGGGGACTGTTACTTAAATGGCGCTTTCAAAGTTTTTAGGGAACTATCTACAGTCAAAAGCAACGCTAATACCATCGCGGGTTTTCAGTTGGCTTCTCATATTATTTCGTAATTTGTATGTGCGTTTGTTTCCGTTTCCATTCCTACTTGTTCTGTATTGTTGTTTTGACATGGGGTGACTCAACGAAAAAATGAAATGAAAATAAAGTGAAAGATCAAGATAACAAAATTGCGCTTCTTATCAAATTTGTTCATACAAAAAAGTTTATTACATGACCTACCGCAATGTGCTGAGCGTTTCATCGAAGTTTATGTCAGCTGGTGACAAAGCCGCTATCATTGCTGTTTTCGAATTTCCGCCGAGATTTTCGCGAAGCAACCATGTAAGCACCGAATCTCGATAGGGAATCACACCTTTACCACGTCTGCTTTTTTTTCCTGCCTAAATCGGACAAATCGCCAATTACTAGGATTAACACATTGAGTGTTAGCAAGCGGATTATCGAATTGAGATGTTAGTCTCTACAAAACAATTTGCATATGATAATAACTCATAAGCATTCGATAGGCTTCAAATTCACACAAAGTTTTTCAACTCACTTTATCGGCTATTGCCTGGAAATATTGAGATTTTGTGAGACATATTTATATTTTTCAAGAAACTGAATTCGAAGAATCGTTCAATTTGTAGCTTAGACATCTTCAAGTCCGACCGCTTCAAGCTTCCTTTTCTCATTCTATACTACCGAACATTCTTCAAAAACGCTGACAAAGATGAACAAAACGAGCAATCCTATGTAGAAAGGTTCAGAGGAGAACTGCTCTTATCAAAGCGTTTTGGAACATGAAGGAGATTAACTCTTTGTAAAAACCGATTCAGAAAAAACTGATTCATTATGCGCATTTGCCACAAGTATAGAATATATCGTCAAATGAAAATGTCTTAACGCAAAGTAAATTGATTGGTAATCTTCCTGAGTAGCAAAAATAAATCTGTGGACCAGTTTGATTGAGGTGAACTGAAGAAACACCTCACCTCTTCAGCTAGCTTGCTGATGACCAAACCAAGTGTAGTAAGACTTTTATTGATATTTGCTCCTTCCTTGAGCCGTTGTCCTTCAGCCCCAGTAGACGTTGCTCGTTCACTACCAGCTAGATCAACTAACGAGATTTTTGAGACCTGAAAACAAAGGACCACATGGGAACATGGAAATTTTGTTAGAACTCCGTACAAATCATCAAAGTGATTCAAATGAGAAATCAACAGAAGTTCTATTAGGTTGTCCGGAAATTAATGTCCGTTTTTCTAGGCCTAGATTCCAAACAACTTTTTCTCGTCAAACTTTCTATTACGCTATAGAATCTGCACATCATTGGAAAGCTTTCTCCATGTACTTTCTAACGGTTGTGGAAATAAGCTGCTATCCTCATCTGTGGGAATTTCACCAGCATTTTGCACATCCGCACTCAAAACCGAAATTTCATAGCTTTCAGTTTCTTGACCACAATTCAGGAGCAAATAAACGAATTCTTCTGAAAAAAATAGCAACTGCATTAGATGAAGATTGTTTACCTACTGCATGCTGATCTCGATTTTTGGAGGTGACTGGACTGAGAAATTGACTCCTCGAAATAGATACTTACTGCTGGCATTTTATGGGTCACAAATTTCTCATAATTAAGGCAATCGCCAAAGCTTTGCCCAGTTCTGTAAGCTTGAGATAAGCACACCTTAACTACAATATCTGAAGAGAAATTGACTATTCAGTGCAAGAAGAATTCCACATTTTCATAATTTGGCACTCACAAGCCTACAAGAAATAGGCTCAAAAAAGTGAACATTTTTGAATTTTTATCTTTTCTTTTCGCACAACTCCTTCTTTGGAGTCTTTTCTATACATACGTAAACAAGTGGCCTGCGGCTACAAAATAAGCTAATTGGCAGCCATACGAACAAAACTTGAAGGGAGTTGTAAGCTCTCAAAGAAGAGGTTTTCAAAAGAAAAACTTCCACTTTTTTGACGCATGGTTTTTTTCCCGTTTGCGATATTAGTACGAGCAGGTGCGCGCTAGAATAAGAAAGGTTTGCTGTTTCTGATGGTCTTAACTGCATTTAAAAATATGAAGACTGAACGAAGTTATAGCCTTCCAAAGTGAAAATTTGCAAAACGGACATTAATTTCCGGACAACCTAATATTACGCCTTCTTTAGTGAATAATAGAATCTGAGCGAAAAAATTTTTCGTACCTTTTCGGTGTCGAGATTAGTGTCTACGCAATGCTTCTTTTGCGTTAGCACAATAGTGAAGACGGCATGAGAACGGGACGACGTTGAGTTCATGTTCGTTGCAGCTACTGTTCTGTAAAATTCACACAGTCTCTACTTGCTCTTTCATTTTTCGTTTCCTTTACTCTTTTCCAGTCAGCTAATCCTACTAACCCGGTTTAGATGCACTACTGATCATTACAGCACATACCTTACGTTACCGTAATCTCGCGCATTGCTTCAAAGACAAGATATCATCTCGACGAAAATAAACTACTCAAACTATTCCAAAGGAGTATTTTTGCATTTGTGTGGCGCGATTAGAGCACTATGCAGAATTACGGTAGCATAATGTAGTGATGCAAAAGGTCCAAGATTCAACGCGGGACCCCTAAACTCTGGTTCCTTTTTTTTGTGCGTCAACACAAGACTACCTATATTAAGGCTCAGCATGAGAAGAACTGAAATTCTTGCAACTGGTCCACTGGCATCAGTTTCAACAAACGGGGCGACTTCATTGCTTTTCAATACTCACCTAGCTTTGTTTCCCTCATCCATAAGATTGCAAATGTCCAGATACGAGCATACAGCCATCTTCGTCAGGTCGTCAACATACGGACCAAGAAGCGGATGTTCACGAACGCGGAGATTTCCTGGAAAAGAGTTAAATGGAAACTTCTTCTGTAATTGTGCAAAGTTATGAAAAAATATTTTCTTCCTTGAATTATTTAGAAGTGCAAATAATGTGGGTCCCAACAATCTTACCTCCACTATTCGGATTCAACAAATCCTTGACTCTTTCACAATAGATTTCCATATACGATACTTCTACGGAATACTGCACATTAGGGTCTTTATTTTCGGCAACACGAGCAAATACTGAAAAACAAAAGCGTCAAAGAATAAAAAGTTTAGCAAATGGGGATAAATGTTAAAAAGTCATGGCTGACACTGACATCTGAAAAAGATGAGATAACAATACGGTGAACTCACAATCATTACACAATCGTGGAATAATGCCCATTTCATGTTCATCACCCGGTTTTCCCATCATTGTGTACGATTTGCCACCACCCGTTTGTCCATAGGCAAAAATGCATACATTATATCTGGAAGAAAAGCACATTTTCTCCATGTTTTCATTAAAAAATTCGTAGCTAAATTTGAAACAGCAGATGAACTAATGAATTTCTACTATCAACATTTTCGGAAAAATACAGATACCGTAACCTTCTAGAGGTAATCAAAACTTTTACAGAGGCGAGAAAGCTTACCCTTCAAATGCGTGCTCGAGCATTTCGACGCCAAGCTCTTGGTAGACCTGAGCCTGACTGGCGAAATGAGCATCATCTCTGCAGTACGACCAGTAAGAATGATCAAAGTTGAACGAATGACATTTGTCCGGCGTCGAACCACTTATCGCTGAAAAAAATATAAAACCGACTGAAAAGTTAGAAGCGTGATTTCCAGAGTTTTCCAATTTCTACAGTAGTTTTGTGCTTCATTTGCTCAACATAAGATTAGCCAAGAAACCATTAAAAACATAAATCTGCTTGAACAGTGAAAAAGAGTGGACGATTTCGATTTCTATATCTATTATTCAAAACAGACGACTTGATTTTAAACCTACTACAGTAATACAGTACGTAACCTACAGTAATCGTTGGATTCTCAACTTTCCCGGTTCCGAACTCAACACTCCTCCACTAAATTCGCACGAAAAACACTTTCCTACAACTTATTTTACAAACTCCTTAACCGAATTTTCTCACAATCTTTCATTAACTGTGTTAATGACTGGCACCCATAGTGTTCATACAGCCCCAAATAGAAAGAATCCTTAGCAATGCTTCTTTTCGCCTCCTTCTCCCCCTCTCAACTCCACAAAGTTTTTTGAACGTCTGCGTTCAGCGATCTCCTTCTTCCGTCCACATTCTTGAGAACAAAAACTGGCCGAGAACATAATGGCGGCTACTTTATTTTTGATCTTCAGGTACTCACTCTGATGATTAGATGGAATCAAGTGTTGCACTGGTTATTATGCTACGTTAGTAAATTTGAACGTTCGGTGGAACTAAATGCATTTTTTGTGTTTTTTTCTTCTAATCATTTTTGTGACGCGTGTAGCACTCTAGATAAGGAAGAAAGATAAAAAAGGTGTTAGTCCCATATCAAGTCGGATAATGAAATGTGTTACAGGCTCATGGACACCAGTTATTTGTGCGGCTAATGAATTCTAATGGAATGCAAATGACATAGAGAAATGTTCAGCATAGAAATGACACACTTTCCTGGCCTGCTCTACCGTTCAGATCGTCAAAAATAATGAGAAGTAAAGTTTTCAATGTAATGTGTAAATAACCAAAAAACTCCGTTTTGTTCCTGCCCGTAGACGGAGTAAAAGTATTTACAGAGCTTCCCCGAAAATTTCTTATTGTATACTTCTTTTCAAACATTTATCCACGAGCTTTCTCCACGTAATTCTCACCCACCCCATCCCTCAAGGAATTTGTTTAGGCGAATTTGCCATGACTGAAAGCGTAGTGCAAATGTATAGCTCCTCAAGTCAATGCCTGCTCGTGATAAAAATGGAATTATGCATATTTTCTCCTCTCTCTCTCTCCCTCTCTCTCTCTCTCTCTCTCTTTCTCCCTTTCGCCACTCTATGCCCTCCTTTGAGTACGAAATGCTCAGAATCAAACTGGATATGAACGAGGTATTTCTGCAAACAATCAGCACAAAGGAATGAAAAGGGGAAAGGAAGAAAATCGCCCCTGACATCCCACTTTTCCATCAAGCAAGCAAAGCATTTTTTATTAACATCTATTCCATGGCAATATGCCCCTAAGCAACACCATAGGAAGTCATATTAGCCCGCATCGATTCTCGTTTTTTGTCTTTGGCAGTTTCGTAATGAAATTCACAACCGATGCTCGCGCGCGCGCGATGGCACCCGCACTGCGCGCTGTTGCGTGACGCGTGTGCATCGATCCGACTCTAATTCATGTGCAATTTAGGCTTTATTTCTCTGTTTTCTCCATGTCTATTCCATTATGCACACAGTGATGTCATCATGTGTGAGGCGGGAAGGCAGACTTGCGAGAAAGAAATAGGAGAAAGAAAGCGAGAACGACGCAATCATGTGAAGGCTCTTTTGCACATGTACAGTATCCTACCGTAATCATGAGTGCCTGGAATGACATCCGCACGATTGTTACTTTACGCGCTTTTGGCTATGTGTTTGAGCAAAAGAGGTATTTTTCAAGTAAGTATTCACCAAGCAGGCTACGGTAGATTACTGTAATGGCGTAAAAGGGCCATTTCCTTCAAACCTGGGCAATCTACAGCGCACAGCGTATGATTATGGTAGCGTACTGTAGCTTTTCAAAAAATAACCCAAATGTTGGTTATATCACAGCGAGCGTGATTATAGTGGCGTATTGAATGCTACATGTACTGCAGGACGAAAGGGCCGCTTTTCCCAAACTACAGCAGTATTTCATGCCTTTAAAAATGATAAGTTGGTGACTGTGAGCAATACATCTCGTTCTCAAAAAAGAACTCGTGTCCGATCTCATCAAAAATCAGCCAAGCAGAACAAATAAAATTGATCCTACTTTGCATCTTGTTATTGGAAGCAAGCAAAGATACGCCCTCATTTCTCTTCGAGGATTCTCGAGAAAGTCTAGAACTCATTTTCGCACAGGGATGAGATAAATCACATTATGATATTATGTTTCATTTATTTCTTTGTTAGATTATTCCTTAAAACTGCTCGTCCACGTTTGAGCAATTACAAGAAGCAGAGGTGTGCAAAAAGAAACCAGAAATGGGTACGGTCACAGCGCATCTTCTTCTTGGATGCCTCTTCTTAAGCTGTTCCATAATTATCGTATAAGGTATTTTTTGATAAAAGTGATGGACAAAAAATTCCGCCGAGATGTAGATCAAAAAAATCTTCAATTAACTGGAATCTAATGCAAGCTTCTAAACACTTATGGTGACTAATATTATCACTTGTATTGTATGTGGTCAAATAGGTCTCAAATAAGTTTTACTAGACTTCCTGAAAAGTTGAGCAGAATGCCTGCAGCGTTTATTTTTGTCTGGAAGGAAAATAAAACATAGGACATCGTTAATTTTTGATAATCGTTCAATGCATCTCAAAAAACTTGGGAAAAAGTTTCTATTTCCGTAAAGTTTCATTGGAATTCTGTAATTATGAATCATATTCGGCGAGAGAGCAGTCTGTAGAACGCCGTGAAATTATTAATCCACATAAATTTAGATTTATTTTTAAATTTACGAATTTTCTATCAACTTCCTCGCTTATTTTGAGCTATCACAAAAAAACAAAAATAATAAGGAGAAAATGAACGATGAATATATTTCTAATGAGAACATTTGCGAATGTTTCAGTCTCATGCACCAAAATTCAAGAAAAATAAAAGATGGAAAAAACAAAATCAGAAAATGTGACTTACTAGTTGTCGTGCCATTCATCCCAATGATACATCGTGACCCATTGGCGATCTCGCGTTGATTAAACGGACGAACACGTACAGCGACTTTCACCGACGACATTATTGGTTGTCAGAATTAGGTTACGGTAATAGTACAGTAATAATAGACCAATAGCTGGGTACAGTGAAGTCAATCGACCGCCGGCTCCATATATCGGGTACGAAGCTGGAAATACGTAATGAGGTGTGGAAAACGGGGAGATGTGGGAGTTATGCGACGATTAAATAGAAAAAGAAAACGGGAAGGACGAAGTAGAGGGTGAAAACAGAACCGAACAGAGTGATCGTGAGAATCAAGAAGAGATAACATTTATAAAGAAAAATTATGAGAAATAAAAAAAGTTATGAAAGAAATTGAGCAAAAAGTTTACATGAGAAAAATTCATGATCAAATTAAGCATTTTGATTTCTGAAAAACTGGAACAAACTACAAGTTTTTTCCCAAGATTTTAAAAACGCGAGCACAGTTTCTTTCCTGGCAGTATTCCAGCCAATGATGCCATGGTGCATATGTACCAAAGTTCAGAT